CGAAGCCTGGTTCGTAAAAATAACAATAATTTCAATTATTATATTTCACAAATTTGTGAACAAAACACTCACTTTTCACATATTTCTCACAAACAAACAGAATGCCTGAATAAAACAAACGACTTGTGATGTTTGAGGTTGCCCACTCGCGGTTGCAGGGCCCTATCATGGCCTATGCCGCGGTGTACATATGTTAGTAAACACGTTAAAAAATTTCTTTAAATGCTTAAAATACACCAAAAACATTACAAAAATGTATTATTTGAAGTAATTTTAAGGTTTGAATACGATACGAAATACTGTTAGCTTAAACACGGAGCAATGTAAGTTTCCTGCCATTTCCTGACTTTCCTGCCATTCAATGGCAGAATTCCTGACATTGGTATTCATGCGCACAGACGCAAGTCTATTCGTGATAGTGACAATTTGCGCCTAAATTATGTATCGCATATATTCACTGCCTGCCCTGTCCGGTATTTTCATTGCAAATTTTGCACAGTCGATGACACCTGAGAATTTATTTGTTACATGATACGAAGCTCTCTTTGCAGAATTCTGACATGCGTCTAGGCCTACGCGGCCGATGTATTAGATAACATTGAATGTTAGAAACTTCGTTCTCTGTATTTTCCGGATGGAAAATTAAAAATAAAAATAGATTTGGTAAAAAAATTGAATGCTAATCGTACAATCTGTACATTAATTAAACCTATTTTTTTTATATTTCTTTCATTTTTCTTTCACCAATCATCCTTTTTTAACTGTACATACACAGTGCTGCTTAGGCGTCAATCTGTTTATGGCAACGGAAACCCGAGTTCGATTCCTGGTTTTAGCGTTCCACAGGAATGCTTCCACTTACCTCACTATCCTACCTTAATTCGGTGCCCATAGTGTTATTACAAAAACTTAATAGGTGATATCCCCCAAATTTCAAGTGATATCTCCCTGACAATTGGTTATATCGCCATAATAAAACAATTTCATGGTAATATCGCCTAATCGTTTTGTTATAATCTGGAGCGCCCTTTTTAAGTTCAATTCAAATTAAAAGAAACAGTAATCTTATTTTTGTCAAATATACAAGAATTACCTGTGACGAACTCTCATTCACAAACACACATATATATATACGCCGAGCTGGTTGTCACTTTATGTTCTACATTGTTGTAAAATCGGTCCTTTTTTGTATGGAAGTTAATACTATCACTCCATGAGAATAAAGATGATTAATTTAACATATTTAGAATATTAACAGGTTACAATAAAAGACATCCACTGCCAATTTATGTATGAGTAAAGTAGATCTACAAAATTATTGCCAGAAAATGTTGACTATGAACAAAAAGAATTAATTAAATATAAAAGATTTTTCCACCGTGAAAAAAATCACCTATTGATATTGTAATATAATTTTCTAAATTACAGGTGAGGGACACCAAATTGTATACAATCACTGAATTGTCTCAAGTTGTAAATAAATTGTAAAGTTAGCTAACGATTAATGTAAGTCCTATATCAACGATGCGAATTACAAGCAATATTACGTTATCGGATTGAGTCGAGAAGAGCGCGCGTTTAAATCGTGGTTAAAAAGGCATTCTTTCGGTAGGCCTAATCACGGACTTATATATATAAGTATATGTATATAAGTCCGTGGCCTAATTGCAATAGGGAGAGGAAACAGGAAATTTTGACAAGCTGCTACATATTTACAATATACAGGCAACTTTCGCAGGTTAATTTATCAGCGTCACCATGGTAACAACACGGACTTGGTTTCATCTTTATCTATATCCGTGGTTACAATTGTCGTTACTTAAAAAGAGAAGACGTTATTACACTTCATTTCTGGATATGAGTTACATATCGTCTGAAATACACTATTTCTTATCATTATTTCACGCCCCTGGTAAATAGCAATTTGCAAAATGCAATTAAAGGTACTCAATAGTCCCATAAATCTGAATTATATATCCCTGATTCCGTCTCATAACTAAACATATGTTTTTTTATAGCTCTAATAATAAATAAGATTGTTTTCTACATATATTTTGGGAAACTAGCATGTATTTGTAAATAACAACGCACATAATACATAGATTAATAAATATATTACGACACGGGTATTCTTCGATTGAGATATTCTGTATTTGATATCAATGTTACATGCTTATCGTCCCTGATTGTCAGTGATTGATGACGTCATCTTTGTCGCGGAAATATTTTCTGACATTCGATTATGCTTCACAACGTTGACTCGCACGTAGTAAGAAAAATCTTGCATTTCCATATGTACCAACATAACACACGTTAACAGAACATTTCGCAATTGTTGTAAATTAAGTAAAAATCGTATGTTTTATACAAATATATTTCGGTAGGTCTTTTCACTTACAACGAAATACATGTAGATTTCCATCTGTCTCCTTCACAATTAAGACGTACTGTGTTTTTTTTCCCCAACATACCGTTTACGGATTTCTCCCGAAACCCCTATCACTGGACATTACATGTGTGCCATTTCTAGTGTTATAACAGCTTGCCGGGTGTCTGTCAACCACGACCCAAATATTCTACATACTACCTTGGTGTTCAGCGATCTAGGATTATATATCACTACCAATAATTAACTTCTTGTCTCAGTAATGTGTTGTGGAAACTTGCTTGAGTTTGAATTACTCGATAAATTTCGTCGGGTATTGCATATTTAGAAAAGCGTTCTAGGAGCCAGCTTCAATAGTTAAGCGTTAGGATTTCACTTGTTCTAAATGATGATTGTCATTTTTCATGGCAGTAATTTTGCAAGGTTATCTTTCTACTGGCGTATTATGTGTACTGTATCGGAAATACACAGAAGCATTACGTTTTGTAGATGAAAGATTTTATTTTCAATGTGAAAGTAAAATCCTAAACATCATCTTTTTGTCTAGGAATTTTTTTACGTCCGTAATTTCCGAGGCTTTTCTTTACGTACATTACGTATAATCAATATATAATTTGGACGTACGCTGTACGGATGTCTGGACTTTGGTCGTTTGTTTACGAAACAAGGATGCATCGAATGATATTATTGTAAATGTCAGTAAAACACTAATGAGGACTTTCAAGGTATGTTTTAACACCTACTTAAAGAAATCCGATACCTATATATATATATGCAGTTGATGTCTCTGAAATGTAAGTAAATGAGGCACGTGTGTTGCCAGGGATCACGTGACGTATATTCAAGGAAGGGATAAGGACCTAGTATTGGTCCTTGATGTATTCTTTATTAACTAAAGATGTGTTTGACATGTTGTCACTTAACACCAAAAGCTCTACAAGTTTAGTGATGTTAGCATTTTTAAACTACAATAGAAATTGAAGAAGAAAAAATTGTTGGGTACTTTTTGATATATGGAATAATAATATATATTTTTATATATAGAATATTGTTTAAAATTCGATTTTGAAAGTCAAACTCAGATTTTATTTGATGTAAATCAAAGTATACTTCTGTACTAATGACGATGTTTAAATTTTTAATCAAAGCCTTTCATTGGTACTAAACCTTCAAGATATTCCATCTGTAGCATGTACTATATAAAAAAATATCTGTTTCATATGTTGTATATACTAGAAACCTCCCTCTGTATTTCAGCCTTTTGTTGGAAATCTTTGTACATAAATTCATACTCAACATACAATGAAATGTATAGAATAATATTGTATTAAAGAAAAAACAAACATTTTCAACTACAATAGAATTATCTTAAAAGTGACCATACTGCTCCCTCTTTGAATGGCTTTGGCCCATTTTATCAAAATTGGAGTATTTTGTTTCAAATTTAAGATTCTGTAAAATATTTTGATAAATTCTGGCAAAATATTTAAAATTTTGGTGAAATGTTAGGAATTTTGAAGTTTTTGAAAAAGGAAAATATGGATAATTTAGATCAATCTGTACTAATATGATCACAAATTACTACTCTACCTGATGCGCCCCATAAATTTTGTGGAGCAAATAATTGTATTTTGATCATCTATCTGTTTACCCACCCATGATGCTTATCTGGGTCAGAACCTTCTGTTTTGTGAAAGAAGTTCATAAGTACTAGCTTGGTCAGGTGATACACTCTTTGTATAATGACAGTCAGGTTAGTACATCTGGGTAGGTCAATATTGAGGTTATATTGATGCTTAAGGTCAAATTCATCATCAAGAACATATTGATGAAGTAAGGTCAATGAAATTCCATGGATATCCAAGGTCAAGGCCACATTAAATTAAAGGAAAAAAATTGACATCCATTTCACGGATATTTGTTGGACAAGTGTTGTGTACTTTTTTCAGGTCTGTGTAATATATGTCATACATTTGAATTCTATGGCAAAACATTGCAATTTGTGTGTGTGTGGTAGGCGCGCTGTCTGTTTTTTCTTGCCTTTTCACATCACATCAACACCTATTCATAAACAAAATACAAAGTCAGTTTTGAAAGTCAAGCTCAGATTTTATTTTATTTTTAATCAAAACACACTTCTGTATCATTGACAATGTTTAAATTTTTAATCAAAACCTTTCATTTGGTACTAAACACTGGCGTAGGCAAGGGGGGCAACTGCCCCCTCCAATTGTCCCAGAGGTGACTTTTGAGAACACTCTTTGTATAATGACAGTCAGGTTAGTACATCTGGGTAGGTCAATATTGAGGTTATATTGATGCTTAAGGTCAAATTCATCATCAAGAACATATTGATGAAGTAAGGTCAATGAAATTCCATGGATATCCAAGGTCAAGGCCACATTAAATTAAAGGAAAAAAATTGACATCCATTTCACGGATATTTGTTGGACAAGTGTTGTGTACTTTTTTCAGGTCTGTGTAATATATGTCATACATTTGAATTCTATGGCAAAACATTGCAATTTGTGTGTGTGTGGTAGGCGCGCTGTCTGTTTTTTCTTGCCTTTTCACATCACATCAACACCTATTCATAAACAAAATACAAAGTCAGTTTTGAAAGTCAAGCTCAGATTTTATTTTATTTTTAATCAAAACACACTTCTGTATCATTGACAATGTTTAAATTTTTAATCAAAACCTTTCATTTGGTACTAAACACTGGCGTAGGCAAGGGGGGCAACTGCCCCCTCCAATTGTCCCAGAGGTGACTTTTGAGAAACGTGTAAATCCGTTATTTTCCTTCAAAATACGCTCAAAATGCAGGAAATGGAGCCAAAATTTTCAAAATTTTCTGAAGAAGGGCCCCAAGACCCCTCACCAAAGCTTTGCACCTTTGGCGCTCGCGACGCACGGCTTCGCCAGCATTGCCAGATTTTTGCCCCCCTCTAAATTTAGATCCTGGCTACGCCACTGGTACTAAACCTTCAAGATATTCCATCTGTAGCATGTACTATATCACAAAATATCTGTTTCATATATTGTATATACTAGAAATCCTCCCTCTGTATTTCAGCCTTTTGTTGGAGATCTTTGTACACAAATTCATACTCAACCAACCATGACATTAAAGTAAAAGTTCAACAGAACCGAGATAAAGAATTGAATGTAGTTACTATGTGTCATTGTGAAACTATCAAAATAGGTCACACACACAGCCTCCTTTGTTTCAACACTGAAACTGAATTTCTTTTCAAAATTTGTCAAAAAAAAAAAAGAAAAAAGAAAAGAGAGAAAAAATCATTTACTAAGAAGCTGGAATTTGAAACCTAAAATATGTAATTCAACTTTCTTTAAAAACATTAGCTGAGAGATGAGATATTGAGCAAATATAAACAAGTAGAATATGTCTATAAGACATGAATGTACCCACTCCTATACAAATTAGTATCATTGTTTAATGAATTTGTAGAAGTTGTCAAATGTGACTCTGGCCTTTTAACCTAAACCAAATGATCTCCTTAATATGACCAAGTGTAGAACTTTAAGTCAGGATACTATGGGGATGGATATGAACCAAATCTGTTCAGAGGTCCTCAAGATCTGACAATGATTCAAAACAGAATGCAATTGCATGGATTAGGCTGACATGGGTAACATTACAACCCCTCCCCCACCTTCCCCAAGAAAAAGGTGGAGGAACAAAAACAAAACAGACTAATGTTCTACATGCAACATATTTATATTCTTAAAAATAAATTGAGAAAGTTTGATGACAAAAATTGGAGGCAAAAACTTCAAATCACAATAGTAATATCCTCAACAAAGTAACATCTTTCATGAATATGATCAAGTCCACAAATATTTATTAGGAAACTTGAGACAGCAGTCTTCTTTATTTGCAATAAGAGACTTAAGGTGTAGCAACTGAATTTAAGTAGCTGTAAAAATCAATGATTTACAAGCAAAACATTAATTTTTTAACATTATCAATCAAGAACACTTTCTAAAAGTATTATTTTAAATTATTTTTGTCCTGCTTTTTATACTGTATCAAATTTAGTATATATATTTGGCAGTCACTTGGCTTGCCTGTACCTAATGCTGTTTGGTAGCATTTCAAAATTTTTCTAATGTCCTGTAATAAGCCCACCCCTGACTTTGAGACAGAAGTAACACACTGTCCCCTGGGCTTATTGAAAGATAGACAGGGTAATACAATACTATGCATTAAAATTCTTACAATGGTAGCCTGTATTAGTTGAGTTTAAATCTATAGCACACAATGTATAGGAGAATTTGCTATCCTCGAGAGTACCTTGGTATGATGAAATAGCACTTTACAAGAAAGTTACAGAAAATAATTAAATTAATATCACATTGTGGAATCATTTGAGAACAGTGTCATCAATGTTGTCTGGAGGTGGTTCCACTTGCTTGCTTAATTTCAATAAAGTTTTAGTGACAAGTTCTGACAGTGATTCTCTCATGCCTGCATCTAACTGCTGCAAGGTCTCCTGCAATCAACCAAAGAATAATTCAAAACTCGTACAAATACACAAACAAAAAAGAGCGAGAGAGTGAAAAAAATAGAAAGATGGAGACACACAGACAGCAACAGGTTTATGGATTAATCATGCAGTTTGCTTCAAACATATTTCATGATTATTTGAAAAGATTTACGATTTGCTTTCAAATGTTTCCTTTCAGATTTAATCAAGCGGTGATCTTGCCAATAAACACTAAATGATATTAACAGTATTTCATTACCGGTACATGATCATTTTTCAGGGCAAGCATAATAATCTATTGTGTCATGTGAAAGTGTTGGTGAACGTTTCAAATGACTTCTAATCAAGATATAATTTACAAAAATTGGTACACAATTTCATATCAGACTTCCAACAAACTTGACAACGGTACTGTAAACTGCATTCAAAATAAAGTACTTACATTTAAGAATGTATCTCCTTGCCGAAGCTTGAGCAGAGAGACCAGGGCATATTCACTGTTGGATCTGACGGAAGTATTCTTCTCCTTAGCACCCATGACTAGTGGTGCAGTCAGATATCTAACCAGTTCAAGAGATTGTTTCCCTTGGAGATTGTGTATGAGGAAGGAAATTACTTGGGTGACCAGTTGCTTCACATCATTTGAGTCATTCTTTAAACCCTGTTGTAATAACAATGCCACATAAATTCAGTTTTTTTTAACAATAGTGATTCCCTGGTGACTCTTTAGTATAGTTTTACAAATTACAGACATTCTGTGGTACACTCTTTACAATATTAATTCCCTGGTGTACTTCTTAGTATAGTTTAACAATAGTGATTCCCTGGTGACTCTTTAGTATAGTTTTACAAATTAAAGACATTCTGTGGTACAGTATAGTATAGTTTAACAATAGTGATTCATTATTTATTAAACAGTGATACCCTGGATACTTCGTTACGAGTAATTTTACTATAGTGATTCTGGTGCACTTTTTAGTATAGTTTTACAAAAGTAATTACCTGGTGTATTCTTTAGCACAGTTTTAAAAAAGTAATTATCTGGTGTACTCTTTAGCACAATTAGTAAAAGTAATTACCTGGTGTACCCTTTAGCACAGTTTTACAATTACAGTATATTTCATTTAATTTCATGTATACAAAGTGGCATTTGAATTTTTATCATGTTATATTCTGAAACTTTTTCTCCTTTTCACCAACTAATTATGGTCCAGACATAAAAACGTCAAAAAAAGAGCAGCAACTCCAAAAAACTAGGCTTTAGGTGTCAACTAATATCTAATGTGTATATTTATATCTTAAACAAAGATAAGATTATCAGTATGTGACATATCTCCATTGTCACTGCGTCTGTAAAATCTCGGTACATAGAGCAACAGACTTCGGAACCTGATTTGAAAATCTGAGGAGTATGGTCCAATCTCCATCAGAGGTAAATGGTGAGAAAAGCCCATGGATCATTTTGTACTGTCTTGGTTGTGTTGGGTAAAACAGACATTTGCTATAAGATGCTTAGACTGCCTGACACATCAAAGGTCTAACTGGTAACCTAACAGAAACATGAACCAATGGGCATCTGGATTGACTCACACATGGACTGACATGGAGGGCATTTCAACTAATATTAGGCCCTGATTTTATTCCCGACAAGAGGCAGACAAACCTTGACAGACTTCTTAATAAACTATAAAGAGGCAAGTAGTAGGAACAATCATAAGACGTTCAAAACCATTCTGAAATTTTTGGGAGTGCATATTAAAGTTATTCATAATCAGTTTGTATTATATTATTTCACAGAAGCAGTATTTACATAAAATGTGTGATCATCCATTTCTGCCTATGAAAGTAAACCAAATATGGCTTCAATGTTTCAGTAGAAATGTAAAGAAAGCATCACACTTCTATCATTTGTTTGTTGACTGTCAATATCTATTGGGTAGAGATGATATTTCTGGTTGTTGTTTTTTTTTTTTAGAAATTTCTAATATCTTGTCCCTTTGAAGACCTCTCCCTTAGCTTTTTGGGGAGGGGGTGGAGGAAGATCCATACCACTCAAAATTTTTGAACAATCTTGCTCTAAGGATATGTCTGTGACCAAAAACAATAAAATTTGACTGACTGGTTTAGTAGATCGCAAAAAGTATCCTTTTCCTTGATAAACTATAGTAAACTTCAATCTCTACCAGGGGGCACTTAGACACAGGACAGCTCTGAATTTCTGGTAAACTCCCTTAAGGGCTTTCAACTATGAAAGAATTTTAGTTCTGACATTTCTAGTTGAGATGAAGCCTTTGGAGGCCTGTCCCCAACTGTGAAAGAATTTTAGTTCTGACATTTCTAGCGGAGAGGAAGCCTTCGGATGCCCGTCCCAAACTATGAAAGAATTTTAGTTCTGACATTTCTAGTTGAGATGAAGCCTTTGGGGGCCCAACCCCAACTGTGAAAGAATTTTAGCTCTGACATTTGAGATGAAACCTTTGGAGGCCGGTCCCCAACTGTGAAAGAATTTTAGTTCTGAGATTTCTAGTTGAGATGAAACCTTTGGGGGCCTGTCCCCAGTTCCACTTAGGGGCCAAACCCATAAATTGCACAATATTCAAACTGTATTGACCCAGGAATGTTTGTAGTCAAATAATTGAAATAAGTGACTGCTTTTTAAGGAGATATAAAAATCTGAAAAAGTTTATGCATGACAACAGATTGAACATTATAGCAAGAAGTCATTTTCAAATGACCTAAAAATTCATCTTTTAAAAATAAAGTGTTGGAAGAATGTAATTGATATAAGTGATAATAGGCACTTTAACACTCACCTTAATAAGGGTTAATACTAGTGAAGGTACACTGCCATCACTGCTAGATAGCTGGTAATTCAGTAAGAAACCCATACAACGATAGCCGCTGATACACAGGGGAATCTGTCAACAGAAAAAAACATCATACAGGATCACTTAGGTATAAAAGATAGAGCTGTGGTTTATCTTAGGGCTGATCCAGGTGTCCTATACTATTTGGGTGGTTACAGCAGGGATGCAGGGTGATTTGTCATAGTGATAATCAATTCAGGGTAAAACAATCACAACTGTTTCCTAGATTGAGTTTTTCAATTCATTACATATTCGTCAACGTATTCTGCACTGTGCAGGCTTCAACAAGGCGAAACATGTTGACTAATTGAAGAACTCCCACTTGGAAGCCATTGTGGTTGTTTTACTCTGGATTTGTATAAGATCAGATATAGACGGTAAACATGACATAGACTAAACTTTATCCACAAAGCAAAACAGGTGTATATTACAGACTGATAATGTTAATTTTTCACCATAGTTCAAATTTCTGCAGCTTGAAGGAAAAAGAGAGACATTTTTCAAAGGAAATTATGAAATGGAAAGTAATTCTTAAAGATAATTTTCTAAATGCATTTTTCATACTTTTATTTAACCTCAAAAACAGAGAAAATAAGATCTCTGTGAAAAAAAAGGTAACAGTTTTCATAGCATTTAGTGGTGCGAGGAGAAAGTAAACTGTAGGAACATGATTGTGATGATTGAGAACTTCATGAATTACAGTCTACTAATGAATGTGAAATTACACACCACGGGTGCACTAATAAGGAATTAGTGTAGGAACTAATTCTTGACACTGAGGTCAGCTATGCTCATAGTATAAAGTTCCAGTGACTAGAAGTGTAGGAGATAGTGTAAGGACAAACTTTGTCCTCTGATGAAGGTCAGTGATGAAAATGTAGGTTGGCGTAACTTAATTTACTATATGTCACTACATCCTTAACAGGATCAAAGTTTATTCATGTCTAGATTTGGGAGCATAATCACTTCTATTCATCTTTGGCTCATTTACCATTATAAAGCCTCATAATGAAGTGATAAGAAATTTTGAATTTTGAAGTATGTCAATCACTTTTTGTATCTTTTTTAAACAATAAGCATCATTATCATAAATTCTATTTTCAAATTTGGATTCCAAAATTTCCAATATTTGTATGCAGTGATGAAATATCACAGATTTCAGCATTTAATCAAATCAGCTGTTGTTGATCACATTTATGAAATCCTAGTGAGCTGTCTCTGATAAACTACAAGTGTGTTTAACAGGTACCCATTAACACCAGCTATAGTAATTACTAATGTGATATGAAAGAATGCACAATAAACTACAGCCATCTTGATTTTATTACTGGGGGAATTATCTTCATTATCAAACAACAATAAAGAGGCAATTTAAGCGAAATGACCTTTTCAATCAAATAACTGTCCTGTATATGTCAGTAGGTCGTGAATGCTATGAATAATAGTTCATTGTTTTCTTTTCCTTTATTACATATAACAATGGTGACTTGACCTTGGAAACCTAAAAACACTAAGATCTTTGTCTATTACAGTATTTATTTACTTTATGTTCAAATTCTTAACATGCCATGTCTCCCTTCCACCACTAAAAGCTATTATCTTTTTGATACAATTATGCTGTACTTTCACATAAAACAATATTATAGATATCCATTTTCACACAATCACCTTATCATTTAAAGTATACTCTTTCCCATTTGATGTTTTTGTATCTTATTTTTGAAGTCATTGACTTGTGGATTAATTTTCTGGTAATGACATTCAGCAATTTTCACTATTTCCATGGTTACTGAAAAGACGATGAAGAAGAGAATTCAACAAAAATTCACTACTACAGGGCTAGATTTAATTGTATATCCTGTTATCTTGAACAATTTTAAAACTTTGGCGGAGATAACCCAATACTTGTAATTTTGGTTGACTGTTTTCATAGTAACAGATCAAATTTCTTAATATAAGAAGTTTTCTAACAACAAAAGCTTTACTAGAATTGTTGAAGTCAAATCCCAGGAGACAGTAGTAAGTATACACAGCTCACCCTATCAGATGTGGCTAGTTCTGTAATGTAATCTTCTATGCTTCTCTCAAGTCCAGTGCCAGTGAGCTTGCTCGGGACTTCCTTCAGGGCGACCCCTAGAGCCATACTCCGGCCCTGTCTCAACATCCAGTCCTGGCTTGGGTCAGCATCTGTTAACACATCAAAACATATGTTCTACTGCATTAGAGAACTACATTTTAATTTACAAATAATACTGTACTGTAAAATGTTTTTATGATCTATAGAAGTGGGATCCCAGAGGGATTTTATCACCCATTATTAATAAATGCTCTGTTATTACAGCAAATTTGTCTGCCCTTACCTAGTAAGTGTTGTATAAGTGTGTCTTTAAGCTCTGCTTCTGATAAAGCTGTACACAGGGCTCCAAGGCAACCAGCAGCAACTGCACGTGTGGCATCTTCCTGAGAGCCAAGTAACTCCAACAATGTGGCAGTGATCTGTTTCCTCAGTGGCTCTGCCATCTTCTGTCCAGCCCCAGAAACACAGAATCGAAGTGCCTGTAGCATTGTGTCTCTATAACAAAAGAACAGAATTTATTAATTAAAATTGTAAAGGAAGTGATATAAAATGTTTGAGAAACCTGGATGTCAAATACAGAATGATTCATCATTAACCAAACCTCATTGCCAGGTAATATGTATTTACTTGCTTCAATGACAGTTATACAACCAAACTAATCTTCTCTGCAGGTGTAATATGATAATTAAGGGAAATCATTATAGAGAAACCAAAGACAGACAGATGCACAGATAGACAAACTAAATCCCTTGTAAATCATAGATAATGGAAATGTGCAGTGACCTTACATATAAAGCATCAAAATGATATTTCTCTTTTTAAAGCTGTGTGGTGATGGAATTTATCTAGAACAAGTATGCTCCCTCGTTCAAGTATAAGAAGGAGCCGCAAAGCATGGCAATGAATAGCCAAACAAATGTATTTAACACTTATAGAGATCAGCTGAACATTGTCAGTTGTAGCCCATAAAGAAAACTACTAACAGTAATTTTGGTATTTCTGATTTTGTTTCAAAGGGATCAGAGTAAATATAAAAAATGAGATCTCACCAGTATTGAAAGGCACAACTAAGAAACAAGCCTTGTATACAAAAATTACTGAGATCAGTAGAACTCAAATTCTACAGGCTACAGCCTGGAAAAGCTCCTGGGATGGACAGATGGTGGGGCCCAATTTAATAGTCCATGCAAATGCATCTCGCACAAGACACTAACTAATGTCAAATTCATTTTTTTCTATTGAGACTGTATCTCCTAGGGATAGAGTTACCCTAAACAATGTATTCACACCTTCCTTAGGGGGTACCAGTGTTACATGTTACCAATCTGGTGGGTTTTGTATCCTCATTCAGGGGTAATGATACCCCAGGCAAATTTGTTTCTCATGAAGCTGTTCTATGCTATTCTGTTTATATCCTTAGATAAGACACTTAAGACTAACAACTTCTAATATCATGCAATGTGCCTCATACAGGTAGTAACCTCACCAACAAATGATACTGCAAAATCAGATTAAATAGAAAGATTGATATATTCCTGGCTCATCACATGTATGTGTTGACTACAGACTAAATAGATATTTACTTGACGGATGAATCTGAAGTGTTCCTAATGCCTGAGTGCAGTTCTGTAAACAGTGGATCCACCCGTACATGTATCACAATCAGACGGCCAAGTGCAGATGCTGCCTTCAAACGTACAGCACGCTGGGGATCGTTTAGTGCCTTCAGGAAGGTTGTCTGTAGCTGGGGTAGGAAGGGCTTCAACTGTAGGCCAACCTGGAAAGTATAACATCAAGATCTATATGGTTAGATTCAATCTAACAAAACATAAAATCTTAACAGAGAAACAACAAAACATGTAATTCAACAAGGTGATTCACAATTTCAAAACAGACAAGTGATTCACAATTCAAAACAGACAAGTGATTCACAATTTCAAAACAGACAAATGATTCACAATTTCAAAACAGTCAAGTGATTCACAATTTCAAAACAGACAAGACAAGTGATTCACAATTTCAAAACAGACAGGTGATTCACAATTCAAAACAGACAAGTGATTCACAATTTCAAAACAGATAGATGATTCACAATTCAAAACAGACAAGTGATTCACAATTTCAAAACAGATAGATGATTCACAATTCAAAACAGACAAGTGATTCACAATTTCAAAACAGACAAGTGATTCACAATTCAAAACAGACAGGTGATTCACAATCCAAAACAGACAGGTGATTAACAGTTTCAAAACAGACAGGTGATTCACAATTCAAAACAGACAGGTGATTCATAAATTAAAGTTGATCGGAAAGCAATATACTCAATACAGACAGTTGAATTCAAAACTGGGGAGTGATCATTTTGTAATGTTTAATTTGGCTTTGATAGAAGTTACTAAAGATCTTTTGATTCAAGTTTGTTGTCTGACAGAAATCACCATAGAAATATCTAATCTATTCTAGCTATAAATGGTATTATGAATGATTTATACATCAAAATGGATCACCAAAAAATTGAATTTTCTTTGCTGTTCTGAAGCCAGGAAAAATTTCTGATCTTTCCAAAATTAACTGGAATTAAATAAGAGGGGAAGTTGGGATCTAAAAAACATTGAAGCTTTATAGGAGATGGGCTATTTCTTTGGTAAAATATTTGTTATTACTGACCTTGGCAAGAAGTAAGGTCAAAGTTTCCAAGACAGCAACCTTGACCTGTGCTGAGAAGCGGTCACCAAGGATACGAATGAGTGGACCGGTGATATTTACAACAGATGGTTTCAGGGCCTCTGGGCTGGTCAGGTGGATCAGTTCTCCGAGCCCATTGGCTGCCACAGCCTTCACATCCTGTGAACCGTTCAGCATACCCTCACGGAATATTGGCAGCACTGGTGCAATACCCTGCAATTTACCATTAGAAAAATGAATTCTGAACATTTAAAGTTTTAGGAAATGATTGCTAGGTTTTAGATAATATAATTCTAGGGAATCCATACACTATTCAATCGGGGATGACCAAAATTTAAATCAAACATATCAATTTTTTTATTTATATGAAGGTTAAACCATCAAACCATGGATTAAGAAGATTTTTATCAAATGGATCAATTCGTTTTTTCAGCTATCCATTAAACTATGTCAATCAATGCTTCACACCGAAAAAGTCATCATTCCCAAGCTCTCCATTCTTTACAGCCTTCATTTATATAAGTTAATTTCTCAAAGCTTTATTAAGTAAACCCAGTTAATATATGCTCAGCTCTTCTTGGGGAAAAGCATTAAAAGAAAAAGAATAACGACTCAAAGATGAAGTCTTAATATAGATTTCAAAATTAGATTTTTAAACAACTTCATAACAAAATGGAATGAAACATCATCAGATAAATTTCCATTCAGTACCTTCTTTGGAATGCTAAACCCTGGCAGCTCCTTGGCTCCCTTTAGCTCAGAAGCAGCTAGCTTGATGGCTGACCTTATGTCTTGAATGTGTTGTAACATCTCGGACACGTCCAGTTTCTAAAGCAAAACAACCTTCATTTAATCGATCTTCATCTTTAGGTACCATATCCCTGCCAACCTTAATATCATAAATCTAATGAACTGTACCTCATTATTTTTAACTATAATATTAGAAACAGCTAAAAAAATTTTCAATATAATTACAACCAGACCTCCCCAAAATTTAACATGTAGCATTACCCGGTTATATTTGTACAGTAGTGATGATATTTTGTTATTAAGTGGTACCTTATTGTGAATGTGAAAACTTTTGTGTGAAATAATGAGTTACATGTGTTTTTGAATGGCCTTTTATATATGCAGATGGCAAAATTTTAATTTTAAAGAAAATAGCGAAAATTATGACCTGTGAAAATAATCAGCCATATGGTAACTTAGTCCAAACAGAATCATGATTCAGTCTCTCAGACAATTTGAAGGCTAGGTGTTGAGCTTATTGATATTTCAATTATTTTCCTTAAAAAAAATCTTTTTTTTTGTGAAAGTTACCTTGGTGACTGTGTTGAGACACTCCCAGCTCGCCAGTAATACTTTACTCTCTTTCCGCACAAAGGATGCAATCAGACCTCTAAATAGATCTGTCCGGTAGTCGGAGTAGTCAGTCTGTGTCTTGTCACAGAAGGCCTGTAAAATAACCACTGCTGCACAGCAGAGGTCCGGAGATGGGTTTTTGATGGCTGCCAATAGTTCCTCCATGATGGTACGTACTCCACGGTCATCTTGGACCGACAATACCACACTTCGACAGTATTCCAGTTCCTGTACAAATCACAAACAAAACAACCGTGATTTATACTTTTAATCAAAGATTAAATGCATACGCAAGACATTCAACTTTGTGTTTGTGAGAAAGCTTTTAACTTATAATATTTCTTAAATTTCTACATTAAGTGATACTGACATTTATTGCAAGAAATCTTACATACAACATCTAATCTATTAACTGGGAGGCGTGAAATTCACAGAGACCTTGTGAATTTACTTTTATTTTGTTTATGAGAAATATAAGAATATTTTACACTAGGATGTTGTAAGTTTTCGTAAACATTCTCCTAACTATAATGACTACATTTTTCAAATTCTTGAGATATCATTGATCTAACATCGGTTTTGAATGGATGAAACACCCAAAATTTCATAAATAAATTTTTGATAGATAATAACGACATTGCTAATTTTCTAAAGAAAACAAGTAATTTCGGGTGAAGCATACTATTGAAGAGGTTTGGACATTTTTCTTTAAGAGAAAATTTACATGCAGTTATGAATTTCTACAAGAGATTAAGCAGTATCGTACAAAAAAAACTTCTTTTAAAAACATCTCTGTTCTAATGAAAGCAATAAACTTTGTATAAAATAATCCTTCAAAACCCAAGTAGGTGTTTGTCCATGGTGACAAGTATTTTGGAAATAGGACATCATTTTTGGGATTCACAAGTCTTGGATGAAACAAGGGTTATCCATGGTGATGAGGTATTTAGAAGTAGGATATTATTTTTGGGATTCACAAGTCTTGGATGAATCAAGGGTTATCCATGGTGACAAGCTATTTAGAAGTAGGACATAATTTTTGGGAGCGACTAGACTTACCTGAGCTTCATCTGGGGTTCCAGCCTTCTCACTGAGTGTGTCCATCAAGGCAGGCAGTATCTTAGGCAAGTGTTTGGTGAGTGAGTCGCCTGCCACTGATGACAACAACGACAGTGCTTGTGTGTTCACTGGAGGGGTCACCAGCTACATTGAAAGGTAAAGGTCACACTTTTATGAAACTTGTGGGATATTTAACATAAGAGTCTGAGGACTTTCAATGTTAGGTTACTCAAATATCTCAAATTTATTCTATCTTCTTTTAATCTCTACTGACAAATTTTAATATGCTTTCTCAAATAAAAGCTGTGTTTGAATCAAGGAGACAAAACAAATGTATTCCCCCTCCATAGGATACTATAGGTAAATATGAATTAAATCTGCTGAAGGATTCTCAAGATATTGATTTAAAACAGGATGGAATGGGATAGGACAAGACAAGGGTAACATTATATGATTACTGGACAAGACATGGGTAACACTATGATACAATAATGGGCAAGAAAATACTATGATATGATTTCCAAACCCCCACCCCTCCCCCTTAGCGAGGACATGAACATAATACCTAGATTTCAAAATTATTATTTTTGAGAGACATTTTTTTTGCAAGGGAAAATTCATATTAACTCCAGTAATTTTGTAATCAGGAACCAATACTAAGATTATAATTCCCTGACCAAATTAACGCTTGCATTTACAAGTAACAATCTCATGGCTTAGAAAGGTAAAATATAAAAGATAATCAACTAGAATTTACTGTTCAACATTGCTTAAAATCTCTTAGTTAATAATATCATTTGTTACAATAGGAAAATAAAAGAAAAAAAAGAAAATATTAGAAAGAGTTGTCTCCCTTCAATAAGAAAGATGATGAATTTTCCAAAGACTAAAAAATCTTGATTTCGTTATCAAATAAAAATACTAAAACCAAACAAGAATTTAGAGAACTACTCAATAAAAGAGAAGAATAGTAAAAAAATAGATATTAAACTGAATTTTTTTTAAAATGCAAGGCAACAGATGCAAATATGCAAATTTAAGAAAAGTATTGAAATCAGACAATTATAATCGGCAGTATATATAGCACATAATGCACAGTACAATGCATGTGTGGTGGTAAGGCTTGCTTTAGGGGCAACACACAGAACACCTTGGTTGTTCAACAGGCCCCCTGGGAAGGTCTGAGACAAAAGTCACCAACCCTCGAGAAGGGGGCCTCCTGAATAGGAGGGTGGGACACCAGAAACAGGCTTGGCCAGGTACCCATGGCACAGGACCTCCACGCTGTGGTGGGATGCTATGTACCTGTGTTTCAGTTGGAAAAATCCCATGACTGGCTATGTAAGTTCAATTTGCAAGGTGGCATACTTGCCATAACTCGATTCAGACTACTCTACTGCCACATATTCCTTTTAGTATTTCAATTCATCACACTCAAAAAAATTAAAAAAAAAAAACATTAATTATCATTAAATTCCTTTTATCACCTTATTTATTTACTATTCAACAAAACTGATGATCTTATTCATTATCTAGCCAAAAATGTACCATCAACCACTTTCCTTCAATAGTTGGACAAGGCCCGCTCATTTTTTTGGAGATATTGAACAATTTTTGAGGAAATTAATACGCACCAACATCATACCTATATATGTACAAATTTATCCTTGAAAAAAATAATTCCAATATGAACAGGTCCCAAGGAAAGATAAGAAATCAGTTTTCCATAGGAGAGATGATTTAATATTTCATGCCAAGGGATAGAGACTGTGTAATAAAGCCTCGCGCGCGGAGTAATTCATACTTTTCTTTCATCATAGGAGAGATGATTTAATATTTCATGCCAAGGGGAGACAACTACTTTTCTTTCATCTGTTTGAAATTGTATATATTTGTAAATGTATTTTGTCATGTGAAAATAAATGAAAACCTTATAAATTTCTATAAAAGTAACAAAAGAAACAAATCTCTTCTTGTGTAAAACTTTCTAAAATTCAGTATATGCTTTTTATAATAATAATGAAAACATCGAATGTGTTTTACATTGTTTAAATTTTAAATATGAAGTTAACTGTTCAAACTAGCCTCCCCTGGACCAAATGTTCTTTGCTATTTTTAAATCTCATCATGCTATGAAAGGTGAAAATTAATTGGTAAATCTGCAGTTTGAACCCTAACACAAACCAGACTGCAACATATGAATTAAATAAATAACCTATTGTGGCCCTCATGATGGTTTCTCTTTTTTTCAGTACGTGTAGACCTAGTAACCTCTCCTTATAAACAGGGGTACTTACTTGTGGTACCAGATAAGGCATCACGACACGACTCTTCACCGTCATCACTTGCTGTAGGCCATCTAATGCTTCATCTGACAGGTCTGGGTCACGCTGTCAATAAATACATACATCTACATTAAAATCCCTGATTTCAAATTTAGGTGAACCCATTTGCTTAATGGATTTGGTCAGAAAAAGTTACAGAAAGAAATCAGTAGATTTTTCAGCATAAATTGTTATGATTATTGAAATAGCCAGATTAACATATTGATAAGTATCCTGTATATTAAGTTATCGACAAAATATTTCATGAAAGTACAGATCTATCCAAACACAACATTAACCCTTAATATTGTATTCTGATGAAATATATTTGTAAATAATAAGTCTTAGACTGTACCAGTTTGTTCAGGAGGTCTGGCAGAATCTCGTCCAAGGCACGTGGCCCAATGTTAGAGTGGAGACTGTCAAAGGTGTGGGCGGCTGCCTCCCTAACTTCACCAAGAGGGTCAACAAGAGCGCGGCGTACTGTGGGGATCAGACTGTCAGCATACACAAGTACCTGGGGATTTAAAATTAACAGGTGATATTTACAACAGATATGATTTAACATTTCAGTTAACTAAGTCATGAAACTCAAATATTCATTTCATTTCTTTGTAGATGTCAAAAAGTCAATATGTCTGAGAAAGTTTCAACTATGTGCTGTTATACTATCTGGCCATAACTATTCAGCACAATATACAGTCAAACCTGTCTTAAAGTTTATCTTTATACCAAGGCTACCCGTCTGTAAAGGCTGCTTTTTTGGTAGCCAATGCAATGCAATCCATAGCAATTGAACCTCTATATAATGGCCACCTGTGTATAATGACCACTTTTCTCTGCTTCCTTGAGTGGCATTTATAGACAGGTTTGGTTACACTCAATAGGACACAATCATACTTGACATCACGAAGCTAACTTACATGCTCGCGACTGGTTGAGGCCATGATTTCTGTGAGACCAATACACACACCCTGTCTCTGGTCTGCCCGCTCTGAGCCCAAACCTCGTTCCAATATTGGAATGATTTCTGGTAACACCCGTTCTCCAAGCTTCTTTACCAGGTCTCCCAAAGTCCGTGCCGCAACCTACATCCAAAGTTTAAGATGGATTTAAATACATGCATACTGCTTACATTGGCTTCCTATAGAAAATTCTTTCAGCAGCAAGCATAGCCCCTTTATCTAGAAGATTATCTTGAATAATTTCTAAACTATATGCTTTGTAAAACATATTCACAAGAGATCTAAAATCAAATGGATGATGAGGTTTTCCTGTCTCTTCCTTTCTGCTTAACAAATCAGTCTTTAGAGCTATTTAGAAAGTAATATCACTATAGACATAATTAGGATTTCCAGAGATTTGTTTTCTCAAGATTACATTCAATAACAAGTCCTAATTCCACAAACTTTCAGAGTTGAAAGAGTTTTCAGTGAATGGATTAGCTAACATTAGTATTATGTGAAATAAAATTTCAGTAATTTGTGCAGAAGCAAAATAGCCCAAGTATGACTGAAATGTTTGGGAATAAAAGACAAATATCCATCAAGACCTGAAAGTAGTCTAGACTCACCTGTCTTTTGTCGTGACTGGTACTGGCCAGACAGCCCAAAAGGAGTGTAAATAGCACAGGGAGAATCTCACGAAGTGTTTGTGGTGTATGAGACACGATGATCTTCCACACATGGAGTGCCGACTGTCGTACCAATATGGCTGTGTCTGATCGTCCCATATAGAGTCCCGCTAATACCCGATCGCGTCTCTCCTTCCCAAGAGCTCGCATAATGGCCTGAGAGTCAAATAAATGAAATAATCATAAAATCATAACAGGGTAAAATTAAGGAAACATTTTCAAGAATTATCATTTAAATTTAGCCTGTAATAAACTGAGGGAGGAAACAGGTAATGCGTCATTCACAGTTATATAGCTATCTGGGCATTTGCTAGCATTTCTGATCAAATTGCTATAGAGGTGGGTGGGTCTATAACAAAGTTTGTGCTTCCTGCTTGATAGATACGGTGAGAATATAACACAGGGCCTTGGTTACCTTTGATGAAGATTCTGTACCAAAATTGTCATCATCATGAGCAGTCTCTGTGGTCATCTTACCAGTGACACCTGTCAACAGATATACAGTTTCTAAGACTGTTAACTAATGTTACACAGTGAATGCTGTAGACTGTAGAAGTTACAGCAGGAAGAACAAGATCAAAGACGGGTATGGAAAAACAAAACAAGTTACCAATATAAAACAAGAAAACACCCATTTGATATTTGTTATAGAAATTCCGAAAAAAAAACTATCAAATAAGCATCTTAAAATCAAATGTTATGAAATGTGACAATTTCTGTATGCCTATATATTGTAAATGTACTTCACTTGGCAAAATCAAATTTTGGGCATTATCATATTTCGGCAAATTAATGCAAAGATAAATTAGTGTATCTATAACAAATACATGTAAATACTGTAACAACAGCGCTACCATTAAGGTACAACAACTAGCACATTTAAGTAATAATACTTTCAATGTAAAAAGCACTAAAATGAAATAACCAATATAGGTACGTTTACAGTATTCAGCTCTGTAATGGTTTCATTAAGGAGTGCAGGAGGTCTCAATTTGGGAAGAAGGCAAAAATAATTCACAAGAGAAAATTGTAAATTGAACGCAACGAAACACAAAAATTTGGCATTACTGTGTGTACATACTATAATCTTTAATACCTCACTATGTTAAGTTCTTTTCAAGAAATTAACTACATTACCAGTATACACCTTAACACGTGGATCTTACCTGATATGCGGTAGAGAAGATCACCCAGCAACTGTACCGAAGAAAATCGGATCCTCCAGTTGTCGTCAAACAGGCCTTTCTCCAGCTGGGGTAACAAAAGTTCTATTGCTGTGTCTGCATATACATTAATGATTCTCTGGCCTGCCCTCAGAGCTGTGTCTCTTACATACTCCGACTCATCTGCCAACGCCTACAGTCAAATCAAGTAGAATAGTAAGGTGAAAATCTAGACAGTTTGTATTTTCACATCATTTGAAATGTCCAAGATATGGGAAATGTATATCGCAGTTAACTGGCCATGAACTCACCTTGGAGAAGGGCATTATGAGATCAATACTGCCAGATACTTACCTGAAGAATGGAGGGAATGATAGGGCCGATGTAGGCCATGAATTCTTTGCCAAAGACGGAGGGTAGGTAGATATACATCATAATGTAGCCATCACGAGCATGGGACGGGATGTCAGTACGTTCTGCTGTCTGTATGATGCCTGGCATTAGACGTTTCAGTTCAGCCAAACCAAGGCCACCAATTACTTCACTCAGACCTATACAAGTAAACAAGGAACCGTCAGGCATGTAAAAGTCTCATACATACTGATACCACAACATAAATAATGCATTAGTAACATCATAATATATAACGTACACATGTAGGCTATATGCAACAAGAGGCCCATGGGCCTTAACGGTCATCTGACAAAAAGCAAGCCAAACCTAGAAAGTGGGTTGAGGTCATTCATTTGAACAAACTTGGTAGCCTCTCCTCCAAGCATCTTACAGGCCCAATATCAGCACTCATGGACTTTTGCTTGTTGAGAAGAAGTTGTTTGTATATTTTAACATATTTGACCCCTGTGACCTTGAAAGTGGGTCGAGGTCATTCATTTGAATAAACTTGGTAGCCTTTCCTCCCAGCATGCTACAGACCCAATATCGGCACTCATAGACTTTTGCTTATTGAGGTGAAGTCCTTTGTATATTTTAACATATTTGACCCCTGTGACCTTGAAAGTGGGCCAAGGTCATTCATTTGAACAAACTTTGTAGGGCTCCATGCCAGCATGCTATGGGCCAAGTATTAGCCCCCTAGGCCTTCTAGTATTTGAGAAGAAGTTATTTAAAGATTTTAACATATTTGACCCCTGTGACCTTGAAAGTTGTTCAAGGTCCTTCATTTGAACAAACTTGATAGCCCTTCATCCCAGCATGCCACAGGCACAATATCAGCAATCTGAGCCTTTTGGTTATTGAGGAGAAGTCGTTTAAAGATTTTAACATATTTGACCCCTGTGACCTTTAAAGTGGGTCGAGGTCATTCATTTGAACAAACTTGGTAGAGCTCCATGCCAGTATCCTCTGTGCCAAGTATTAGCCCCCTAGACCTTCTAGTATTTGAGACGAAGTTGTTTGAATGAAAAGTTTACGCAGGGCGGACGGCGAACGACGACGGACGAAGCGCGATGGCTATAGGTCATCTTGACCCTTTGGGTCAGATGACCTAAAAATCAACAATGACATAAATTTATCCTGTTATCCTAGATTAAAACAGGAACATGAGCCTTAAATTTCTGTTCATAGTCCAGAGGCTACATGGCCTTCTAGTTTTTACATTGGGAAGTGTCTTTTGCAGGCCATCTGGTGAAATGGGCTGTCTGTATTTTCTTTTACATAACTGCATTAAAAAGCATCTCCAGCACAATTTATTACATCACTTCAAAAATAAAGTTTATTTCAGTGTTTGTCAGGTCACTTATAATGGATAATGGTTAATGGTTGTGTGCAAATTTTGCCTCAAATATGTGTCAAATTGATAAATTTTATTCTGAAAAAGATTACAGCATGAAACTAGACCAACATATCCCACAGGTTGTCAGATTACACAGGATAATATGACTGAATGTATTTATTTTACCTACCTTGTGCTGCACCAGATCGATCAACAGAGCTGCTCTCAGACTTCAGCGTGTCCATAAGCCACTTAAGCAGTTCATCAAACTTGGACCCTCCCATTCCTTTCACCATGGCACCAAGAGCACGAGAGGAAACGGTACGAACTTCTGGGACCGGATCCAACAGGGATTGTTGTAGACCAGGAATCACCTTCTCTATATATGGGTCCAAGTCCTAGCATAAACATACAAATTTTTAATATATATGGTTTTCATATCTTTCAAAATAAAGGGGGAAATATTCATTTTTGAGAGGATCACATTTTGTTCAAATATAATTCAGTAAAAATGTCTTCAAACAAATTATAGTTTAAGCGTGTATCCTGAAAATGTTGATTCTGACAAATCTCAGTCCTTATTGCACTTTTTACATCGACCATATTTTGGGTATGACCCATTTAGTTACATTTAAACTTTTGTCTTTCAGTGTGTATCTTTTTTTTAGTCCTTGACTTGTAGAACTGGAAAGTACACTGTGAAAGCAAGTTTACACATATCTCCTTCTCGTTCTGAGAAGATCTGACAATGGTCTACCTTTTGGTCGGTTAGAGAGTACATGTTGCCGATGATCTGGGCGGCCATTTTCCTTGTTTCTGTGTTGCGGTCCTGGAATGCACGCTCCACAACAGGCATAATAAGGGCTAGGGAGGGCGCATCAATGAAATGTACAAATTTGGTGTCTAGTAGTGTCTGTAGACACACCATTGTCTTCTTGGATGGCTCTTGTAAAGCATCTAACAGGTTAGGCACAATTTCTAAAAAAAATACAAAATAAATTACTCAAACATATCATACTTTTCTGTCTTCCCAAAAGAAAGTTTTACGGAAATGACTTCACTTTTTTGCATTTCATACACATTTCCTTACGTGCAAAATATTTTTTTTAAGTTGCATGGTAAAACCTTAACTATCATTGAGCTGTTTATAGCCAGTACACTGGGTAACACAAGGAAACAACAGAGACATCAAATAGTTTATTGTTTTATTTTGTGACATTTGACAAAAGAAATATATTATAATTTTACACACCCAGTAGGAGAAATAACAAAATATCATAACACGAACTAAGATTGAGTAAAATCTAAGACATGAATATCAATTAACATTACTTGATTACCCACCTTGAATTTCCGGGTTCCTGATGACTGCTCCAATCTGTCGGAGGGCCTGAGCTCCAGCCTTCTGGACTTTGACGTGCGAGTCAGTGAGTACCTCAGACAGTTTTGGTACGATGCTTGGTAAGCAGGCAGATAACTGTTTAGGAGCACAGTATGCCATTGCTCCCAACAACTCAACTGCCCCTGTGGTTGTTAAATTGATCAGTAACTAATAATAACATGTTTATAAATTAATTTAATCAAAACAGCCAAAAATATGAAATTCAAGGTTAAGATCATTGAGGTATGCTTTAGGGGTTGTTAGAATGTTTTTTGGTGTTTTTTTTCCCTAAGATCTGCTGTTTTGTTGTATGTTTATCCAGCATGAAGTTAAGGAAGCCAACATATATAATCAAATTCAAGAGGTCACTTTACCATAGGACAATTATATAGTATTTCTGATGATTGTGCCAGATTGCTATAGATATGGAAACATATCCCTGGCACGGTTATTTGTAACCTAAGTACCTGCTTTAGTTCTCCAAGCATCCTCTTCCAGTCCCCTCAATAATGAGGGCAACACAAGTTTGACTCCATGGGCTGTCAACATCTTCATCACAGCTTTAGCAGTAAAGTCTGCTGCCTGTGAAAAAACAATAGATTTAAATACTCTCCAGATTCACATCCAGTACATCTTTGATGATGTTGTGTAATTGGTTACCTGGCAGTAAACTGATTTTGAACAAAAAATACATTTCACCTTGGAACTTCAATCAGATGGTATATCTTGCATACAACACAGACTATATATATGGTATTGACATCTGGGTTTTTTTTAAAATTATATACACCACATATTACTATCAGTATAACTCAATGTTGTTTTAAATATGACACCAAACCAGGATACCACTGAACATGAGCTATTTCATCTGTAATCCATGTGACGTGTTAAGGCCTGTTGTAACATATATTGCTATTCAGCTCTGCAACCAATATATATATCACCCTAGCTCCAGTCTTTATTACACTAGAACCTTGAACTGCTCAACTGTAAATTAAACTTTATCCAATTGTGATGTGGCATCACATCTCAATCTTTGAGCAGAAACACAGCTAGCATGTACACTTTTGTCCCAACAGGTGGTGTTAATAGTGAGGTTTTACTGTAGATTTATACAAGACATTTATACTTTTTAACAAACAAGAGCTTGATGACTACACTAACAATCATTTCTGGATACTACATACTGTCATATATTATACCCAACTTCCCTGTATTCAACATCACTAAAGACTACATTTTAAACACCAAGAAAATATAAAGTGAATCATGACTTGAGAGTGTAGCATTTGTAAATGTGCAGATGTGTTCATGTTTACTGCAAAATTTTGACAGGGAGGTCCTATTAAAATTAATCTCATTGTTTAGTACAACAACAGTCTAAAATCATGAAATACTAGCCCGAAGGGATCACAGATAGTATCCATTCCCCTGTATTTCTAGAGCGTTCCAGACAACATACAAAATATTTCAGCCTATTTACTCGGGTGTTGACACTCACCTCACGGACATACTGATTGCTGTCACCAAAGCAGAGGAGAAGATGAGGTAGTATGTTGACCACATATGGCTCAAACAGTTTCCCCAACATAGCACACAGCATCTCATAAGCAAACAGGGCACCTAGTATAAACCAAACACATCAGATAGTGTACTTAAACATAATGCTAAGTAATCTTTTCAGGATTCCAGTGATACATATGAGAACTAGAATTAACTTCTAGAACTGGGTTATTTATAAGCAGATCATTCCAACAAAAACATTTACTGCAGCAAACTTTGAATTTGTACAATAGTATCTATGACAAGAATTTACTTACCTTGAGGATTCATCCTCATATATACGTGTATCTATCACTGTTTTCTCTTGTCTTACTTTTAATATGACATACTGTATTAAGCTAATTGTTTGTAGTGTAGAAACTTCACAGTTTAAGACAAACCATGAAAATAGAATGCAACAAATAATTTCAGATGAAAGAATTATGTGCATCATTATGTAGTGACAGGTTTTAAACTATGAATAAAAATATCCACACAAAAATCAAATAGAGGTATTGATAACAATTTTGCAAATTTTACCATTAGACCATTCAGATGACAAGGATTTATTTACTGAGAGACTAGAACCTCAAATGTCTGACCTTCTCGTCGACGTGGGTTTTTCTTGTCTTTCACAGCTTCCTCCAATGTCGACATGATCTCTAGCTGTTTGAGGGAAGTGATTCCCAGACCTCGCACGAGCCCTGCCAATCCATATGCTGCTCCTCTCCTTTCACCATATTTGTCCGACTCCAAAAGGAGTTGCATCAGTTTTTGAACAAGTTCTGGAGCATCCTGTCGGATTCCCTGAACCAAGGGAGGTAAGCAGTGGGCAACTGCTTCTTGAACCTATTGATGAAAAAGATTTATTACTAAATGGCTCGGCAAACATATCCATTCCCAGGCGAGACTTACTATAAGATTAGTAAACAGGAGTTCAGCTTTTATCCCTCTCCAGTTAAATACTTTATGCTACTTTCACTAACTAAGAGATACATTTTTCAAAAAAGTAGGTGAACTTCTGGATTAACATTGTTCTTGATAAGTCCTATATCGGTTTGGAAATCAGGACCAGTGAAACCATTTTAATTTTGATGTTGAAGTTTTCATCATTAGCCTTAATAATTATTCTTTGTAAACTTACAATGTTTGATATACAAAAATAATTTGTAACAATGAGAATTCATAAAGCAGATAATTTCTCATATTCAGACCTTTTGTTAGAGATATAGAGTTATCTCCCTTCTCAATCAAGACGACCTACCTCCTGAGAAGGCGTAGACAGCGCACCGATCAGCTGAGCCATGATAGGTTTGATTTTGGGATTGTCCTTGTCCAGATGTTTGGCAAGGGAGCCCATCAGGATAACAATACTTTGTCGAACAGCATCATTACTGGCTGTGTTAGGTGCGTTAGCTAGGAACTCTTCAAACACTGGCAACAGTAGGACCACATTCGCCTGTTACAGATAGAAACGATGATCTCTAAAGTGGCCGTGTCTTAAGTAAGGCATGTTCATTGCCTGACTTGGTGAGATTTCTCCTGGTATTCTGGTCTCTACAATAAAACCCCCTCACACCATCCAACAGATATTATGTTTATATTTTGTATTGATCTTCAAACAAAGTTTAGTTTCTCTTTTAAAAAGTATTTGACCTTATTTGACATAGGAATTTGATAGGAATCTTTTATAACCAGGGTGGTTGAATGGTGCACTGGGAATGCATTCACCTTTCACCTGGACAACTTGGGTTCAATTCCCAGAGCAAATGTGAAAAGGTATGAGGGTCACCTGCCCAACCATGTGGGTTTTTCTCCAGATTCTCCATATTCCTTCCACAGTAGGACCTCTCACATGCTTCTATCCATCCCAGCAAGATCTAAGGCTCTCACAATATACAGGGTTAGAAAGAGACAGATTTCTCTTTCTTTTTCTTGAATTAGATGTTAAATTTCCTTTCTATCAAAATTGCTATCAATACATCAAGTGTTATCTATGGCCCTTTTCTAATATCCAGAAGACATTATTAATGGTTTCCACTTTCACAGTTACCTTTCCATGATCATTAATGGCTGCCAGAGCTGCATCTCTCATGTGACTACGGACTTCCGGTATCCGGTCTCCAAGGGCTTTAGGGACATAGAAGCTGAAAAGTTCGATGATCTGGTCTGATGGTAAGAGAGGTGACATGGCCTTGAGAGCAGCTGCCACTCCACTCCTAGCTTGCCACTCGTCCTGGGGCTGGTCCTCCACCAGACGCCCAAAATTGTCAAGTTTTGGTGGTGGCATCTGCAATTATAGGATGTCATTGATTTTTCTAAATGAAAAAATCTTTTTTTACATACAAAAAGATAAATAACTTTTGAAATAACTGCCTGGAGAAAGCACCAGCTGCTTTTAACCCTGTTTACTGACAAGGCAATTTGTTTTTAATGCCAGGAACTGTAATTACAGTAAGAGCCCTAAAGGAGAGTTTAAGATGTCTAAATTAATCATAAGCTGAGAACAACCTCTAAGCAATGCAGTGTTAAATACATCAATTTTTCATCAGTGATTTTGAATTGGTGCCGAAATTTAGTCCAGACCACTAGCAAGAGAAACTAACTCTATTCAAAAAATATCTTAGCCTGCCTTTGTTTCTAAACACCAACATATCACAGAATGTTGATAATCTTCCATGGACATGAAAATGTTAACGCCTCAACAAAATTTTTGATTTCACACATATTTAACTAAGAGGTGACTCACATAAAGTTTGTCCTCATATTTTGTCTTAAGCTGTTCAATAGTCGCTGTAACATAATCGCTGTGACATTCTAGCGTCTTCTCCAAGGCCTTCGAGGCTGCCAGACGGACAACCTCCTCTGAGGAAATGACATCATCAATCAATGGGCCAGCCATGTCTTCATATGGTTCATCCAACATCAGTTCCTGTAGTATTCTTGACAACAGGATCAATATTTTGTGGTTAGCTTAAATTCTCATGAAAACACATTGAATTGTTTTATACACAGCTCACTGATTATAAAAAAAGTTTGAAAATTATTCTCATTTTCAAATTTATTACAAAAAGTTAAAAATTTCTTAGTGAAATTTATTAAATACAATTTATTAAATGCAAGACCTTTTCCCAGCAGAAATAGCCTCTTCTGTTAATATATCATACTGTCATTTGGCCTGCAATTATTTTCTAGTTTGTAGAGCACAAAGAACTAAATTATTTCTGATCTTTTTCTCTCAATATTTAAACATTCCTACTTTTCACCCAACATTTTGACATTGTCGTCGCTGTCAAAACTAGCAACCCACAATCTCTGTGCGATGGCAATTCCAAGATCAAAGTTATCATCAACATTGGGAAGCACATCGACAAGACACATTAAGCCCTAGAAAGTGAGAGAAAAAAAACATACCAGAACACAATTAGTTATAGACATGTATCAGTGTCATCAACATCTAGACAATATCTGGTCACAGCCCTTCAAAATCAAGTTCAAGATTCAAATTAGATTAAAAATATTTATTTTGAAATTTTCAAATACTAAACAAAATGAAAAAATATCAAGTGTTTATACATGTAGTATTTTTCATGATCTGAGCATGTCATGATATGTCAAATATTCACGCTGACCTGACGAAATCAGGTAAATTGGCAATACTGCAAGTGAACATGTACGACACAAAGACATTATATATTACATACAATGTAATATAATTTGTATTGGATAAAGTATAACATATTACATATTGTATATAACATTATAAATAATCGGTAATTAGATGTAACAGTATTTGTTTGATAGTACTCCTTTGTAAGACATTAATCTTCTCTGGGGACTGAAGTCAGGGCACCCAACCCTGCAGCTCAAAGTAAAAACAACTACCAAGGGTAAGGAATACCCATTGTAAAATATTTGAAACAGAAAAACAGACTGGAAACATAAAAATTTAAATGAATATGATTTCTTAAAGATGCTTATTTGATTCTGGAGATTTTTAAATTTCTAAGCGAATAAATTAAGCATTCACTCTACCTGTAAAGTGGAGTCCCTCACTGCTACACAAGGAGACTTCAAAGCTTCTAGGAGAACAAGAATTTCCTTCTCAGTAGCCTTGCTGCACCCCTCCTTACCAGAGATACTATCACAAACTTCCACCAGCGCTGAGGAAGCAGACTGACCAACTTTTGCGATGGATGTTGATATCACATGGATAAGAAGACAGAGTAACTCTTTGTGATCAAGTAAAGCTGGGTCATGCTGAAAATTGATGATTCAATCAATTCATTACATTAGAACTTTCGATGTACTAGACCTTGGCCGATTCAGAGAAATCAACTCTGATTTTCAAATTTGTATTACAATGAATTACTATTCTAAATAGTTGTTGGATTAGCTGGGCTATCATTTTGCGGTTGTCCTAGTTTTTTGGCTAATTCAGTAGTTCACAAGAATTTTGCATCAGTCTATACACTGGTATCCAGATATAAAGGCATATTTCACTTCGTTAGATGTTAGTTGCCTGTAAAATGTTTGCCGAGTATCTAACTTCACACTATCTTTATTGGCTACAAATGAAGTGTTAAATGAAATCTCCTACAAATATTACCAACAATACAATATGGACATAACCTGAATATAAAACAGAAGGTGCTTTTTTTTAAAAGATCTAGAGGTAAGATTTTCTCTGAGAAATAACTTCTGTATGATATCATCACATAAAAACCATCTATAAAGCTTTAAAACAGATTTAGTATTGTCATCAAATGATGCATAATGAATAATGTCATCACCACTTCATGTGTTCCATATAATGTCATCATCATTAGATATGTACAGAACAATGACATCACCTCTTCATGTGTTCCATACAATGTCATCATCAATAGATGTGTACAGCACAATGACATCACCACTTCATGTGTTCCATACAATTTCATCATCAATAGATGTGTACAGAACAATGACATCACCACTTCATGTGTTCCATACAATGATATGTATTGATGGGTACCAAACAGAACGACAGACCATTTATGTAATCCATACATTAACATCATCAACTACTGTGTATTGCACAATGACATAAGCCCTATTAAAATGAAAGCCTGAAGTCCAACATCCACATTGGATGTGTAAACTGCATAATTTCATCACTACTTCACATGTAAAAGATATAGACATCATTTACCGACCTCATCAGAATGATCTTCCGTCCTCATTCTAGCGTGTAGTTCTATGAGTTTAATGGCTTCTCCTTGTGTTCGATCATCTCCCTTCACCAGTGCTGCCCCTTGTTTCAACACAGCCTTCAGTAGATAAAAGATAACAGTGAATGTTGCCACTGGAAACAGAGAGGTGTCCTCAAATTCTGTGATCTCCTTCGATGCGATGGTATACAGCTTCTTGACCAGACGAGCAGCCTGGTCTTGGGCAGGCTCCTTGGTCCACTCAGGTTCTACCTTACAAGCCGGGTCTAACAAGCGAACTGTGGAATTACACACCTGTGTACCTGCGGGAGAAAGTCATACCATTAATATGACATAGAAAAATGAATTTTTTTAGGTTATTGTGTTAAACAAATTTGAAATGTAACAACAGATTAGCCAGAAACCAGAAAAATTAACACTTACGTATTTCAGGCAAGTTAGAACTAAAAGAAAGTGTATCAAAATGGTTTATTTAAGCTACTGATATGTAAAACCTCTACATGAATTTTCATAGAAACTTGAGCACAGATAGTAATATCATTCTATGAATGTTTTATTCTTTACAAATGCTAAGATACTGTGACATTAAATCTGGGTCAGTATTCTTGTTAATTCAGAACTTAATCTCTAGGAGATATTGGAACACATATGACACCATCACATAATGGATAGACAGAGAAACAGTTCGAATGAATTTATTGAGGAAGGAGATATAATGAAGACAAACTATGAATGCCCATCTCCCTTCATGTTAAATGTTTTTTCTTTCCTTTTGAATTCTGCCTTATGTTTAGCTCCCTACCAAGTAATTTGTCATCAAATGACGAGATTCCAAGTTGGATAAAAGCTTTGGTTATTTGTGGTGCTGCAAGTGGTGACACAAACAGCGGTGTTAAGCAGCCCAATAGCTCCTTCATGTAGTCACGGACCGCCGACTGGTTACCATAGATACTAGCTTCAAGGATGTCGCAGCCACAGCACACAACACTGTCAAACTGTGAGGATAAAAGAATTTTTTTTATTTTTACTTATCTTGCAATGAAAATTATCTACTTTGTCTCACCGTTTTTCAGCAACCATCCCAAACCATATAAAATTGAAGTAATGAATTTACATATGGAAAGTCTATCTCTCTTGCAGTGTAAATCAAAGTAAATATCCCATAGCCGCACACAATCCCCATCCACTTCCCATACACAATCCCAATCCATCCACTTCCCACACGCAATCCCCATCCACTTCCCACACACAATCCCCACCTATCCACTTCCCACACACAATCCCCATCCACTAACCACACACAATCCCCACCCATCCACTTCCCACACATAATCTCCATCCATCCACTACCGGTACACAATTCCCATCCACATTCCACACACAATCCCCATCCATCCACATCCCACACACAATCCCCATCCATCCACTTCCCGCACACAATCCCTGTCCACTATCACACTTAATCCCCATCTCTTACCCATACACAATCCCAATCCCTCACCCAAATGCAACCCCAGACTTCTACCCATATACAAACCCTGTCTCCTATCATACACAATGCCTATCCCCTACCCACACACAATCCCTGTCTCCTATCATACACAATGCCTATCCCCTACCCACACACAATCCCTGTCCACTATCACACTTAATCCCCATCTCTTACCCATACACAATCCCAATCCCTCACCCAAATGCAACCCCAGACTTCTACCCATATACAAACCCTGTCTCCTATCATACACAATGCCTATCCCCTACCCACACACAAACCCTGTCTCCTATCATACACAATGCCTATCCCCTACCCACACACAATCCCTGTCTACTATCATACACAATGCCTATCCCCTACCCACACACAATCCCTGTCTACTATCATACACAATGCCTATCCCCTACCCGCACACAATCCCTGTCTACTATCATACACAATGCCTATCCCCTACCCACACACAATCCCTGTCTACTATCACAATAAATCCCCATCACTTACCAATACACAATCCCAATCCCTCACCCAAATGCAACCCCAGACTTCTACCCATATACAAACCCTGTCTCCTATCATACACAATGCCTATCCCCTACCCACACACAAACCCTGTCTCCTATCATACACAATGCCTATCCCCTACCCACACACAATCCCTGTCTCCTATCATACACAATGCCTATCCCCTACCCACACACAATCCCTGTCTCCTATCATACACAATGCCTATCCCCTACCCACACACAATCCCTGTCTCCTATCATACACAATGCCTATCCCCTACCCACACACAATCCCTGTCTACTATCACACATAATCCCCATCTCTTATCCATACACTATCTCATCCCCTCCACATACACAATCCCTGTCCCCTACCCCTATCCACACACAAACACTACAAAGTTGCTGCCTACTTTTGCTAATCTTTTGCGTATCTCAGATTCTTTCTGCATACAAGCCTGAAGCTGTTCTTCTTGTTTCTTTGTCAGTTTCAGCGGAGGTTTTTCTGTCTTCCCTTTTTTCTTCTCCAGTTCCTGAAATTCACCAGAAGACCATATGCTTATACATTTGATTAGAGTCTTTCATCACTAATTTCATCCCTACCATTTGCTTACTGTTTGTTGGGTTAATTGGCATCTCAGAGTCATTTTCATCCTGAATCTCCCTGTGGTGACTGGTGATTACCTTACTGGAAAACAAGCAGGAGGCCCACCACAAGCAATCCAAAGCAAATAGGTATAGTGTCTTGCTATGGACACAACGACAATAGCACAGGATGATCTGTGATTTGTTTTCTCAGAAACTTAAACTGCACCAATAAGGAATCAATGAACACACCTTGGATCTTTGCCAGAAATGTCCAATGTTATACTGACTGAGCCCTTTTATCACTGACACAAATTGTGCGAGAGTGATAAAAGCTATAAGCAACCATCTTTATATGTAAATTAAACTGTAAAATAAGTGGAAACATGAAGGCCTTTCACCTTTCTTAGTTCAGTTCTTGTGTCAAGAAAATCTTACAAATTATTATTATAAGTCAAAACATGAAGGCTTTTTACCTTTCTCAGCTCAATCTCAGCCATCTGTTCTTTGTAAGAGTAAAGCTTGTTTTCTCTTTTGATGTTGGTTTCCTTGGTTTCACTTTTCTCAAAACTAAAATACAAAATAAAGAAACCAATTTTGTTTTATCCTCACTCTATTAATCTGCATCTTTTACACAAGCAGACTGTCCTTTCCCTTTCTACTTCTCTGTCCAGTGTTAGACATCTAAAGCAGACCTGTCCCTTCCCTTTCTACTTCTCTGTCCAGTGTTAAACATCTAAAGCAGACCTGTCCCTTCCCTTTCTACTTCTCTGTCCAGTGTTAAACATCTAAAGCAGACCTGTCCCTTCCCTTTCTACTTCTCTGTCCTGAGTTAAACATCTAAAGCAGACCTGTCCCTTCCCTTTCTACTTCTCTGTTCTGAGTTAAACATCTAAAGCAGACCTGTCCCTTTCCTTTCTACTTCTCTGTCCTGAGTTAAACATCTAAAGCAGACCTGTCCCTTCCCTTTCTACTTCTCTGTCCAGTGTTAGACATCTAAAGCAGACCTGTCCCTTCCCTTTCTACTTCTCTGTCCACTGTTAGACATCTAAAGCAGACCTGTCCCTTCCCTTTCTACTTCTCTGTCCAGTGTTAGACATCTAAAGCAGACCTGTCCTTTCCCTTTCTACTTCTCTGTCCACTGTTAGACATCTAAAGCAGACTGTCCTTTCCCTTTCTACTTCTCTGTCCAGTGTTAAACATCTAAAGCAGACTGTCCTTTCCCTTTCTACTTCTCTGTCCACTGTTAGACATCTAAAGCAGACCTGTCCCTTCCCTTTCTACTTCTCTGTCCAGTGTTACCATTATTCCTCTTTCCATCACAACATTTACAATTTATATTACTAAGTACACTGTGCATATGTTGTAATGATGTATGTAAAAGGGTGTATAAAAAGGTTGTTGCCTACCTAGCCAGGAGGGCTTTGTTGTACAGCTCGCCTTCTGGACACAAAAACGTCTCATATTCTTCTACGGTGATGGTCATGAGCTCGGACTGACACAGTATTCCCCTCAAGTATTCAAGAAGGGGTGGCAGTACTAGGTCTGGAGCAATCCGAACCATGGTGGACAGAGCAGCTTTGGCACTCTGTAATTGAAAGAGGAAAAAGATAAATTAAAAACTGTTGGTTGGTTAATAGGAACTTTTATGTAGATTTAAAATTTCCATCAACATTATCTGATATCATACCTTTCAGTAAACATCAATACTAAGACCTTATCTAGCCTACACTTAACCCTTCCTTCCCAATAACAGGACAAATTTGTATGTGATCCATCAGTTATCACGAAAATTATTTCAAACCCTGTAGGACAATTAGAAAGGTTGTAATTTATCATAATCCAGAGGTTGGTAATTAAAAAGTGTCTATGTGTTGTGGAATAAATCAAACTGATATAAAGACATTTGCTTTGATATTAAATATAACTTTTTTTCATACATATTGCTAATAACATTACTTAATATAGTGGTAGAGGACAACACAAGGTCATTGCTTTTTATAGATTTATATATTACCAGCACAAATTAACCTACAGTCGAAAAGTTGCCTCCACCCAGGTATGTCAACTGTGCCTTCTGACATTATAATGCACTGTTGATATTGAGCAAACACCAAATATTTCAAAAGAGTTAAACTATGTATGTATGAAGAATCAGAAAAATAATTATCAAAGACAGAAACATTGGTATACCTTCGTTAGATTGCTGTAATATTTAGGAAAATTCAGAAACTTGAATTTCCTTAATGGAAGTCGGTCCTAATTGTCAGACTTACAACTCAAAAAAATTAACCAGCTACCCAGTAAAATCTTTTTTTTTTTTTTTTAGTTTTTTTTACATTAAACAATGCACGCAAACTGCAACACATCCACCTGTACACTCTGTGTATACAATTAAATCATTGTAATAATCAATACATCATCAATACACGCCTGCATACCCTTTTACATCCAATCAGGCATATACAACAGTATGACACATATTCCCCTCCTTTATAGCAGTTATCTAATATATACACATATACATACCCTTACACAGTGATTCAAACAAAAGCTCACAAAAGATGGCACAGCCTCACTGAAAGAAAGATATACATACACATTCACACACACACACACACACAAATAGAGAGAGAGAGAGAGAGAGAGAGAGAGAGAGAGAGAGAGAGAGAGAGAGAGAGAGAGGGAGGGGGAGAAACAGAGAGAGAGAGAGAGAGAGAGAGAGAGAGAGAAAAAACACTCATGCCATGTCCAGCATCTGTGCAGTTCTCACTTTAGTCCATGGAACTATCTTACTTTGTCTAGTGCCAGCCCAGTTTTTACCACAACCAGTAAGACAAGGGCCATTAGAGACGGGTTATACTCCCGAATGGGGAAAAACTGAAGTATGAAAAATAACAAAGGGCAATAAGAGAGTTATGATTCTTGTGCACTGCCCTCATTCTCATTGAGAATGCTCCAGACAGAATTTAACTATGAAAAATAACAAATGGCAATAAATCCTATGATCAAAAAGTGAGTGATGATTCTGGTGCACTTCACTCCTTCTTGTTGAGATTTATCTACCTATGAATGAAATTTTATGTTGATATCGCCTTTAGTTTTTGTTTTATGCTCCAGACGTACAAATGAACAGACACATCGACGAACAAAGTGGCGACTGTATGCTCTCCCTTGGGGGAGGATAATTACTTAAATCTTATAATCTTACCTTGTCTAATGCCTCCCCAATTCTCACCATAGCCAGTAAACTGTCCAGGTTTTTTGATATAAAGTTCCGGGCATCGAGTTTGATGTAATATAAAATGTCAGTCCATGCTGACTCATTAGCATATACTGAAAGAGCACAAAACAAGTATATCAAACAGTATCTACTTAATAGGGTAAAGCTTTAATCACATTGGTGAAGTGTCGAAATATTCCTATAGAATTATATATACTAAAGGAAAAAAAAACCCACTCATTCAGCTCATGATTTGATTTGGCTAATTTTTCTGTGCACCCCCCCCCCCCTTCATCTTTAAAGTAATCAAGATAATATTGATCATTATATCACTAGATGCTTGTTTTGGTTTAACGACTTTTCATCATTTTTTATACAGCATAATGTTAGTAGCAAAATTTGTTCCAAAAGAACAAAAAACACCAAAAAAACAAAAATTAATAATAAAAAATAACAAGAGATCCCAGAGGGATTTTGGCGCCCACCATTTGAAGATCTGTTTTCAGTTCTTGAAGATTTGATTATTTTTTTTTTGTTTGTTACAGGTGTTGTAAATGTTCATGAACTGGTCTTCATTGAATGTACTCAATGATGGCACAAGATATTTTTATTAAGCACCTATTAGCAAATATTATTTGAAAAAGATCCCAAAGTATTATTAGATAGCAGTCAGTTACAGGTGGATAATGGACAATATGCTTGTGCTGTATTACTGTCGACATCCAAGATGGCTGCCTGTGGGCCACCTTGATTTCAAATCAGTCCAAAAAAGGTACAATGCACAACTAGGGAAGCCAATATCTATGAAATATCAGAAGGATCCATCCAGTACTTCCTCAGATATAGCAGTAACAAGATTTTACTCTCAAATCCAAGATGGCTGCCTGTCAGCCATCTTGATTTCAGATCAGTCCAAAAAGGTATAATGCACAACTTGGAACCAAAGGGAACCTGCATATGGAATTTGAGAAAGATCCATCCTGTACTTTCCAAGAAATAGCAGTAACAAACTTTTACATTCAAAATCCAAGATGGCCACCTGTCGACTATCTTTATTTCGAATCAGTCCAAAAAAGTTACAATGCACAACTAGAGACCAAGGGGAAACTGCATATGAAATTTGAGAAAGATCCATCCTGTACTTTCCAAGAAATAGCAGTAACAAACTTTTACTTCCAAAATCCAAGATGGCTGCCTGTCGGCCATCTTGAATTCGAATCAGTCCAAAAAAGGTACAATGCACAAGTAGGGACCAAGGGGAACCTGCATATGAAATTTGAGAAAGATCCATCCTGTACTTTCCAAGAAATAGCAGTAACAAACTTTTACATCCAAAATCCAAGATGGCCACCTGTCGGCCATCTTGAATTCGAATCAGTCCAAAAAAGGTACAATGCACAACAAGGGACCAAGGAGAAACTGCATATGGAATTTGAGAAAGATCCATCCAGTACTTTCCAAGAAATAGCAGTAACAAACTTTTACATCCAAAATCCAAGATGGCCACCTGTCGGCCATCTTGAATTTGAATCAGTCCAAAAAAGGTACAATGCACAACTAGGGACTAAGGGGAAACTGCATATGAAATTTGAGAAAGATCCATCCAGTACTTTCCAAGAAATAGCAGTAACAAACTTTTACTTCTAAAATCCAAGATGGCTGCCTATCGGCCATCAGAAATAGTGGTAACAAACTTTTACTTCCAAAATCCAAGATGGCCACCTGTTGACCATCTTCGAATCAGTCCAAAAAAGGTACAATGCACAACTAGGGACCAAGGGGAAACTGCATATGAAATTTGAGGAAGATCCATCCAGTACTTTCTCAGAAATAGCGGTAACAAGAATTGTTTACGGACAGACGGACGACGGACCATGGACGCAGGGCGATTTGAATAACCCACCATCTATTAGATGGTGGGCTAAAAAGACAAAATGTCTACCAGACATAAAATTCTCTTGTTCCTATCAAAATCAGAATCTAATCAAGTCTTGAAGGTGATGTATTGATACTTTGGAATATATAAAGATATAACACTGATTTGGGAAGTGACAGGAAGCAACGTGATGTAATGGGATATGACAAAACTGTCAGAAATTACCAAATCATAAAATTTAGATGATTTCTAGACATGAGGAAATCCTGGAACTTTGATGCAATTGTTCAAGAATTCTGTTCACACATCAAAAGCCTGAACATAATGTCAATTACAGTAAAACAATACCTATACTGGGATGGTGAGATGACAAAATGGTTGCCATGGCAATTGCTTCTGCATCCTTTGGGTCGACCTTTTCCACACCTACCAAGGTAATCAGTGCTCGTGCCACTCTTGTAGGTGATACATACTTGTTAGGATCAAAATTCTCCTTCTCCATGTCCAGAGTATCAGGGTCAATGAACTTAAAAAAGAAACCAAAGTGGAGGTAACCATAGAGGATAGATGTGGTAGTAGATTCTTGTACAGTACTATTCATCACTGAACTTAGTCAATTTACATTATAAGACATTAAGTTTTCGATTAATTAATAAGAAAATGTTGGTAACCATGGATTGCATTGCTTCAATACATAAGAGTATAATTGTAAAAATTCTTTCAATAACAACAGTGACCTTGAAACACAAACTTATATTCCTTATTATAACATTTGACCTTAGTGTAAAATTTTATCATAATCCCTTAAAGAATGAAGTCACTAGAATGACATTACTAATTCAGGACTAACATGTTTAGTTTGATACAAGATAAATACCATAAATATTCGCGTATAGTGCGCACTCGCGTATAGTGCGCAGGTACTTTTTGGAGATCAGATTTAAAAAAAAAATCTACAGAAAAATTAATTGACTGGTCACTGCGACGAAACATTTGATGTGGTCTGATCCATTGATAATTAGGAAACCACAATGAGCGTGACCCTAACACATGTAATTACCTTAAGTAAACAAATTTACCCAGGTGACCTAACAAGCATGAAAGGCTTGGCTGATGGTATAATTAACGGTTAATGACAGTTAACACGTTGAGTATGAGGAGACTGATGACACCCGGCTTGGGCTGAACGCATACTATTGGTCAGAAAACGATGTTGTTTTAACTGTCTGAACATTTTCAATCCTACCTTGTCCCCATAAAAGCAGGTGGTTTGTTCAGTATAGGCATGATCTTTCATGGTATCTGTACCCACCGCGGTATCCGAAGGTATTTAATGATAGATTGTTTACACCGACTTCGACATGGGGAAACTGCGAACGCCATTTGACTACGCCGAGAGACTGGAGTTTCGTGCCGCCGGTCACCACTTCGACATTCCAGAGTGAAATATCAAGGCACGGAAGAAAGAAAAAAACCGTCTAAAGTCCCAACCACTGACCAGAAGGGCTGACATAGGTGCGACAGCGAAACACCCAGAGATGGAGAGAGAGAGCTGTTCAACTTTGTATGCGATCGCCGATATCCCGGCATCGCTGCCAGTAAAACAGAACTGCGCGTGCGGGCCATGCAGATCAAGAGAGGTCATGGGGTCACCAACTTTGGGCATCGGTGGGATGGGCTGTCCGATTTATGAACAGAACGACAATCGCCTAAAAACTTCCGGATTTATTGAATTCCACAGATACATCATCAAAATGAGGCAGAAATTCAGACACTACTATAGCCCTGACCAATAGTAAGACCGACGGGAAACAAAAAAAATTAGATTCACCGTAATGCTAGCGTGAATGGCAGATGATTAAAACATTCGAAATTTATTTTATTTTATTTTTTTGTTGTTTTTATCTCCAAACTATCATATAAGACCGACGACTTTTACATATAACTATGTGAAGGGAGGTAATCCAATATGGCGGATGCAGAACTCGGGAATGATAACCCCAGGAATGGCATGTACCTGCGTATAGTGCGCACCCCCTTTTTGACACGACAGTTTCAGCCTAAAAAAGTGTGCACTATACGCGAATATTTACGGTACTTCAAAAGTATTTTGATTATGTTTTTTGATCAACTTTGGAAGAAACTTTTAAGAACTACAAAAATCTTTTCTTAGACTGATCCATACCTTGTGATTGGAAAGGAAGACCTTAAACTGGTCAAGGAGGGCCAATGATATAGCTGTACCTCCAAGCTGACCAAGCAAACGCTTGACTGAAGCTGCTGTAGCTTTCCTTACTTCCCAGGACTTGTGCACCAGGCAGTGTACAATGGCTTTATAGTACGGTCTGTAATATCAGTATTACATATCACATTATCAGACAATGGTTTTGTGTACGTTCCGTAATAACAGTATTACATACAATATCATCACACAAGAGGCCCAAAATGCCTGCATCGCTCACCTGTTATTCAATTTTTTTCTACAATAACACATTAAATATTCTCATCATTGACTTTCAAAATCAACAAATTTGACCAAGGTGACCTTGAATAATGGTCAAGGTCATTTCATTTTAAAAGTAATAAGCTTCATCAAAGGAACCAGCTTAATGTCATGATCCAAGGATTATCTTGGATTATCAAGAAGATGTTGTTTAAATGGAAAAGTTGTCAGATGAATGACAGATGCCACATCACAGCATTAGCTCACTTTGCCAGAATTGGACTTTCATCCAAATAAGCTATTTATGTACAATGGTTGACCTAGTGACTACTGCCTCTATTCTCGTATTTAGATCCTCCTGCATTAGTTGTGATTTTCTCAGATAAACAGCAAAAATAATAGGATAACCTGTAGCTTTCAAAATAAGCAACACACACATACACACACACATACACACACATACACACACAAACACAGATACGAACAAAACAAAACAAAACAAAAAACAACAAAAAAATGTTTGACTTACTTTGATGCTTTTTCAGTCATTTTCTGTGGATATTCCAAAATGAGTTTTTCTGACAAGGCAATCAGACTTGGTAAAGCTGAAAGACAACACAGACATGCCAATCATGTAAAAGGATAGCTCATCAAGGTTGTAATAGATCTACAGTGTCAATTAGAATTCAGTTCTCTTATATCTATCTATTAATCACCCATATGTTAATTGCCATTATTCTTACAACTTTCTGAGTTCAAAATCACTCTTTTTTACCAGCAGCAAGCTTGGTATTCACACACTCATGTAGGTAACCAATGGTGTTTCATTGTCGAATATAAACACATACCTTCCTCACTGGCCTGCTGCAGGTAACGATCATTTAAGTAAAGCTGCTTCTGACTATCCAGTACTGTAGCCCAGAATGGCCCAAGTTTGCTCTCTGTCAATGAAATTTAAAATATGTGGTTATAAATGTTATCAAAATGGAGAGTATGCATCCTCAATACTGCAAGGGTTTAGCTTACTATTGCTCTCTGCACCAATGGAATATTTCATGGCAAAATGGAAGGCTCCATATGCCACACCTTGTGGACAATGATTTTTTAATGTACATAAATGAATCTTAAGGCAGCATTTTCATAACAGTATGCTATAAACATCTTTGAAGTTTGGTGTCACTTCTTTGTAATTTTCAAAGGATCGCATCAACTAGTGATTGGCATGGTCCAGGGGTGCAGAAAGCAATATAGTGAGCATTACTCCTGGAGTAATGAGGATGTGGAATATGTTGCAAACAAAATTATTTTAAAACAATATCGAACCATTGACTTTAAGAGCAACAACATCAAAATGTTGCCCTTATCCTAAAAAAGCTGACCTTATATCACAACTGAAATAACAAAGCCAGAAACATTAATTCTGTTTGGAGTACAATTCCTATTCAAATTTTGACAAATAGAAATAAAGATAAAAGTTTACCTGCTTGAATATCGATCAATGAAATCTTGGCAAGGATACATGCAGCAGAGACAGCCTCTGTCAAAAGTTGGATCTGACTTGACTGGCTGTTGGCTTTCTCTATGGTTTGTATCAGCAGTGGCACGATTGCTGTTGCCTGGGGTAGGGTATCTCCTTAAAATAAAAGAAAAATATACAAAAATCACAAAATTTTTCTTTTTTACAACTTGTATATCTATAATGCTCCAGTTGATCAAGAACAGTATTGCTTTAAATGGCTATGCCAGGTTTAATTCATACCATCAAGCTTGTTTTTTGGTCATTAGAAGATTTGAGGAAAATTAATTATAAGCTCAGCGAGTTCAAAATTATGACTTCATACTAGAGATGCCTAAAAGATATTTTTGTCAATATTTATGGCTTGTAGGTTTTGCTATGATAGACCTACCATAAGAAACCCTAGTACAAGATGAAGATGAAATTATCTCCCTTGACTTACCATGGAAAGCAGTGTTCATACATTGTAGATAAGCATTCCTGACATTAGATGTGGAAGACTTGAGAGTTACACCTTTCTGTAAAAAATATTGATGAATTTCATAAGTGTGGACAAACATTTTGAAACTGCATCAAAATTAAAAAAGTCTAGAATGATCGTTAACCATGAAAATTAATTTTAGCTTAACCAAACTTTTATCACTTCATGTGTGTACCCAGTAAACTGATAAACATGTGGCATCTTACCAGAATTTTAATCACTCAGTGAATCTGTCTTATATATAGCGAACTTACATGATTACGACTTTTTAACAGGTTTTCTGATACACAGCAGTACATAGAACTAACCATTTGTTTGGTACATAGATATAGTATCTCACCTTGAACCACTCTATAAGCTTGTCAGGAACACTGGTGTAGAACTTAGCGCACCACAGTGACATCATAGACAAGGCATGAACCAGAGTTCCTTCATGGACTAAAAGAAAAGAGTAATCAATCATTTTAACACCAGTTAAAAAAAACAAAACCATCAAGACTGATTCCCTCAGAAGAAAATCATTCAGACCGATTCCCTCAGAAGAAAATCTATAATACTGATTCCCTCAGAAGAAAATCATTAAGACTGATTCCCTCAGAAGAAAATCGTTAAGACTGATTCCCTCAGAAGAAAATCATTAAGACTGATTCCCTCAGAAGAAAATCATTAAGACTGATTCCCTCAGAAGAAAATCATCAAGACTGATTCCCTCAGAAGAAAATCATTAAGATTCCCCGTGAAAGCAAAATCATTGATTCCTCTAAAAACTAAATGACTAATTCCCTTTTAAGATAAAATCACAATGATTAATACCTGTGAAAAAAACACAATTCAAGACTTTTCCTTTCTAAAGATGTTACTAATATGGAAGGTTTCTACTTAGTATAATATCAATTCTTCACTGAAAATTCACTGAATAAATTAGAAAAGTTTGTGAAATTGAAATTTCAAACAGCAATGTGAATATGCATTAGTCATCATAAGCATGTAAGACTAGAGATTCTGATTTGATACTTTATACACATTGAAACTGACCTTCCTGTTGTAACATCGGGATGAACTTTTCTGTCACTGTGTTACTCAGACTTTGCAGGGCATAAACACCACTGGCCGTACAATGACTGGCATTTCCAACTGCCTGTAATACACTGATCCTCTGGTCAGCTGATGTCAGCTTTCCCTCTGATCCTTAAAACAAGCATTTGAAGATATGAGTGTACTTCATACATTAGACTCTGGACTGTTGTCCACCAAGTGTACATCACAATTTTATCTAATGTTTCTGCTTAGATTAATCATTGAACATCATTTTAAACTACCTAGATTTCTCATAATACATCACAAAATCATCTTCTGATAGAGTATCTAACACTTTTCGATCTTTTTAGATCTATCGATTAATATACCTTTATCAGTCCTGATTTATAATAAACTAGCATTATACAAAAGATCTTAAACAGAGTCACTCTGGATACATCATTAAGAATTATCAAAACCTCTCTAGATTTATCAATGAACATCACTATTACACCCTATCTCAATTTAAAATCAAACATCACTCAGACAGATATACTAACCGTTGAGAATATCAAACAGATGGCAGACAAGTTTCTCCACAGCTTCTGTATCACTACACTGAACTGCAAGATTTTTAAATGCAGTCACAGCCTCTGCTCTTGTTGCTGGATCCTTGGAACAGATTTGGACTAACAAGAAAAAGAAAAATGTTCACATACCGAGACAAAACAAATCTTTGGAGTTCATTCATTCACCAAATATCATGATTCTGCTATAGTCTATCAAATACATTTATTTAAACATTAACCAATAATCAGACACCTACATGTTACTAACGTGAGTTTGGTCCTAGATCTGTCATATACTAGGAAACATTTGTCAAAGATTAATGATGACCTTGAGTGAAACTACTCAGTTTTGCCTAGTGTTAAATTTGCCCCCAAATCCAACCATATAAGCATCACTGCATTATGAATTTGAAGAAGTTGTGAAATGTGAACTTTGACCTTGTACGTCATGACCAATGACCATCTAAATACAAGAAATGGTTGAACTTGGTGTTAGGATACTATGGTGTAAATATGCAACAAATCTGTTGAGAAGTTCTTTAGACATGGCACAGAATATGACAGGACATGTCAGGACTGTGATCAGTACGTCAACACTATGTCCCTAATAAAATCAAACCAGGAAAGTCTCAATCACAACACAACACGTGTCACGAGTAAGTGGGTTATCTATTGTCCTTAATAAAATGATGGAGGTATAAACACATATATTTGTACTATTACATCAAACTTTACCCCACCTTATATTTCTGATTCATTCATAAAAGGACTTAAGTCTCCTTGCAAATAATACACAAGACTTTGATTAGGATATTGGATGATTGAACTCAGCATGCACTTAGTTAATCTCTGTAATTAATTTTCATAGTTATTCCATTCAGAGACTATCAAGATAAATCATGACTTTATATAAATACCTCCAAGTGGTTTAGCCAGCTCTTGTGCATACTGCCTTAGGTCCAGGCTCTGACCAATAATCAAGTATCCCACAGCTGTAAAACAAGGGACATAATCTTCAGACTGTTCATCACAGCAGTTATAGAAATGGAAGGCAATTCACATCAGGTTCTGATCAGTTTTGGAATTCAAAATTTTTTACAAATAAATCTGTCATGTTACTGTTTATTAAAATATAATTCAGTAAAAGTGATCGGTGGTAACTATTCTTCATATAATATTTCTTTTACACTGTACTGTAAAAACCATCACTTTTTGTGGGCGATTCATTTTGTTGAATTTTTGGGTACTCTATGCCTACAAAATAATAAGCAGATGAAAGTTGACATGGATTATAATCCTACCGGATTTCCTCAGTAATATATGTCCACAAAATCAAGTCCTAACGAATATGTATATTTTTGGAAAACCACAAAAATTAATCCCCATGAAAATATATGATTTTACAGTAAAACCTCTAAATAATGCCCTTTTCATCTGACACTGAAACTTGTCAAGAATCTCATGTTATGTTTTTGCTTGTTTAATGAACACAGAGTACAAAAGGCATTACTATACAAATAGCTGCAGTGTAACACAATTTCACAGAGAAATTTATTTCACAAGGCATTTTTACAAATTAACTGTACCTTATCTATAAACCTGAGTTTCGAGTAAAGCCCCACATTCTATTGTTTACCTTGAAGAATGCTCTCTGGGTTCCTCAGCATGGCTTTTTTAGTGGCTGGCATTAGTGAGTCCTGGAACTCTTGGTGTGTGCAGTGTCTCAGCAGATTATTACACGATATCTACAATGTAACCATACTCGTATCAGCTTCCTTAAATAATTCTACTACCATGTGCCATAAAAATTTCTTTATCATACATGTATCGAAATGTGGTTGAAAAGTCTTGTCCAACAAAGATTATTTTCCGTATTTATCAAAAACATGTCTAAAGAGTGTTCATTTCCTCTTTAGTAAGCCTCAATGAAATCCTTTCCAAAAATAGCATGAAGTAGACACAAATCTTTAGCACATCAATATATATATACTGTATTTATCTTGTAATAAGTCTGGGGGAGTTGGAAGCCATATATAACCTCAAAATATAACTAGGGAGATGATCTTATTATACAACAATAATGTAGTATTTATTTACTTTTTTAAATAAAACTGAAATGGATGTGGATACACTCACAGCCAGCCATGGTCTTATTGCCATGAATACAGTATAGACATCAAAACTTTAAAATTAGGAGTTGATACTGAAAGGAGTAGCTGATTCATATCACTGGAAACAATCAAGATTAATATGCAAGGGATTTTGTCAGGTTTATTAATAAGGATATAAACTTTTAATTGTTGTGAAATCTTTTAAACTAATTTGTAGATAAAAATGATTTCGCATACTAGAACCTTGTAAATCAATTGTAAAAAACAATTACAAATTAAAATCTCACAAGACTATGACACATAAAATAAAAAATAATGCTGAGTGACGTTTTATCTGTCAAAGTTCTATACATGACTTACCAGAAGCTGAACTGATGGTTTTGTCCTGGATCCAAGTACTTGTTTTGTGTACAGGTCAAGGAAGGGACCCTACAAGGGAGACAACTCCAGTAAGATCATATAAAAAACCGCTTTGATTCCTAGAGAATAACTAATATTGTGTTGTAAATATTGCAATAAAGTCAACCATTGTTGTAAAGTAGAGAAACACAAGCTCCTAAATTAAACTTTCCTGTTTTACTCTGACCAGTAGTCTTAGACACAGTTTTTATCTTACAAAATACAGTTTGTACATCAATTTAATATCTGACTCATACTGATATGCAAAAAACAAGAGGAAAGGTCTTTTTGGATGATACAATACATATGTATATGTGTATTGGTAACGTAGTTGGTGAGGGGCATGTTCTGTTTAATCTTTACTGTATAAAGAAGATATTTAACATAGTGATCTCTAGTGAAAAGGTAATGAACTTTACACCTCTTTGCTTCCAGTTTCAATTTTCAATTCTATAACACCAACAAACATACAATCCTAACAATCTATAAAATCTACACACTTTAAATTTTTTGAGGAGCTCCTGGTCCTTAGTCTTGGTGAGGTAAGATATCAGTATTCCAGCAGAACTCAGTACAAACATGGATGCTTCAATCTCCGTCAGTAGCTGAGCATATTCTTCAACTGCTTTGTCACTCTATCGAAACAAAGCAATATGTCAAGTCAAACGATACTGTAAATATGCATGAAGTTGTAGGGGAAAATGTGAACTGTTAAAACAATAAAAGCAGTTTGATTTGTTTGTGGAAGTCTGCTTTATAGCAGTTTTGCTTTTTAAAGAATTTTCTAAAAGTTGAGTTCATGCTCCAGCACAGTCTTAAAATACCAAGATTCAAAATCATGGTGTAGATATCTACGTATCACAACTACCCTGCAATAAGACCAGGGGACAAATATATTACCTCTTACTCAAAGTCAGGGGGTGGACTTATCACAGGACAGTAAAAGAGCATTGATTTATGATTTTACTGAACAGCAATATATATGGGTGGGCTGATTACCAGACATGGGATTATCACAGGTCACTATACATTTTTCTTCTAAGAATATATATAGAGCTATCTTCATACTTTGATTCAGGTTCTGATAGCCATGATAACTAATAGCAATATAGTTACAGTAAAATAAATAAATAAATATATAAAGGTCTATTATGTACCAAATACAGTTTGTATATATCCTAGTGACAATACAAAGGATATGTTGATATAGTAAGTAAATAAGTAGAAAGTGTACAACACAATTATACCTAAATATTAAAATTGAAATCTTAATTTCCCTTTGATAACAACTATCACATGATGTTGTGGTATCAGGGTCTTCAATGTAACGGAAATTGACTTACTGATCTGAAGATGGAGACAAGTTTCCTATAGGCAGAGAAGCTGATGACCTTGGATCCGGAAGCCAGGGCCCCGTACACAAGGCCACATTGTACACCAACCTAAAAACAGAGGTTACATAAAGACAACTATATTTCCTGAGTGAAATTCTATTCATGAACTGATTAAACATTATTGCATGCTTCTGGCTTCATAGTTTCACCCATTTGAATATTTTTTTTCAATGTTTAAATTTTCCCTTTTTTTTCTCTCTCACCACTAAGAAATAGATTATGGGTCTTTCTACTGATACCATCTTCAGTCTAATTAAGATTACATTTGATCCTTGAACATTTTGAAAAAGTAAAATGTCTTGAAGGTAACCATCTTTACATGATATGTTCCTTGTCAGATTTTAGTGTAGACAAAAAAAATCAATGCAAGGTTATACCGTGAATCCCATTTATTATGTAGAATTACGATAGTTTTCCATGTAATGAATATTCCTTATATAAAGTAAGTACAGAAAAATGTTTATCATGATATTGTGCAACATGAAATATTATATTTTATTATATTTTTCCTGCCCAGAACCAATTTTTTGTGAGCTATAATCCTTAACAAGTGTCTGTTTTGGACAATTTGTGACTGTAATTGTCTAGTAATTATTGCCTGAGGTTTCATGAGGAAGCCGTGTGCCATACAGCCAAGTGTAGTCAACAAAAATATGTAATCGGTAAAGATGACTGTGAAGATAAGACTTCTAATTAGTAACTAACTGAAAAGTGTAAAAATTGCTATCATCTAACAGCCATTTCGTATCACTATGATAAAGCACCAGTAATATTTTGTGAATGTTCAAAGATATTGATAGAGGCATGCTTTATAAGATCAAAACACACTCCTATTTAACTAGTGTTGCGATTTTGACAAACATAAGATGTCTGTTCTCTGCCAGAAATCCAGCTTGTCATCTCATGTTTGTTTAGAAAAACTACTATAAAGTCCCGAGTATTCTGACATCTTCCTCAATAGAACTAACTAAACCTGTGACATTCTGAATCTGTGTAATCGAAGTACCTCAGTATGTTGGATTATACAAGTTTAAATGAGTTTATCATCTTACCAGCTGTTTGAAGGAATCCCTCGAGAGATTTCCCTTGAGGAATGTCTCCTGCATCACAACACATGTCCATGTCAATGCAAATAAGGCTTCTCCAGATGTGCTCTTACTGTACATATATAAACACAGTGACAGTAAAAACTTAAGACTCAAGTTTAGTCTTCTAATGGACAGACATAAACACATATATAACATATACAGTAAATTGATAGCATCTTAACATCATTTTATGTAAAAATAAAAATAAAAAAATAATTAGTTGTCTGTTACAAACTGAAAAATATTACCTTCAATTGCATGATCTAGTGTTTTTGTTGAGAGGACCAATCAATTTGTAAATATATTCATGAACAATATCTAAAGAAAAATTCAAATTCATGTTTCATACCAAGAATGCAGCTGCTTTTTGTGAAAATTTGCATGGGACTCCAAGGTACTTGACAATGTCTTAACAGTTGACTCCGGATGAGACTTAGTAACTGCCCTGATGACATTTAAAACAGCATGGCGAGATCTGTTGTCATGGTAGCGGCTTATTGTTGGAGCCAAATATTTGAAAATTCCTCGTACAGCATTCTCTGGGAATTCTAGAGATAACACCAATTAAAAATTCAATTAAAGATAAGAACAAGTTTTTCCCTCATTACACCTGTCACCAAACAATTACTGCCAGGATATCTGCTGGATGTAACAAAACAAGATGGGAGAAATAATTATGTGCTCAGTCCAGATCTGAGGCCAAATTCTAATCATGCTACATATGAGGAGACTAGATAAAACTTATACATAGCGTTAAATATGGCCTGTTATTCTGTTGACAAAGCATGATTCTTGGACTCCATTGACCTACATAAGGATTATCATGCATGAGATCCAACACTAATCAATCTAATAAAAAATATTATTTATTGTACATCTGCCTTACACTTTCAGTAAAATTAGACAAGAATGCATATTATAAACACAATGTATATGAAATCAATTTTTCAACTTGATGTATTTGGAGAAATATTACTTGAATCATATGAAAAATTGTTTTTTAGTTAAATAAAAAAACCACAGTTTTTCTAAGTGAGGGAATTTCAAGTGTTGGTGCATGATTTTACTGTGAATAGATGTTGTAAGGATGGAAATAAAGAGAGAGTTTAAAACATATAACAGATCTAAGTTTCTTTTATTTCAAGCGCTGTAAATAATCAAAAGCTCCAGAAAAACAAAAGTTTGGATACTTTTAATAATGTCATAGTACAGTCCATCACCTTGACCAATGACGCCTTCAAGATAAAGTGAAACTGTGTCTGAGATATAATATTACAATTATAATCAATATGTAAATGAGTTTTATTTGTTTGCCCAAAACCAAAAGTAGGCAAATAAAATCAGAGACTGAAACATCACATAATCCATCTCTGGCTCTGACTAATTCAAAAGGCAACTGCTTGTCAAAATATTTAGTGTATGTGGTCATTTTAAAATTTTTAGTCAGAGAAACTTAATTTTTATACCATTGCAGATATTAAAGCTAGCAACATGAAAATTCATTGAGTGTTAACTTGAATAATCATTTAATCGTCTTATAAAACATGTGTCATTCTCTCATTTAAATAACATTCAACAGGAACATATTGGTCAATATATATATATATATATGTGTGTGTGTATGTATATATATATATATGTATATATTCACATCACAATAACCAATATCACGAAAATGAAAGCGCTATTCATGTCGATTTTCCAATAATCTTACTTGAATATCATTCAACATCAATACATGATGGTTGTTTCACTAAATTGTAATAGGTGAAAAAGCCTTGTATCAATGTCATACCATATACATATATTGTCCAATGTTTTTGAGACCGCCCCTAAATTTGATAACATGTGTTAAATATGTTACAGCTATTTAGAAGAACTTGTTTGCGTTCTTGCACAATTAAATGCGTACATCATTATAAAGAAGGATGCAAATAACTTATCGTTGATCATCTTTGGTGATTGTTCTTATTTCCTAATGTCATCAACCTACCGGGTGCTGCAGCGATTGCTGCCACATCGTTTAACACGTCGATTCGCTCCTTCGTGCTCGACACGGCAACTTTTTGTGAAAATCTTTTGAGTATATCAGCATTCTGGAATAAATTGAAGACAAATGATTTGATAATTTCACAGATTAGTATTAATTTGACATCTCCACGTGTCACGAAGAAAAATTAACTTACCGTCGTTCCCGCATGTTCCGCCATGCTTGTTGTGCAATGTTAATCGTGATGTACTTTGAATCTATTTCAGTATATGGACATGTTTTTAAAGCAATTATTTTCTATATGACTTATCAATAGAAATTGATAACAACTAATTTATTATATTTGCAATATATCTCTATTTTTTCTAAATTACAAAAGTAAGACAGTTCTTAAAATACTTTATTTTATTATTTCTTTACTAGCGTATCTCTATAGCAGAACTCTTTAAAAATGAAAATAGAAAAGTATGAATTTCCGCCAACGGGATGACGGTCAATGGGGCCCAAACGGGGCCAGTAAATCAGTTCCGGGTTTGCTTTATGTCTGCATATGTGTTTGTTAACAGTAAATTCCGTGTTGTACCAAGGTGTTAATATGATTTCATTAAATAAATATACTCGAATGCAATAATGCAGTCTGGACTGCGAACTAATCCAACGTCTAGTGCTTTCAAAAGAAATCAACATAATCAGGGGAAAAACTTTCTCACAGCAACTTAATTTTGATGTCCTGTTTGATGGAACTCCTTAGCACACAAAGTTAAAATGTCAATTGCATCGACATGGGGAGGTAGTTTGAAGGGTTTGGATTATCCGCGATTTCATTTTTAAAATAAAATCGTGGTTAGTGAATTGAAATTTCAAAATAAAAACGCGGATAGTCCAAACCCTTCGGATTACCTTCCAACCATTTGGACTATTATGGAGGATGAGGAATTTTTCAAACAGTCACTGAAATAATTGTCAGGAAAGAGCAACATTCAAATACTAGTAAATCACACGAAACATTATCGGACACCGAAGGGATAAGTCCTGCAACGCTGTCGGATCACGTGATTTAACAGAAAGGCAGACTCAGTCGTAGACAAATTACCAAAGAAGTTCAATAAAGTGGACAACTGGAAAAAAAGTAACTCCCGCTGAAGCGAACACCGTAAAGCTTTAAAAAGTAAGAACTTTAATAATTTTGCGACGTTTGCGAAGTTATTTCGACCTATGCTTTGATTGATCACTCTAGTTAGCGCAGATGAAAGGGCCCGGTGAATCCACGGGAAAACTTCGTTGTCGGACAGGTGACCCTCTTACGTTTCAATCAGAACGGGGAATCGAATCTATGTCACCTGTGTGAACGGAAATACCTTGCAAGATTGCCATTAATGCAATTCTTGGATGTATCGAAGATCTTATCAAACATCTGTGGGGAAAAAGTTCCTTTCGGATTTTCTTTTATAAAATTTCCATGCTTCAAAATGACGAGAAAAAATGTTTGGAGACATACAGCACAGCCAAATGAAATACAGAAAACGAAGTGAAAAGAGAGCGATGATTTGATTGATGACTGAAAGTCTAAATAAGTGATACGAAAGTTACCATTGCAGTGACGATGCTTTTGGTGGATACTTAAGATTAAGATTGTTAATTAAATCTTAAAATCAGAAAGAAGAAAAATTATCAGATCAAATCTCGTGACTAATTTGGATACAGGGGAAACAAAACCAAGTAGTACCATGTACACACATTCTTTTTTATTGAAAAATCTAAGGCTATTTGATGCTCATTAAATTGACAAATACACAAGCCCTTCCCCCAAAAACATTGTTACATGCCCCTTCTTTGATACTTGCATGTATTGGAGCAGAAGCACTTACATTTAACGTGAAATATTTTCTAGTATTTTAGCCAATATTGCCTAAAGTGTATTTGGGATACCGAGGCATCGTCAACTTTTTTCTACAAATCGTTACTAATCATGCATGACTGGGCAGATTTTCCAACCAAAGTTCGGTCAATAGCATCCTTGGGGAAGGGGAACACATTTTGTATAAATAATGGGTCACGGCCCCAATATGGATTGGAGTAGCGGGGCCCAGTAGAGGAAAGGAAACACAGCAAGTTATATAAAATCCTTTCCTCCTGTAGGAATGATTGAGTTTGGTCCAATTGGTCTGAAGCATCCCTTGGTGGAGAGGAAATAGGAGATAATCAGTGAACGTGGTCGAATAAGGGAATAAAAAATGAATAGATAAACAATTCATATCAACCTGTCAACATAATCAGAATTCTAATTTCAATTCAATAAATCTAGAGTAAAATACGAACAAAAAATATTTACACAGAGACCCCTAAAAGTGTGGGGAGAAAAAGACCAGGTGTTGCGGAAGAGTAAGCTTCTTTTGTTTCATCGACAACACCCGTCATGAAAATCTTGGTTAATCCAAGTAAGTAATGTCATGTTCTCAAATGAGAACAGGGTATACAGCAATGGAATGAGCGGACTAACAAGCTTCATACATTTACGTACAGTTTCATATAATTGAATTTTGCCCAGATGTTGGTCAGAACTATTCTCCGGTTAAGAGGGATCAATTTTATTCAAACAGTGGACCTGGATCCCCTGGTGCGATGGGGCGGTGCCCAAAAGGGTGAATAGAACAAATTCTTTAAAATTCTTCTTCTTCTGTAAGAATAACAAGATTCTGTCTCAGTATTGCCCTGAATTATCGTTTGGTTAACCACTGGTGACAGAGAGTTGTATCCCATCTTTATATGAAACTCACTTATCTTATCTTCTATGTCTTTACTGCAGTGTAAAGCAGTGAGAGATGGGTGTGACTGTCGATATATATATTAACGTGTCATGATGAATTGAGCATCGCAGTAGTACATAATTACCAGGATTTATCGATTTTTGTGTAAAGCAGCACGCTTCGTTAAACGGTAGATGGCGTTACTGGGATGGGCGCGTTAAAAGGTCAATTGCGAAATGTAATATACGTCATACCACGATTTCCGCCATTTAGACGCAGATGTGACGTCAGTAAGTTCCGATTGTAAGGGTAGAAGTTTACTTCAACGGAATGAGAATAAAACGAGTTTGATCATTTTGAAAACGAAACCGAAACGCTGACATTACATCAAGGTTACTTTTTAAGTAAGCCAAACTACTGTGTTTAATGAACATAACTAGAATTAGTTTACACAATCGAAAGTATGTGATACAATAAACGATTCCAAACAAAAACTAATAATGAAATCAAGTCTAGTCAAAAGGTAGATAAACATGCATCTGTTCTATGAAAGAGTATGAGATTATCTATGTTTTTCGATGGGAGTTCAATTATGTTCGCATGAATGATTGAATATGCTGAAATGCGTTGAACGATATTTTCTTCTATATTCCATTACGGGAACTGTAATTATGAGTCTCCAAATTTCTGAAGTGAACACGGTGCCAATTTCTACCAAAAGACAAATTCACCGATTCCCTTTCAAATAAGATTGATCTGAAAATCTTCTCACGATCATACACTTCGTGTTTATAGTTCCAAACTCGTGCGTCACGAGGCAAATGTGGACATTGAGATTTATACCTGTAACACTGTTTATAAATAGCATTACAAAGCCTTTCAACTTATTCGATATTGTGTGTATTGTTCTCTGGCGATGAACAAGGGATACAAAATGGGGGGTTAGTAATACTGTCAACACCGCTCAAATGCCGAAAATGGTTCAAAGAATTCCCGGCTGAAACTGGCTTAACCAATCGAAATACGTTTAATAACATCTACTCATTTCCGTCCTCGATAACAAGCGTTTTAATTGGTTAAAATTCAGTCGTGGGGTCTCATCCATGTGATAGCTGACGTCATATATGGAATCCCTCGGATAGATTCCCGGCTGTGGAGAAGTGTAAGGGAATACGTAGTACAGTATAAGGCTACTTTTAAGATAGTAGTTTTTGACCAAACTTTCATTTAAAGGACACAAATGTAGCGATATGGCCGGAGTTTTTGATTTGGAGTTACACGATACCCCTGAAGGGGAGGAGGAGATTTCTGATGATGAATTCTTTGAACCAGACGATCAGGTAAAGTATGAAACCATGTCTGACTGTTTTTCCATTGCTAAGGACTGACTCAGCTGCTCGAGTTAAACATTGAATTGTAGATTGGTCAAAGTACACGTGAATCATTAGCTCTTCCTGGATAGTTCATTTGTTGACAAAAATACACTGTTTCTGTTAATTGGACTCTACGATAGAATGTTGTACCCGCCATCAGGGCATGTGGTTCGGAGCCCACTTTGACAGATGGAATTTAGTCCCTGCATAAATACAATACCTACAAGTTTCGGTTCACTCGTGATCATTTCTTCTTTATTTTCTTAATATTCTTAAATGAACTTTGTAAATATTTACTTAGTTTACCATTGTTTATAAATTTATAGAAACGTATGATGTCGTCAGACTGCAGTAATGGACAGCCACCTGTAGTCCACACAATAAATCTATTTATAGGCATAAGTATTTCAAATATGTATTGCTTCCTATTGACACATCAAATAATACTTTTTACTGCGATACACAATGGGTGGCTTTATCAGCCTGATACACTTTAATGATTTGAATGGAAATTCTATTAATAAATCAAAGCCTAATCACAATTGTATAATTTTGTATTACATTGATTGTCATAAAACTGATTTTATGAAAACACAACAGTAATGAACAAGTTCCATTCTTAATGATTGTAAAAGTTAATGTTTCTGTATCTAAGAAAGTGCAGGTTAGGTAACATTTTAGCTCATAAATATCTTTTAATAACTAGCAAACATATTTGTAGTGGATGTGGGCTATATATTTACTTTCAATCTGAGGGTTTATTTTTTATATAAGATGTAAAGAATAAAAAAATAGGGTACCAGTTCCTTTTTCTCAAACTTTTAAGTCAAATGTGAATGGTTAATGTCTGATATTTTCTTTAGGTTCTGTGAATGATTCAGCTTGTTATTATCACTCCCTAGTCCTATTTGAACCATAATTTGTTTTTTGATCTTTGGAACCTGAATATGATCTAAGGACTGACAAAAGTCCTATGTCTGACTTCTATGATTTCGTTTTCTGTCGTTTTGTTTTATATCTTATTCAAGTAGCAGGCATACATACACAGTAGAGTAAACAATTGATCAGTTCGAATCAGCAGTTAGTTTGAACATGTGAGGATTTTTTTCAACAGTGATACTCTGTCTGGTGATCATGATATGTTTTAACAAGTGTAAAGTTCCAATTAAACAGCTTCCTCAAGTATAGGTTACCAGTGACACCAATTACTTGTAACTAATTAATTGGCTACAATCTTTCATGATGGATCATCTGTAAAAGAAAATGTGACATTCAGGTTTCCCTATCTTTAATATAAAAATGTCTCAACCCTGTCAACGAACATTTCAAAGTAATCAAGTGTCTGGTTAAATGAAATAGATCAACATCACTTTATGAATATTATTTTCCAATGGTTATGGGACAAATCTATTTAAAATGGTAGAATCCATTCTTAATTTTCCTGGCAAGAAAGAGCAAAGTACGCTCAAAACTTTAAAATTCCTCTTTATCTATGTTTGATGTTATCAATTTTTCTAAAAGTATTGATCTTGAAATTGCTACTGATTTTCAACACTATTCTTGACTAGCCCTCATCAGAACAACGGTACAAGTATTGGCATAGCGAAGGTTAAAATTACGGTTCAGTTGTGACGTAATAACGCATTGTCTTGATCACGTGTTGATAACAATGCAGATCGTTACGCTTTACAAAGTAAAAGGAACAAGATAACCATAGATTATATACATACAAAAATGGTACAGCGATGCTGTTTATAAATTGAAGTGTTCAGTTACAATGTTCATATGTTGGTTGTAAATTTGATGCCTTTAGACCAGCTAGGCTAGTCGTCGTTGGGAGGCAATGTCAATAAATGTTTATGATGAAATGTAAATGTGGGTTAAAAAACAGTTCAGCTGTGTCATGCTCAAGTAAAGTACTCCAACGTTCTTTCGGTTTGCCTCCTACACATGATACAAGTCTGGAAGTGTGTGACGTTTTCTCTAATCAGGAATGGCGGAGCTGGTATCTGCATTGCTGGTAGCTCTCGTTCTCTTCTGAGGTGGTCAGATGAGAATCCATTCAGGTTCCTTCTGTAGAATATGTTTCTATTACAATACATGTTGGTATCTAGAACAGGTTGGTAATGATTGTTGAAGGGGTGGCCATATAGTATGGCGCAGGTTGTTGAGTTGGACGGATCCATAAAGGATGCAAGGGATCTCCACAGAGACACAAAGTGGGAATTGAATTTACAACCAACATATGAACATTGTAACTGAACACTATTACTCTGATGGTAACATTAGTGCTGCAGATCAAATACGTAATGATAATGAGTGACCATTGTAGATGACTGTTACCACAAATGATATGACTACTTGTCAACATCTGTCCATGTGATTTCTTTCACCTGGTATGCTACTCATTAGTGTTAAGATGTTTTATTGTTGTCTTGAGGTCATCAAGACTTCGCAGTCCATGTTTATAAATACGTAAATTATGGTTCTTATTCAGTTCATATGAATGAACATAAAACGTCATAAAAAAACTCAACATGTATGGATGTGGCCTTCGGCAATCATATAACTTTATTTTGGTAACATTTAAATAAAAAGCACAGGCCCCTTGCTGATTACTGGTTATATTACTCCAGAAGACTGCTTCTGAATATACAGTCTAACGATGTACCCAGAACTACTGTTGCATCTAGAGAATGCCTCACTTTTTGATAGAAAAAAATATCATGGTAATGAGAAATCAAGAGGAAAATAAAATATATGTCTGTGAAGATGAACTGTGAAGAAGAAAATCTTCATAACGCCAAAAATTTATGTATTACTTCTATTGACACACGAGTCACATATGTCTCACGTGTGTTTCCATGTAACTCCTACCTGCTTCTTGCAGTTGTTACTTGTTTACTTAACCTCATGTACACATGTACTAAGTTAAACTCCATCCATTGTGTACCATGCTTATTATAAATTCATGTATGTATTGTTAATTTCATTTTCAAAACCAGACTTAAGACATTATGAAAGGAGAAAAAAATAAGTTCAGTCTTAGGAAAGTTTTAGACAAAATGAGTGCCCATTGGAACAAATATTTTGAATACAAGGACATAAATTTGCATGTCATTGCCATGTCACTGATGGCGTAATTGTTAGCCATTAACTAGGACAATAACACAGAAAATTTGTAGTTATATTAATTTAAATATATAACCCACTATTCACATACAACTCATTAATTGTGATGTTGTTGTGATCCATCTGGTGTAGGAAATTTATAAAATCCAATGAGCTACTGCTAGGGGCGAAAAATAATCACTGTGTAAGGTACCATGTTATGATTACAGTCACAGTCCTGTTGATGAATTCTTTGTTTATTTCCTGGTTTTATTGTCCCGAACTCTGTATCATTTTGAGATAGGGTCTGATCATAACTGTGGTTGGTTACCTCATTGAAAACCATGTGGAAGGTCCCACCACATTCTCTCCATCAAATTTTAGATGTCTGACCTAAGCTGAACATAACTAGATCAGCCCAGGTCAAAACACAAACTTCCATGGTGAAGATTGAACTACACACTTGAATTCTTCACCTGGAGTTCCAAAGTCCAAAGGGCATGCTGTATTGACTGAGCGTTGAATGAATGAGATGAGAAAGTAGATTATTTACTGTACTATAGTTGTTATTATTTTTTTTTACATTTTTGATTCTGTTGTTTATATTTTCCATTAGTTTATCTAATAGACCATCAGCACTTTGTTGAAGTGTTCTTTAAATAATCATAGAATTTAGTTAAGTGTAGAGCTTGACTCATGTTAATCATTGAGCTTCAAGGGATGGAACACAGATACTGAGTGTTTATTTAATATAGTGTAGTAAAGCTACAAGTGACCTAGAAACATCTAGGTCAGTCGGTCTTTTATCTGCAACAAGAGAGAAAAGAGGTCAGAATGTTATCATAGGCATTCAAGAAGCTATTAGCAATGGAAACCGTAAAAATAATTCTGTTTTTGTCAGTATGCATGCATCACATTTGTTTTGTGTTAGAAATTTGTTGTGTATGGATAAGCTGTTAAGATCTTAAATTTTTGTAATGAAAGGAACATTGAATTAAATGAATTTCTGCTTTACAATTTTCCCCTAAAAGTTATGCTTCAACTTAATTTTCAAGAAGCTAGCTATACATATACAAATGCTGTGCATGTAAATCTGTTTCCCAAAATACAAACATCCTGTATATTGGTGTACAATGACAGAATATGATAAATTTATTCTGTGTATACATGTATATACACACATTATGTAACAAACCTAGTAATTAGCATATGTTACCTGTACCTGTTATGATAGATCCTTGTGAAGATTAAGAATTGATCATTAAATTCATTTATCAGGCTTTAGGTTGAACTATGTTAGTAGATATTTATAGGTACAGTAAAAACATGTCTGTTCATATCAAACATCTAGATTAACACAAGTTTATGTACAGTTTGGAATTTGAATATCAAGGTGAAAATAAGAATTTTCAAGAAGACAGTTTTTTGTGTGATTCCGACTTAAGATTGTAAACTTGGATGAATGGCATAACAAATGCCAGAATTACTAATCACTTAAACTCCTAATTACTCGTTTTTTATACTGTCATTCCAGACAAGAAATTGGAGAATTGTAAATTGTAGTTCCTCATTCCAATGCTAACCTAGCCTGTTATCAAGCCAACACTAATACATCACATGTGAAATATCACCTTATGCAGATACAGTACAGGTTCTTTGTTGTGTTGGAATCACTGGTAACGTCATAGTTTCATGTATAATAATGCATTACATTTGTGTCATCACAAAACAAACATGCAGTCAAAGATATATGATATGTTTGAAGGTACAGTAATTTGGGGGTTATGCTCATATCTGGTACACTATTATGATGAATAGAATTTCACATGTCATTCCAAGTGATTAAATCAAAACAGAAAATTAGAAACAAAATAAAACAAAAAAAACGCAGACCTCTTTTTTGTAAATCTTATATAGAATAAAGACTCTTGTTCAGTCCTTAAATGACTGTCATGCATTATAATAAATAAGTTTGGGCACATTACTAGGAACATCTTAGTCATAAGAAATACAGAGCAACATGTCTATTGAAGACAAGAAAAATGCTAATTGCATGTAGTTGACAGCTATCATTACATCACTTGAAGACATATAAACATGACATACAACAAAGTCCATCTGAATTCTTGTCATTTATTCTAAAATAACTTTATATTTAATTACTAAGGATCATTGTTTCATTTTTCAGACTGAATTGTACGGCTTTTCTACGCATGTCTAGAATAAGTTGTCAGATTTTTTTATTCTGATATTTTTTCTCTAAGTAGTAATGTTCTTTGTTCATCGTCAAGACTATGTTTCAACATTTTTTTCATGTCCGGAATTAATTTTTCAGCATTGTACTTGATATTGAACGAAAGATTAAGTTTGTGTTTCAAGATGATAGTTATAAGATTTCATATTACATTTAGCCAACGTCAGCGAATAGTGGAGCCTGTCCAATCATTTTGTCATAGATGCCTGGATTAAACACAGTTTTAAGTTGTTTTCCTGTCATTTGACAAAGGTTTGGTCATGATTAAGGTACAATGGAAGCTGATTGATCGAATTTAGACTATCTCATGATGATCATTGCATTTACTGGCAGATCTTGTTGAATTGAAACAGAAAATGTAATTTCTAATCAAATAATTCATTTTATTCAACGAAGGAACAATTTAATCAAATTTCATTTTTTTTATTGCATATTATGATTTTTATACTAATTTGAAGGCAAATTAAACAAAACAGATTCAAATAAGAATCTTTTCATCTCTTTTTAACTATACAAATTAAAGTATTAAGTAGATACTGACATTTTGAATTTCACAATGTTATTCTGTATAAACATATGTACCGGTATACAAGGTATACTTACAATATTTATGCAACAATTATACCAGTGCCTGATAATAACCCCACCCGCATCTGTTGCTGTTTCAATATGAGGCCCTCGTAAGTAGTATACTTGCACTCTTTATGGAACTTCCATGGGGATGATTGTCTGTGTTCCAAACTTCAAGCCTCAGAAAAAGTATCTTTATAAACCTCTTTTCAATAAACTATAAGCACTTTAAAACTGATGGACTAATAGATTTTTCTATAGGATTAACAAGTTTGTATAGTGTTAATGTATAAAACTTGGGGCCAAAAAATAGGAACTGTTTCCTCATTAATTTGTAGGGCTGGAAAGAATGCAGTAGAATTGCTAAAAAAAAATATTTTAACAGTTGTCTTTGTGATCATCTGACCCTCACACCCTAAAAGGTGTTGTTACTCTGGATAAATTTGAGGATAAATTAATATTAATTTGTTAATATCAATGTCTCATACAAAAAACAAAACCTGACAAAACACCGGATACAATGAATGAATTTATTTGTATTTCACGGTTAATTAGGATTTATGATCAGTGATGATCAAATATCTTAATTGTTTTGAATTACCGTAGTTAATGATAATTAAGTTAATGCTATTCATAATTGATTGAGTGAAATTGATGCTTCAACACATTTGTCACTAACAACCTTCGGTGAACATCAGAAGTTTGTGGTTTGACACTCTCTACTTGTACTGGGTTATATACATCTTTCTTGGGATGCTCTGAAACAAATCATCCTGTGGCATAAGCATTGTATCTACATGTGGTGAGCCTCCTGTATGTTGTTCTGTGAGGTAACCACTCATTACTACAAGCAGACCCTGCCTTAAAATGGTCCTACACATGGTAAACCTGAACGCATGCAAAACATTTTGTCAACATGGCTGTGTATTTACCAACGATGAAATGAATCACCGCTTATTTCCCATCGATACAGATTGTATATACATTTTGTGTATGTACAGGAAAATAGAATATAATGATATTTATCACATAACATCTGTTATATAAGGTGAATGCTTCCAAATCATGATAACCATTTACAGGTACAGTATCTTAATCTGTGGACATTTTTAGAGGCCAATAATTGGTTCTATTCCCAACTGACAGTATTTATCATAGATTTATACATATTTCCGGAGAAAAATAAAAACTTCCAATTTGTTATTCTGAAATGAAAAGGCCACATTAATATCCCAAATTGACAATTAAAGAATCCAGACCCATTTTGGATTAACAAGCAATAAATTCAGTATCATTTAAAGTCTGACTACTATTGTCAGAATCTTTTAATAATGATATTGACAGTACAATGTTGCAATTATATATATAAATAGCAATCCTTATCTACACTTTCATAAACATTCCCATGAGACGGTAGTTTTGAGAATAAAACCTCATAAGAACAATAGGATAATCAATTAAGAATGATTTATTATTGGTTTTGATTCTAATTCTCATCTGGAGGGCAGAATTGTCAAAATGCAAAAATCGAGATTTGTTTTATTGTTGTCGTAGGAAATAGTTTGGGAATGTATGAGATGCTATATATGGATCAAGATATGGTTAGAATAATAATCAACACTGTTTTTACCTATATTATATCAGATTTGACAATGTACTTGAATTAATTACTGCAACACAACAATTGTATAATTAGATATGTTGTTTAATGGTGTGTGTGTTGTTTCTTTTATAGGGAAGTCTGGCTACAAGAGGAGGATATGATTTAAAGTAAGTATAATTTGTATAGTCTAGAACAAACAATGTTTTACTTTAGTTTTGTTTAAAGCTGAATCAACATATATAAAGATTTTTGCAACAATTTATTTAACAAATGGTTTAGTATGAAATATGAAACTTTAATAAAATGAAAAAAGAAAATAAGAAAAAATAAATAAATTCACAAAACATTTTGAATCAAAATCAAAATGATTCTTTAAGTCAAATTCAGGTATATAATATCTACATCTTGTACTTTTTGGGTGAAATATATACCTATACATGAAAGTCTGAACTTAATAAATGTGTTACATACATTGTTTAACATATCAGTTTATCAACGATGTAATTTCTATATCTTGTAGTATCAGAAAAGCAAAATGACTTTTGATAATTTTCTCTTCTCTGACATAAGTATGGACATTTTGTTTGACTGTGAAAATAAGAGTTTAAACTTGATGGCCTTTTATTTATAAACCAATTTTCTTTGTAGTGTCGATGGCATGGAAACGCTGGAGCTGTCGGAGAACACAGTTAACCCAGGTCAACTGAAGGTCGGGCCTCAAGACTTTGAGCTTCTTAAAGTCTTAGGGAAAGGTGGTTATGGAAAGGTTAGTCAATCTAATAAAATCTTGAACAGCTCTCTTTTACTGTTACTTTGGCATGGGCTTATTGACAGATAAATTTTCTTCAAAATAAAAGTCACGATAGTCTCGTGTATAGAATTTCAACTCTGGGTTCCTGAAATTTTAAACTTATAACTGGTTAATCAAATTAACTTTTAAGTACATTTCTGTAAAATGAAGAGAGCTTGAACTATGCTTTGAACTTATTAAATGTTAGTAATGTTAGTACATGTAAAAATGTAGGTGTTTTTTCTAGTGGAAACAGATCTCTTTGTAGCAATAAAATGATAGAAGTCTGATGTATTTCTGCAGAAACTCAGTATGCTTATGTACATGTGTTCAATAGATAAGACATATGGGGACATGTACATTTCCATCATTGTCTATGTTACATAATGCGATGCAAATTCCTGGATATTGAAAAATCATATTGGGAAACAATAAATTTATTCATGGTAACAGTTCAGAGGTCAAGGACTGAAGTTTTAGATCACATTAATTCATTGACATGTTGAGAAAATTCAAAATGATCTTCTCCTCTAAGATTTCCGCCAGTTTTTGAAAAATCACAATTAGCTCTGATTCACAGTGTCACTTTAGCTTGTTGTAGTACCTAGTCAGTTAGTAGTAGTAAGTGTTCGAATCTCCAAATATGTATAGAAGTTTGTCATGTTTTGTAAAGTTTATCTAATGATCCGTTCATATATCCAATTGTATCTTTTCATATCTTTTTCATTTCATTATTTAGTTGTTCTTTTTATCAATATTTCCAGGTTTTCCAAGTCAGGAAAATATCAAGTAGTGACAATGGCAAAATATTTGCAATGAAGGTCCTAAAGAAGGTGAGCTTTAAGTGATTAAAATAAAAATTCCCTAGATATCCTGATGCTGACACTGTTTATGATATATGTAAGGTTGTCAGTCATTATATGATACTTGGGCAAGTCCAACATGACCAAAGTCGTTGTAAATGTCAGGGTTTTTCCCTATCACTTCAGGATGGGGCTTTTTCAGACTTTTTTCTCAAGAGAAATTATACCAAGAAAATATGAGCAAACTGCATATATATTTTATTCAGAAACAGAATGATCTAACTAGTAAGATTTAACTTTGAATTCACACAAAATAGCATCTACTGATAAGTATAAGTGAAATTGTTACATTGTATCATAGGTAGACTTATTAGGTCACCTGAGCCGAAGGTCTACAAAGTTTGGGAATGAAAAAAAAATTGGGTCAAAAACGGCCCCACTAGGGGACACTCAAAAGGGTCAAAAATTCAACTTTGATCAATTTCAACCAAATTTGGTAGACAGCATCCCTTAGTAAAGGACATATGAAATTAAGTTGAAAAAAGTGATAATGTCCCCTTTGGGGCCCATAAGGGGTGTAAAAGGGGCCATATGTAAAAGTCTTCTTTAAATGACTTCTCAAGAACCAGTGGATGGATTTTGACCAAATTTGGCACAAAGCATCCTCATGGGAAGCCGCTTCAAGTTTGCGAATAAAAAGGGCGTGGCCCCAATAGGGGCCACCAGGAGGGGGAAAAATGGGGTAAAATTTTTAAAATCTTCTTTGCATGAACCAACAGTCAGATTAACCACTGGGTTGATCATGTCTAAACTTGATACGAATGTTCTACACAAGGTCCTGGCAAGTGTTTTTACTTTTTGGGGCGATTCAAAATCCAAGATGGCCACCCTGGCTTCTGTTTGGCTAAGAGGTTTTGGACTTCCTCTCAAGAACCACTGGGTGGATCATGTTCAAACTTGGTACAGATGTTTTACACACGGTCCTGCACAAGTGTTGTTACATTTGTGCAACATTTTAAAATCCCAAATTATTGACATATTACTCAGGTGACCATGAAGGCCCCTTGTGATAATATTTTGTTGTTGATAGGCCACTAATGATTTGTTGTTGATAGGCCACTAATATTTTGTTGTTGATAGGCCACTAATATTTTGTTGTTGATAGGCCACTAATAATTTGTTATTGATAGGCCACTAATATTTTGTTGTTGATAGGCCACTAATATTTTGTTGTTGATAGGCCACTAATATTTTGTTGTTGATAGGCCACTAATATTTTGTTGTTGATAGGCCACTAATATTTTGTTGTTGATAGGCCACTAATATTTTGTTGTTGATAGGCCACTAATATTTTGTTGTTGATAGGCCACTAATATTTTGTTGTTGATAGGCCACTAATATTTTGTTGTTGATAGGCCACGATTGCAAGAAATGCCAAAGATACAGCACATACCAAAGCAGAGAGGAACATTTTGGAAGGTGTTAAGGTAAGACTTATCCAGGAGTAGTTGATTGATGTTCTGGGGCGATATTGTATATGATCCTTGTCTGTTCTATCCAATTATGAGTTTATATCATATTTTGAAAACTTCATATTTATCCCCATAGTATCAGAACATCAAGTTCTACACCTTATCATGACTGGATGGTTATCAGTAAAGGTTAAAAAGGTCAAAGGTCACATTTGACAACTTCTTTTACTTCAGTAAGCAATAACACTTACTGGTTTATTGTATATATACAAAAGTAAGGGCATTGGGTGGTCCGGTGGCGCAGTGTTAACGCACTCGCCTTTCACCAAGCCGAGTAACGGACAATAACACTCCCACAATAAGACCCCTCGCGCGCTTACATCCGGGCCAACAAGAGTGATTAGTATAAGTTGACATAACTTGTTTCGCAATTGTTGTAAAATAAATAAAGTTTATATTATAGTAAGGGCATTTATGTCTTATAGACATTTTCCAGTTTATCATTTACTCTACAACTCTGTTACAGCACCCCTTCATTGTGGACCTAATATATGCATTTCAAACGGGAGGGAAACTGTACCTAATTTTAGAGTATCTTCCTGGAGGCGAACTCTTCATGCAGCTTGAACGGGAAGGAATATTTATGGAGGACACTGCCTGGTAAGTCCTTTTATGGTTTCTTTGTCAATTTAATGCTCATTATAGTTATTTTATATTATATCTATAGATAAGGTCTTTTATTTATCTTTTCTATATACCAAATATAACTATGTTTTTGGTAACCTTCTATTTATACTTGGTGTTAGTGTATATCTTTACACAATTCTACTTGTTATGGTAGTTAAAACAGGAATTAGACCTACATAAAACTAGTCAAATGATTTGGGAAATGTACAGACAAAATGTTATGTAACAAGTCTGAATTAATCACTATCACTTTTGAAGCACAACTATGGCTCTTTAATGTACTGTTTATCAATAAGAATTAAAATAAAATAAGATTTGAATCAAATGCAGAAAAAAATGACATACATTTATAAGAAGAAAATTTATATAAAAAAAATAGTGTTTTTAATGATCTTATGATTGTACAAGATACAAAATACAATATTTTTTATTTAATCTTGTTTTGAACACTTAATTTTAGCTCAGTATAGCTATTCTATATTAAAGCACATATTAACCAAACAATACCAGCCTATGACTATCACATATATTTTATGTTTTATATTACATTGAAGTTACATACTTTGGTTTTATAATCCTTTAGTTTTCTGTTAATAATTTGGAATAGTAACTTGTATATTCATGGTGTTTCTGTATAATTTTCTTTTATTTTTCAGTTTTTATTTATCAGAAATCACACTAGCAATAGAACATCTCCACTCACAGGGGATTATATACAGAGATCTGAAACCAGAAAATATACTTTTAGATAATTTAGGTGAGTGAACATTAATTTATACCATGATTTGAGACTTATATTACGTTATTATTGAGAGGTAAGGAATGTGATATCAGATATTTTGTGTCAGTGGAAAAATGTGATATCAGATATTTTGTGTCAGTGGAAAATTATGTTATAAAATTACAAGAAAAGAAAATATACTTTCTGTTAACATTAGGTGAGATAAGACAAGGCAGAATTGTAGTTTGTTATTTAATGTTATCACCTTTCTAATGATAAGTAGCAAACCAAATGTATGGTTCTCATTTGATACAAAAACTGGTACCTGTTACATATGTATCATCTTTGGTAGTATGAAAACACTGTTTTAGGTTTATTTAGGGATTTCCAATATAGATATTGATCCAAAGTTTGCCATGATTTAATGAAATAGAAACACAAGACTAGATGTGATTTATTTTAGAGTTCATTTAACACAAGTTAAAAACAGGTACCCCGGTATTTGATTCGACTCTGCTGATGTTTCATATGTCAAATACATCTGTTTAAAATCATTTGTCTTTGGTCTTGTGAAATTATATAAAAATTTAGTTAAAATAAGTTAGGAAAATGAACTTTCCTTTTTGTTACGGAGAAAAATAATTTCAAAGTCTTTGGATTGTGACGAAATTTTCTGGAATATATCTTCAAGATTTTTCATCTTCAACCAAAAGGAGCACAAATGATGATAAAATTCTTAGAGTGGATTTTTTTGTTTTTTGTTTTTTTTTTTGAAAATTATCAAGTTAATAAACTTCTTATAAAGTTGCTCAGGACAAATGTGCCTTGTATATAATGTGTTATCAACAGTAGCTCTCAAATATTTCTGTTATTTTTATGTCTGTATCATTGGTTTTTCAGGGCATGTGAAATTAACAGATTTTGGTTTATGTAAAGAGTCAATCAATGGGGGTGCTGTAACACATACATTCTGTGGGACCATTGAATACATGTAAGTATAGTAACACCTACATTCTGTGGGACCATTGAATACATGTAAGTATAGTAAAACCTACATTCTGTGGGACCATTGAATACATGTAAGTATAGTAACACCTACATTCTGTGGGACCATTGAATACATGTAAGTATAGTAAAACCTACATTCTGTGGGACCATTGAATACATGTAAGTATAGTAAAACCTACATTCTGTGGGACCATTGAATACATGTAAGTATAGTAAAACCTACATTTCATTGAATACATGTAAGTATAGTAAAACCTACATTCTGTGGGACCATTGAATACATGTAAGTATAGTAAAACCTACATTCTGTGGGACCATTGAATACATGTAAGTATAGTAAAACCTACATTCTGTGGGACCATTGAATACATGTAAGTATAGTAAAACCTACATTCTGTGGGACCATTGAATACATGTAAGTATAGTAAAACCTACATTCTGTGGGACCATTGAATACATGTAAGTATAGTAACACATACATTCTGTGGGATCATTGAATACATGTAAGTATAGTAAAACCTACATTCTGTGGAACCATTGAATACAAGTAAGTATTTTTTTATCAACCATACAATATGCTATAAGATCCAGAGAATATTTTAGATAAGGGGAAGACATCAGTAAAACACCTTCTCCTGCTTTCTTTACTATTCTTTGATATTTTTGCTTTTTGTTTCTGAAAATAATAAAGTTGAAAGAAAATATTTTTTTTAATGAATGGCTTTTACTTATTTATATGATTGACTTAAGCGATCTCATAACAAGGGAGCTAAGTCAGTTGGACCTGCCATCTGGTGTCATAAAGGAGGTTGAATGACCAGTCTGACATGAATTGATTTTCCTTGTCTGTTCCATAAGAAATAAATGTTGAAAACATTTCACAATTGTCCGATTGATGTATCAATTTATTGTGAATGAAAAATGAATTATTGTTGGTTTTTATTTTATGATATTTTGAATACTGTGTTTTTTGAAGTTTGGTTACTATGAGTGATACATATGGTTACTATGGTTACAGGGCTCCTGAAATACTGACAAGGAGTGGGCATGGGAAGGCTGTTGATTGGTGGAGTCTTGGTGCACTCATGTACGACATGTTGACAGGGGCGGTGAGTGTACAGAAGGATATTTGGAAAGACTATTGTGAAAATTATATAGTTGATATTTACATATAACAAGCATCACCACTGTTATATTTCCAATCAGTAATTCATTCAATCACCTGGAGATTTCTATGTTGAATTAATTGTAATGAATTTTATTGATTTCCTTTCCAGCCTCCATTTACAGCTGAAAATAGAAAGAAAACAATAGACAAAGTGAGTATTTTTATATGTTCTTGATTTCTTTAGATAATTAAATTCTTATTGTAAATATTGTCTCTATTCCATTGAATTGTTTTCTATTGTAAATTTCATACTTATGAGGTTTTTTTAACTTGTTTATGCAAGAGTTGAATAAATATTAAATAAATAAATTATAATTAATAAAGTAAATTAAATGCTTCAATTGTAACCATACAGTTATATGTTTGCTTTGACTTTACAAATGAACATGGGCCCCTTTTGTGTAACCCTGTAGAAATACTGCAGGCGGCCTACAGGGCTGGGGGGTTTGGGGTGGGATGGGTGGTTGGTTGGGGGTTGTTGTTGCAAATTAATGGTTTTCTAGTTATACAGGTTTGAATTACAAGAATCTAGTCTACACTGTTCTCTTGATTAAACATGTTTAACTTACACAGGTCTCTATATCAACCTTAAACATTGTAACCATTTTTACAGATCTCTATATAAAACTTACACATTGTTACCATTTTTACAGATCTCTATATCAAACTTACACATTGTAACCATTTTTACAGATCTCTATATAAACCTTACACATTGTAACCATTTTTACAGATTTCTATATAAACCTTACACATTGTAACCATTTTTACAGATCTCTATATAAACCTTACACATTGTAACCATTTTTACAGATCTCTATATAAACCTTACACATTGTAACCATTTTTACAGATCTATATATAAACCTTACACATTGTAACCATTTTTACAGATCTCTATATAAACCTTACACATTGTAACCATTTTTACAGATCTCTATATAAACCTTACACATTGTAACCATTTTTACAGATCTCTATATCAAACTTACACATTGTAACCATTTTTACAGATCTCTATATAAACCTTACACATTGTAACCATTTTTACAGATCTCTATATAAACCTTACACATTGTAACCATTTTTACAGATCTCTATATAAACCTTACACATTGTAACCATTTTTACAGATCTCTATATATAAAACTTACACATTGTAACCATTTTTACAGATTAATTTATTCTGAAGTTATGATATTTTCTTCTTTTTCAGATTTTAAAAGCCAAACTTAGTTTACCGCCATACCTCACAAATGAAGCTAGGGGACTCATTAAAAAGGTAACAAGTATTTCACATTTATTTGATAAAATTTTATGGTGTTATCTTCCATTTGCAAACTAGATAAGGGCCATCACATTTAGAATCAAAGATGTGTCATGTCAATTGTAAATGTGGTCATTATCACTAAAGATGATACATTTTATTTAGAATATTGTTCCTGTTATATTTCTCGCGATGACCTGAACAAATAGCTCTTTAGAATTTTTATAATTTTCTATATTGGTGAATATTTGTTTTAATTTAGAACTTAATATGCTGTCAGTCAGTATCACAGCCTAATGTGTTGATTGTATAAAGATTAAAATTGATGCCATCAGTAAAACACCATGAGTTTATTTTGTAAATAAGGGTTGTTTTCTGTACTAGTTGCTGAAGAAGTCTCCATCTGACAGACTAGGTGGTGGAGCTGACGATTCCAAACCTTTGAAGGTAATGTGAGCTTCTCTACTTACTGCTATAACTTCCTATATACTTTAGAATAAGTATTTTCCATGGGGGATCTATTTGCATTGAATTCACTCTAAAACCAGGAATTTATATGTCTGGGACATAATAAACAAGTAGAAATTGACATGGATTATAGGACTAGTTATTGCCATGATCAAGAATTCATCAACATAAGCAATTGCCAACGGAAATGAATCTTTTTAGAAAACCATGGAATTTGAGCACCATTAAAATGTATCATTTTACTGTATATTTTGCACATGGCTTTGGCAATCCTCAACTACTATTCTGTCTGAATTTTTCACCAATACTGAAACAAATGCCTAGAATGAGGTTATTTGTTTGTGCTTGAAGGGATACTACTTTTAGCAGTGTTATCAAGTACTATCTGGTCAAAATACTATCACCTTGTTATTCAGTAAATATACCCATTTATTACATGTTTGATATAATCTACTGTGATATCAGGTTTAGGTAATGAAATGATGTCACACACTCACAGATAGTGATGTAACAATGGAGACTAGATATAGTGTTGAAATGTTTGATATTGAAATGTCAGTTTTCTACAATATTTGTCTGGAATAATTGACCTTGTGATAAATATAATTTTAAATTTGTTTCCTTTTGATATAAGATTTATAAAACTTATAAAACAATTTTTTTTCAATTTTGCTCTCCACAGGCTCAATAAAATTGAAAACTCATGTTAAATAAGATCCTCTTATTTTGTATAGATTTGTACAACTATCAAACGTGGATTGGGAAAATACACACTGGTAGCGTTCAGTAATTAAACTTAATTTACTGTAATTTTGTAGCATCATGCATTCTTTCGCCACATTGATTGGAATGAGTTGATCCAGAGAAAAGTGGAGCCACCTTTTAAGCCGTCTGTGGTAAGTTTGATAACTGAGATTGGAGATGTCACATCAGTAATGAAAAGGTGTTAAATTCTACAAAAGCATTGTAGTCTGTAAACATTGCAATGATCAATAGGATAGTGAAATCAGAATTTGAAAAAAGGATGCATAAAAATGTACATCTAAATATCTGTTTGAACTAATTTGAGGATAAAATTTTCGAAAGGGTTTTTCTTACTTTTGAAAACTATGAGAAAAGACCATGTATTGGTAAGGCATTCAATATTTCAACGATGATTTTTCTGATACAAAATAAAATTTATTTTTGTACGACCAGATGAACGAGGAAGATGTCAGCCAGTTTGACACGAAGTTCACAAGACAGACACCAGTCGACTCTCCAGATGACACCGTCCTCAGTGAAAGTGCCAATCAAGTGTTTTTGGTATGTCTGCGTTTTGGAAATCTAATATCTTGAATTGCATTTGACCCCATTTAAACTGGACTTTTTAGTTTCCAGTATTAAGGAAATATGGCTGAAATAAATATATTATTACAATATACTTGGTTCTGAATGCATTCATGTTAGATAAAACAAGTGACCTTTTTATGATGTTGGAATGACCATGGCCTTATTGTTTACAGGGCTTCACCTATGTAGCTCCCTCTGTATTGGAGGAGCTCAACAAGCCATGGATAGCGGAGAAGGAGCCCCGATCACCACGAAAGGTGGGGTCCAGCTGGACTGGTGGAATGAGGTAATAAAAGAAGTAGTATCATAACAATTTTCAGGCAGTTTTCTAGTTTTAAAGGGCTGTAATAACTCAGTTGGTTAGAGTGTTGATCTACGTGACCTCTGGTGAAGCTCCAAGGTATGTAGTTTGATGCTTTATACACTTGGCAGTTCATGTTTCTCAGGGGGCTAAGAAACAGACCTGTCTGTGATATCATGTTGTGACCTTAGGTATGACACTTGCCGTGGATAGCATGTCATGTGCCTTCTGTATGTTGTTCAGTGAGGTAGCCATCAGTTACTATAAGGAGACCCTGCCTGAAAATGATGCTGACTGTTCAAGGAGAAATAAACTCAGCAGACAATTAGACCACTTTCTAGTTTTATGGTTCTGGCATGTTTATAAATGATGTCAAATGTTCACACTTAGCTGGTCTGGAACAGAACAGAAAATAATTTACAGATTCCTTGGAAGAAAAGATATTTTGCAAATATATCACAATTATAATTTGTTTAAGTTGAAACTGATATGTTTCAATATTTTGGAATCTGTTCACCATCTCGTCACACTATTTTTTATCTTTGTGTACATAGGGTTATAGTATAGTCGAAAAAATTGGTCAACTCCTTACCAGCTCATACTCAACATACGCCAGTGCTAATCTGCTTATCACTGGTCATTTCTCTGATGAAGGTGACCATGTAGTCTAGTCATCGAAACATCACACTCAAATCTTTTACTGGTTTTGCAATAAGAACATGTATTCTATTTTTATGTTTTGATGTAGATGAATTTGATTGCGGAAACATTTCCCAATTATGCGTTTATTATGCGCGGTATTGTTATCCGTTTGGATTCACTTTCATCCGTACATTTTGTACATGAAATTATTTATTAAAATGCAGATAACTGGAGGCAAGTTTTGTATTAATGAAAATTTTTCAAAATGCTCCATACTCTGTCTACAGCTCCAACACCTTGAAATGATAGTCTTGAAAATAAGCCTTGAAATCATTACTGAAAAAGAATATAAGCCACAGCTTATGTTCAACAAAAATTTCTTGGGGGTATTTCAGCTTTGGTACATCTTCAATTTGGGCATTTTACTCCATGTAATTCGTAAGTCCCCAAAGATTTCTATTTGGCAGTAAATAGTTAAGTTGCCTCTCTTCGGATACATAGCTCAGCCAGCATTTTCGATATCTTGACCTCTATTTAAGCATTTACTTGTTGGCCGGGTAATACTGAAGCACTACAGCTGTTATAGCCCTTTAGCTCATATCATTATAATGTATTAAACTGTTAAGATTCCTCGCACTGTGCCTCTGCATAATTTATTCATAAACCACAGCTTATGTACAACTATTTTGGTTATTTGACAATCTCTGTTTACCTGTACACACCATAAATACTGTAAATTAAGTTTTCCAAAAAGCCTGGATTATTTGATTCTTTGCAACATTTTTGATTATTTTTGTAATTTTAACATTATGATATTATGTAGTATAATTAAACATAAACACTCGTGGACAATCACTTTATTCTGACACATTTAACGATAAATATGAAATTAACAATTTGTATTTATATTTCACCTTTATATCTTTATTATGACGTAACATATGTTAACTTGAAAAATCTTTGAAAATAATGTCACATTGCCAGGTGTTAAAAAAAATGTGTCTGTATAGTAAATTAAACACAAAATTCTTGTTTTAAGCCCCCATCAGGTGTCCCTAGTAGAAGGATTCCGTGTAGCATCTGATGTCAATGGATTGGATGATCCAGAAGATATGGATACCACTGCTCCTGTCGTCACAAAGAGGTCCACGTCTCCTGCCATAGCAACCAAAAATACTACCTACAAACAGGCGGCATTTCCAGGAAGTCAGAATCGACCACCACATCTACGAATGAATTAATTAAGTTTAAATTAAGGAATTTTAGTTTGATTTCATTGCCTTTTAATGAACACATTTAGTTAAGTCCTTTCTTGATTATGTCCTCTGTGAAGGTCTGCAGGTGGAGATGTTTGGACATATGTAACAGCTGGTGATTTTCCACATTTCTTGCAAAATTGAATATGACCATAAACTGATCGGGAGCGACGATCATTTCAAGATGTCTGCTGTTTCTTCCAAGGAATTTGCATAATGTTGACAGAATTTAATATACCGAGCCAGACATATTTTTTCATCTAAAAAAAAATTTGAATGAAGTCAATTTTGAAACAAATATTAATATGTTGCCTTGTATTTGTTTTCAATTCTTGTGAATCTATATATTGTTTGCCAGTATTTATTTCAGATTGTTTAGAAATTAAACCCTGTGTTGAAGCAGGTCTAATATTTTATATCTTATTTTTGTTTTATACTGTTCAATGGACAGTACAAATTAGACACACAGCTTCAGATTAGTAAACAAAATTTGATTGATTTATTTTCAATATTTTACATTCAACTTCATTGATGCTTTTTACATGGATTGAAAGATAGCACTGATTAGGTGATTAATTGAAGGTTAAATTAATTTAATTAACATTAATTTAATTAACCGCTTGTGTGGTTTTATTATTAATTTTTGCTGATCAATGTAAACAATGCTGATCAAGGATTTAAATATCAATCATGTTTTACATTTTTAGTGTAGATTTTTTGTGTCATGTTGATACCCACACTTCCAGGATCACATGATCTTCCCAACATTCAGCAAAAACACTTAAATTAATATTTTCATTTCCATTTCCAAATTTTATTATAAATGATGCTAATTGTGTTGTTGAAATATGTACATAGATTTGATTATTACAGATAAATGCAATTCAGAAGAAAAAAATTAGAATGTTGAAAATTGTTTTAAGATTTCATGTGTTTGTCAACAGCAAGGATGATACCTATTAACATTCCTTGATGGAAACTCAATAGGGTATCTCTTGCTTGAATGGTATGATATTTATTCCACAAGTGATGATATTTATGTAAGGGATCGAAATTTTGATGCAACACCAGAGAGTGCTAGTAATGTGATGAGAGTAAAGGGAATAGAAAACTTCAATATTTTAAGAATATATCGATCATGGTATGCGTCTTATATGATAAGGGAAAGAACCAAATTATCTCCCTTTAATAAGATAGGACATTTTTGCTTTCTCTATAAAGGTATAATGAACAAAAAGACACCCTCAGGAATTCAAAGATTTTGGCAAAAGTAATATTCAGCTTAAGTTAAGTTTTAATCTTAGTTCAATAAAATCCATTATTTCCTGGGTTCCATTTTCACGGTTTTCAAAAAAAAAAAAAAACACTTCTTTCGCTGACATTTGATTTTGTTTATAAATTTAGTTTAAACTGTTTATATCATTTTGTGGAAATATGAATTCATGATTTAAGATTAGGCACGAATCAATTAGAATAAGTCCCCCAAGGAGATTGATTATATCACAGTCACCAAATCTTGGTATACAGATATATAGCAATATTTTAAGGGTTAGGTGTTTAAAATGAATGGTCATGATGAAACAGAACATTGTTCACATGTAGATAAATAAATTTCTGTATATTTTATAGTTATACAGTTATTAATATTGAAATTGAGGTCCTATTTTTTTTTTACAAACAAAACTGCTTGGAATGCTGTTTATTTCTTTAAAATTCAAAACATAATCTAGGAGAAATTGTTATCTAGTCAACGTCATTTCATTGTAAAGGGAGGTAATTTGGTATTATCCTGTTGTGTATTCTGTACATGATTATAAAAGCAAGACTGTTTGAAGTAATGAGTGAGGATTGTTTGCTGAGAAATGATTTTTTTTTTGTCTCACAATTAAGTCAATATTAGGTTAATATTTAATGTATAAGCTTGTGTTTGTGTATCTATGACAAGATTTTGGGCAGACAGAAACTCATTGTTGTTGACAAGTGTATTATCGTTTTTTGTTATTTTTATTGTTGAAATAACCTCATCTCCCCTTATGGAAGAAGTGAACTAAACCCATAATTGAGAGACAGCAAAGCCTATTATGCAACTCAGGGATGAGGGGTTATTCATTGAGAAAACTGCAAACTAATTGATTTTCATTTTTTATTGTATTTGAAATAAGCATTGTCAATTTTGTGTACACATAATTTCTTTCAATAGGATACATGTGACGGTTTAATGTATGAAAATTGTCAAATTTAAACATTATTCTCCAATTAGCTTATGAAGGTTTTTATTTAAACATTCTTTTAACAAAACATTTCATGAATGACGTTGGTAGTGCTGATTCCTTACTTTTAATGCAAGTAAACACTTGTTTTAGCAGAAATAATATTATGAATAGGAATTCACCTTCATTACACACAATATCAAGGTCTTCTTTGAAGTGAAGGATTTGCTTTAGAAAATTGTGTCCACTGACCATACCTTTTATCTGTAGATAAAATTGTATAAATCCAATAGCAATACAACGATGTCTGTTGTTGACAACTCTATGTTTGTTGTTTTTGGAATCTGCAATTTGCTTTCTCATTGGGGTTTTTTCTAGGCATATTTTGTCTTATGGATCCAAGATGGTCATTAAAGGCTACAAATCAGTCAAATCTGTTGTATAATTTAGATGTTTATTCTGCTCTTTGTAAAGCAGAGTTGTCTGCTTTTACGACCAGTTAATGTCATTTGTCATAAGTTTGCATTAGAAAATTACATTACTTTCACAAACCAATGATGAAACAGTCAATGCTCACAAGAGCAGATAACTCTGCATTTTGAAACAAAAGAATAATGGTAAAGGGATTTGTAACACATCTGCTTTTTAGCACCTTTTGTAAATGTGAGGCTGTATTATGTTCCAGTTACTTTAAAGTTTTGATTGTGATCATTGCAAATTCTTACATACAGTGTCAGCAAGCATTAAACTGCTTGTTAGAGTTTTGGCCTACCATCATACAGCAAAAAACTGTTGTCTTCTGAGACTTCAAAATGATTTGTTGTATTTGGATGTAAGTTATATTTAGAGCAGATAAAACCCTCTAAAAATGAAACATAACATACCCTTTTATGGATATTTGATTGGATTATCAGGCCAGAGACATGAACATACACCAAGAATATTTTTACAGTTCAAAATGACAGGCTTCCCACTGCCAATATAGACCTTGATACTCTCGTCTTAATAATATTAAGGTAAGCTACATCAGTTCTAATGGTTTGGAGAGGTTTACATATTCTCCCTTGAACAGCGAATGTGGATGAAACGTTGAAAAATGAAGGGCTCTGGAGGAATTTATTTTTCGTTTGGCTGAATGCAATCATATCACCTTGGTAATGTTAAATGTAAACATATGATTGGCCACATAAGACCAAAGAGAGTTATCCCTGCTGCTTCATGCATTCCTATTAAATTTTTCAGTAAAATAAAATTCTGTAAAATAGACTCATAATTAGCTGGGAATTGCCACGGTAAAAATCTCTAGTTAAAAAACAATTATTAAAATGTTTCATGACTGTGATTTGATCATTTTTCTTACAAGAGTCATTTCTGCTATATTAACACTATTTCTTTGATAGAAAATGTATGTCATTTTGTATAAATATAAGTTTCGTTTTACTCCTGCACCAGACATTACACTCATTAAAGGACATTGGTGTAAGAGCCAGAGGAAACTCTATATATCTATAAATCATGTATGTATAGTTTTATCACTGTATGATATATCTGTATGACCATTGTCAGGTTGTCTAAACAGATTTTGTTGCAAATTGTAGATTTTATTTTGAAATGTATATATTATTTAAATGAGATATGAACTATACAGTGATGAAGCAATCATTGTTTTTTGTTCGCTAGTTTAACATTTTGTATAGATTGCAATTCCTTGTCCCCAACAGTATGCACTGTCAAGTTGCTTTGAAGATTTTATTTGTATGTTCTACAATTTGTAAACTGAAATTCTACAGAAGAGATGTATTTGTTTTCCTAAGTTTCTGTATTTAATGATGGAACAAATTTGTTCTTGTCAAGTTTGATTATGAGCAAATATTTTCTAATGAAAATTGTTATTCAGATATACCGCTATAAGAAGAAATCCAGGCTATAACAGGTGTTAAAACAGAAAAATATTGGTGACGGTTCAATTTTTTTCCTTAACTGAAATTTAATGTACTGATTTAATTTGATGCATTTTGTTCATATATTTGTTCATTTTTAAGAAAAAAAAACAAATGTTTTTTGAAATGCAGACTTTCGATTATCAGGTACTGTATACAACAGTTTTAAGCAATTTAAAACACTTACCTTTTGATTTTTGGAAATCTGAAGCCTGTGTCTTAGCTTATTTATGAATTTAGTTATACAAGTCATACATGAAGACCTTCAATGTTATGACATTGCATATGTTTATCAAGAGCAGTTGACATGTTACAGACCATATGGGCTAAGTATGAGTGAAAAATGTTCTTTTTCTCTTTAATTCACTTGTAATATGTAATATTTCTGACGTAATTTGTCAACATATTACTTTTGAAATTTATTTCAATTTGTTTTTCGTAAATGATATTTTTTGCATCATTAATATGTACATAAACATTTACAATGCTATCGTCAAGCCATTGCATAAAAATATAAACAAAACTGTTCTTATAGTCTAATAAAAGAAAATGGAAATGCTTTTCAATTATAAACTGTTAAAATTTTTTGTCAGTCTCTTGTAGTAATAGCTAATAAATCCAGACAAGACATCACATTAAAAGAATGGCAAGTATTCCCGAATGGTGTCTTCTTTACCTTAAAAACCTCACCCCTTTCTTGCAAACTAGGATGTTCCATCGTTTTGAAATACATTTTTCCATAACCATTAGGATTGAAATGCATTCTTTAAACAAGTCTTCAAGCTTTTCTTCATGCTAGAGCTATTTTCTTATCGTGTGTATTGGGCTTCATTTCAAACATGTTGGTACAATACCACAGTAACAGAATATGAACTCTGTTCCGAAGATTTTACATCTTTTATCACATATCTGAAAAGTTCTTTGTTCTTATTATTCTTTGCATAGATTTTTCTCCAATAGTTAAACTTTAGATAACTCTTGTGGTATTATGCTATCCTCCTGAAAAGTGATCACAAATACAATATATAGTAACATTCAATCTTGATGGATAATAGAAATATTGTTTATTTATTTCAAGTAATTGCAGTTAACAGGGTGATTATTAATGAGGTGGATGTTTATGAAAAGTGTGTGACATAAATGTATTTTTTGTCAATATTTATCTGACATTCATATATCCCTGTTATTCAGAAAACTCTGTTTGATCATTTCAAAATGACTTGCTTTTTGTAACGGGATGCACCTTATGTTTTAACTTTTATCGTTTCAAGACAACTTGTATCATAATTTGTTTTTATGTAGAGCAAAGGTAATGTTAAGTGTATTCTTTCCTTGTTGTGCCATCCCAAAAAAATTGAGATATTTATTTGATATGGAAAAATAAGAGATTGGACAAGATTTAAAAAGTATGATATTAAATCAGGCAGAAAGTGCACAATAATATTTCGTTTGTGTTTGTCTTTTTTCTGTTCCATTATTGCTGTGCTGTGTGAGGATTGATGCAGCTACTGATATTTCCTCTAATTGTACTTTTGGCTAGCTATTGCCATTAGGAGATTTAACAGAAATACATCTTTTCTGAATGTTTTTAGTTCACCTACCCTGACCTATTTGGCTGGTGGGTTCTTTGGGTGGAGTGTTACAAAATATCCTCATATAAATGATCTTCACCCATTTTCAATGTGACAGGAGTCAGATATGTTGAAACCTTTTTAGAATTTTTCAAAGTTTCAGGAGACTCGGTGTCCTGATTATTTGCAAGCAAGTACTAGCTGTAATATTTGTTGAATATCAACATTTTTGAGGGGAAACTGATATATTAAGAGCTATTATTATCATGACCACCACCCTAAATACAAATCCCCAGGTACTGGTTGCGGGTCAGTGTTTTTTCTGCTGGATCTGCTTTCTTCTACCATCTAAACCCAGCACATCCTTAAATGACTGGTTGTTAATAGGACATAAAACAACAATACACTCTGAAACATGTACTCATCCTCTCCTAATTGTTTACCATTGTACGAAGTCTGATGAATACCGGTATCTCTTAAGAAATGAAGTACCTGGTAGACAGGATTGCATAGGACATAGAAAACACTATATGCTTTATCATAAATGATGAGGCACAACGATGACAGAGAAATATTGTTTAAAGTTTCTTCAATTATTTATTTGCAACAATCAATACAAAACATTGATTAATAAATATATCATTTTGTCTCCATAGGAAATTGGCTATAGTGTTACAATATACTTGTACACCAAAAGCCTTCCATTTTTAATCTACTGGTAACCATATCAAAATTTTACTGCACTTTCTTTTCTTGTCCACTATATATTCATGTAGTACTTATATAAATCTGTTTTAATTTAAACCATTTTTCAACTTAATGTTTTCTGAAATGTGTTCACTTAGTTTCAGTAATTTGCCAAATAAACATAAAGTTGCTAGTGTACTTCATTAAGAAATGTTTCTTTCAGAAATACAATGCAACATACAAAATAACTCCTTCATTCAATGATCCATTTCAAAACTTAATCCCTGGCTTGTATTTCTGTTACACTGGTAATGAGCACATTGTGCTTGTAGGAATGTTAAGTTCTTCTGCAGTAGTATGTCTAAAATTCTGACTCATCAAACGTCCAGATAAGTCAAATGAACACATCTTCGTAAAAAAAGAAATTATATGGTGGAATATTTTCAGTACAATGGAAACCACTTAATGTCACATCTGTTAATGTCATATTCCCCTTATGATCACAATTATATCTGGAAAAGGGAACATGATATTACATGGTTTCCACTGCATATAAATTCAATTTTGAGTGAAGAATTTCTAAATGATCAGAAAGGAGAAAGTCCAACTGGAGAATGGAAAGTTACTGAATGAGTAATTTTTATAACAATGATTTACCAGCTGATTGGGATCTTTAGTTCTAAAACAGTGACTTTTTAAATGATAGCTCACAAAACCAAACTGCAGGAATGGTTCCTTATATTAAAATGATTTCACATCAGATTTTTAAATTTGAAAACAAATGCAATATATTACAATATAAATTACAATATATATTATGACAATCCAAATAATGAACTGCTTGTTATTTCAAGAGGACTGACTTCAGAGTCATTACATTATAATATATTGCTCCGAATGTAAACCTTTCACATCAAAGTAAAGAATTTCACCTCCATTTGCTCTCATTCTGATTCAGAAATTAAAAAAGAAAATGATATATATAAATCACACAATTCTATTTTGACAAAAGAGCTCATCAATGACCTCTTCTGGGTAATTAAATCTAAATATATTTAACCTCTTCAACAAAACAGGATCTGCGTACATGTACCTGGATTCTATCCATATAATATTTTGATTTTTTCTTTCTCCATCTAATTTATCATCTATTTTCTTACAGAATATCAGGTTCATTGTAAGAATTCCGGACAACCTGAGATAACTGCTTTCAAGGTATTCGATATTTGGATACTTTTTTCCCCAGATTATAATCTCCTGAGACAGGCATGCACTTTACACAGAGGTGTGGCCTTTATGAACAAAACAAATGTGCAAAAAAAAAAAGTGTACAACTTCCAAAATAGAAATCCACGGTACAGTAATATATATTGTTACTTGTTGTAATTCCTTTTTCTGTTTATTATGTGACTCTATTTTATCACACAACACTTGATCTAAAGAAACACTTGCATGCAAAATTAAGCACTTTTTTCATGAAATGAGTTACCTGATATACCCTACCCAAAATTAACAAAGTAAAATATTAGGGGCAAAAACAACCCAAAATGATATTTCCCATGAGGCCTTCAGACCTGATTAAATGAAGGAAAGACAAAAACAAGACTTGTCAATGTCTAAACCTAAACTGAATTTTAAACCAGTTATTAGTGATCTTCCTTCCATATTTGGGAATTTTATGTTTCGTCTTTAAGTTGAGAAAACAATTAATCCAAGGAAAACATGTTACTATGGGATACTTTCTATATTTTTTTTATCAAAACACACTTGTTTCTGTATTGATTACATTTTGAGGTATAATTACCACTGATGACTAAAGTTTTCAAAAAATCATTTTACACTTGATGAAATTGATACTACACCTCATGTTAACAGTACCCATACATCCTGTAAAAAGACTATGGGGTGGACTTATTACAGGAAAAATGAAATGTTATTCAGTTGATAGTTCTGCAGGACAGCAAAATGACCCACACAATACCAAATCAGCTTTGTTTGACTAAAAAAAAAAAAGAAGTGATGATTTCATCAGAGGGAGATGTTATGTAACTGGAAAAAACTTTGAGCTTTTCAATAATTGTTATTTCTAACATGGAAGAAATATAATTAAAAACAGGTATACAAAGTGATGACAAAATGTGATAAAATGCATAAACATTCAAAATGCAAATATTAAATGTACAATAAATCAAAATCCTAATATGTGAGTTATCCCGGAAGTCAAGGTCACTACACTTTTGCAATTTGAATCGTAAATAGCTATTTCCAGAAAATTTTGTTTCAATACAAAGAGTGCAAATTATTTTTGATGATGCCTGAAAAACATAAAAACAGTACATTTGTTTTTGTATTCCCAAGTGTGAAGTCTTTTTCAAGGATTTGAAACATTTTGGAAATAAAAAGGAATCACTGATTATCCTGGTTTGTTTATGGGGCAGAAGTGTCTGACATTTACCGATATACAAACTGGCACAATATCAGAAACATAGCAACTTCTCACTTTAAACATGTTTAAACCATTTTCTGAGATCAACTTTATATCATTTTTTTTGTATGATACATGTTAATAAGTGGCAAAACCAAACTGTTGTCAACTTCACCGACATCCCATTACTGATAAATTACAACAATTAACAGACAGACACGGATCAACGAATATCAGGTTTTCAATCGACACCTGCTCCTTGACCAGAAAACACACTCTGGAACAGCTCCACCAGTCATGAATCTTCTTAAGCAAGGTATTAAGGGGAAGAAGTACAATACATGTACTTATATAAATGGTTACATTACATGATGGTAGAGTTCAATCACTCCTTATCTTCATGAACCAAAAACTGACAAGTCAATTGGAAGAGTTGACTATGCAATTAGTAGGTAGAAAAGAAATAAAACAGCTACCCACAGAAACACTTTAGATAGGAATTGTTCCTCACGATTCTGCGGTGATCCAGGTGGAGCTAAAAAAGAATAAATCAAAATGTATGACATTAAATGATAAGAAATATTTACTTAAATGTACCATGTAAAACAGTATCAATAATTGTTTATACCAAGGAAGAAGTCATAAGAATTAAAAATGTCTCGATTAAATATTGATGAAGTTTTAGCAAGGTAAATATAAATGAAACTTCCAGAGATTAGGACGTCCGTAAACAATATGTAAACACATGAAAGTGAAGAGAATGAAAACAACTCTACTTCATAATGATAATCTGTTTTTTTGTTCTCATCAATGATTTTGATAAATACACATTTTCATGGGCCTCAATGATAATCTGACCATAAAGATTCTCTGTATGACATAACAGCAGCAGTAGTGGTAAGAACGATAATTAAATGATTAAAACAATTTGGAATATTTTAGCAGTAAAGATAAAAAAGCACTCCCTAATTCAGTTTCTCAACAAAATTTCAGCTCTATGGCACCAGTGGAACATGACAAGTTTGAAATTTAATTTCCCAGATGGTCATGTTGATTTCAGTGTAACCTGAACCATGACAATATTAATGGTCAGAACCATCTCAGGAACATTTCAGGCATGTCTCAGCCCAATCCCACCTATAGTCACAGTATACAATAAGCCAAATGGTCTGGGTTTTACCATAGTTATATGTAATATACATACCTGGGCCTGGTCGTCCATCATTGAAATTAAATGTTGAGGCAAAAATTCCAAAAGGGAAAGCACCAATTCCAAAGGACATGTGGAATCCTCCATCTCCAAATCCAAAGCCAGGGAATCCCTAGATTGTACAAAGAGAGGTTTAATAATATCATTGTATACAGACAAGGATTGATCTAGACAAATTTTACTATCAGAAAAGGATAGTATTCCTCAAGTGGTATGCTTTCCCTCTGAATATAAACAAATATTCTATGAAGAAAATAGATTGAAAATGTTGAGGAAATTTCCCCAAAATAGAAACAAATTTCCCCAAAAACGGAGTAATTTAGCATATTTTTACTTAACATATTTTCGAATAATGTACCCATGAAGAAGACATCACAATCAAACCTCTACATTGTCATATTTCACTCATGTAATCTTGATCTTTGTCATACATTTTAACCATGAAATCCGACCAAAGGGGCCATCCAGAATTTCTCCATCCCCCCCCCCACCCTCCCCACTCTTTTTTTTCACACTGGCTGTATTCCCAAAATTCTTTATTAACCCATGACAGAGAAGCCAGCTGTCAGACAGAGATATTAAACATCCCACTATTGAAGAAGTAAAATTTTATACCAACCCATCTGTGGTTTTTATTAACAATAACAAGCAATCTGTTGGCTCCCCTGCAATAAACATGGCAATAAAAATTTTCAGCACAAAAGAACTTGTTCTAACTTATGCAACTTTTGTTCTTATAAGGACTGTCCTTCTATACATACCCCTCCTTGATTTTCTGGTTCAGATCTTTGACCTGCTGGACGAGGTGGCAGTTTTTCTCTGAAAAGAGTAATGATAATAAATTTTCAAAATAGAGACTTATTCCAGTATGTTGTTCCTTAACAAGAAAAAAACAAACATTTAATAGATACTTATTAGTTTGATATTACAAGTGCAAATCAGTTATGATAAGTCAAGTCTTCTGTGATATGGTATTAACTGGGTAAATACTGAAATACTATTAAAGTATTTAAGTAGCAGCTCTAAATTCATATGCAATATGAATTTCATGGCCAAAGACATACTTCAATCAAATACATAAGCATTACCTCAAAGCATGCCAAAAAATTTTGAAAAATATTCATGTTTTTTGAGATTTTCAAGGCAAGCTTAGACAATGTTGACTGACGGTAACTTCCTATGACAGAATCAAAAGCAGACTTTGGTTTTTAATATCTATTGCCAGGATATGATGATCAAGCTGAGTTCCAGACAAACCTTGGGTCCTGTTGGTTGCTGGAGCCCCTGCCATACACTGGTATCACCTTGTCTTTTCCAATACCAGCTTTACACACAGGACACATCTGTCTCTGGGGACGAGTCTCCAACCACTGGTGGAGGCAGGGCCAGCTGTAATTACAATAAGGTTGCCCTGTTAGGTTATCGTGTTAGTTACCTTATTTTCAGTCATTTTTTAAAAACTTGAAATTAGTAGCGATGTGATTTCCCTCACTCTCATGTACAATCACAAACTTATACATGGTATCAAATTCTTTGAGAAATGAAATCAGAAGTTAAAATCTGTAATATCAGTGACTTTGACCATGAAACAAAAATTAAATCAAAGTATTGATTTTGTTGAACTTTGTATAAAGTTTCATCGTTAAGTTCCTAGAATAACATTAATTCAGGACAGGACATGGGCATTGGTGACAATATCATATACTGTTACCCCTCTATGTTGTACTATCCTTATGTTATACAAAAGACCAGCAACAACCGTTCTCAAGTACAAATGTTGAGTATTAACACAAGTTACAACAATGATAACATGTATGGCCTGAGTATCGAGCTTAACAAGTTACTCCTTCCACGGCCACACCAGGACTGACTCTATTTGCTGTGATCTTACAGTTTATCCTAACGTAATTATAATCTAATTCTGATAGGGAAAGTGTCTTCTACTGATCTACAATTAAACCGTGAACAGTTAATGCCTCAATGGTGGAGAGCATGTCCAGCCAATGTTTCACGGCATGATTCTGACACTAAGGTGACCGCAATTAAACTATCTGTCTGATAAGCCAGCCGGTCACATTAAGATTTAACACAAATTATGTTCTACACTTGAGCAACAAATTTCACCATTAACATATACTATATCACACTATTAATGATATCCTAATACTTCTAATAGTAATGTACCAGTTAAGTTACTCCTACAATGTTTCACCACAAGAAACTTATAAGTGACACCTTGTTGCAGTAAGCACAATAATGTAAGATAATACATTGGTGGATGTCCATATAGGAATACCAATTAAGTATCCACTTTAACAAGATGTTCTTGTGTTGAGGAATATTTTTGTGTTCTGTTTTCTATGGGACCATACCTTGACAGGCAAATTCTACCAATATCCAACCTAAACAATTCTACACTTTATTCAAAGCCTCTACAAAGAACAATCGTTACAATGGGCTAAGAGCCATGCTCAAGGATATATCACTATGCACAGACCTTGATCTCCGAGAAAATGACTGGTCAATGGCCAAACGAAGTTGATGACCTTATTTTTATTTACATATTTGGCATTCAGAAAAAGTACAAATAATCTTATCCAGTCTCCTTTTGATCTAACTGACAAGATGTACAGAAAGTAATGACTTAACACGTTTTCAGATTTCATCATTCGTTTCCACATCATCTATCATGGCCACTGTTCCTATCACTAAGAGACATAATTGTCTATAACCAACTAATAGGTATGTATTGAACTTTTCCATTTTTAAATTTTCAAGTTTCATTATGTCCTCATTTTTTCGTTTTCATCTAATAAACAAAAACATTTCTAGTGTATACTTCTCTTTCAACAGCTTTGAATTTGTCATACAATCACTACTGCACAGTATTCATTAAACATATTGTACAAGTGAGTTTAACACGGCAAATCTACGGCACCATGGCAAATATTTTGACGAACTCTAACTATTCAAACATGCTGACAACCGTACCAAAATAAATGTCCACACATGCTGACAACTGGGTCGCGTGCGGTGTCCAGACAAATATTGCACTCATAAAATGTCCCAGCATCAGCGTCCGTTGAATCTGTTCCACCGGGAGGCGTGGTGCCACCTTCTGCTCCACTCGGAGTCGCCATGTTCAGTATAGTACTATTGTTTAGTTTATGATTGGTTCTATTCCAACGTCGTCATTATCTAGATAAAATATGACGAAGCTTATGCTTCTACTCCATCGTCACGTCAAAAGGAGATTACTGGGAAAGTCCCGGAAGTTTCTGTGTTGACGTATTACTACTCATGCGCAGTAAGTTTTAAAGGGAGGTGATAAAAATTGTCTGCTATATCTGTAGCTGACAACAACATTAAAGCATTGAATACAATTACTTTACTTTATAAGCGATCCGTTCATATACTAGATAGAATGTTAATAGTGACGGATTATACAGTATGGAGGAAAATATTTTGGCTGATTGTCGTCAATGAAAGATTATTTCTATTTTTAGTATCGTGTTTATTTTGTCGTGTAGCACGGACTTAGGATTCTATTTTAGGTCGGTGACAGCAGCCACTGCATATCGCGAAACTTAAACCAACCCTTAAAAATCTCTTTTTAACCATTCGCAGAATTATAACGTCAGTATGGCCGTTTATACGTTTCATAATACAGTTAACTTCACCCCTTATCCAGATAAGACAAGTTTATTTACGGTTCAGGACGTGAAGAGTCCCATACCAGACTCCATAATGCATGTTAAGTTTCCTAGATAAAAAAGTTATATATGCTTCTCATAAAACAATGTTTCTTATAGTTAATTCAATAGTTGAGTTTTTTCAGCTCTGTAGTTGAAGAAAAGTTCTTGGTTCTTCCACTAACAGTCTAACTCATTTTCAAATCTATTTCGGTTTTTTAAATTACAATATGGTCCGGTAATTTGTTCCAGATCGATGATGATCTTATGGGAAAAAAAGTGTTTGCGTAGTCTAGTTGAAGCTCGTTTTGGAAAAATTGTTTTCGAGTTGACATACCGACTGTGTCGTTGAATGGCCTCAGCTCATAGTTGGACCGAGTTGCAGCATTCCGGTCATACATTCCTTTCTCCCCTGACTCTCCTGAAGGCTAAAGTTGGTAGGTTTTCCAATCTCTGGCTGTTGGTAAGATTTCGCATGCCAGGTAGGCATTTAGTTACTCCTCGTAATACTGGTCCTTGAGATTACGTTGGAAGTGAAAAAAAAATCGATGATGAAAATGCATTCCTTTTTATTTATCTTTCATTTTATTCTATCATGAAATATCAATAAATAAAGATGTTAGACTTTGCAACTTCAGGTGAATTGGCGTCACGTTAATAGTGACAGCACGATGAACCAACGGATTCTGTGTGCATCCAATTCAGTGTCATGTGTAGCGATCAAGCAAGAGGTTAACTGTGTTATATCAAGTGAAAATGGTCAATAACTTCAGGCAGCAGAAATGTTTGGGAAGTATCCCATATCGTTCATGTACTGAAATGTTTCTCATGCCAGAAATGTACATGTATACAAAATATGACGACTCTAAGCAGTACGGAAATCACATGTTCTTAACGAATTATGTTTCGACACCGACAAATCAGGAACAATAACTTTGTAAATAATGGAATGAGTTGCAAATTTCTTGAGATATGAAAAAATCTGTTCAATGCATGGCGAATCCAAGTTCTGATTATAATGAAATTATACAATCAAGAAACGTTAACCCAATAAATCATGGAATTCTTCTTTTTGAGATAAACGTGTGTAAAATGTTAACGGGTTAAGTGAGTTCGTGATTATAGGCCTTTCTTAATCATGGCTGATGAAAATTGATGTACGAACCAGTACGAATCTAACTGAGCCAAGTGTTTCCTTGCATTTATTGCAAATTATGTTAACAATGACAAAAAATATACAACATTTACGCGTTTCTATGGAAAATGAAATAACTTTATTTACTGTTTCTATACCTTGAAAACATTAAATCAAAAAGTGTTTAATCATTATGTCATCATAAATTAATGCTAATTGTATTTTTGTTAAGATATGGCATTTCTTTCCGCTTTCATTGGGTACTAATTTTTTCTTTTCTTTCCGGAAGACGACATCCGACTCGTATTTGCCTGTGATGCCAATTTCTCCTGAAGATCTGATATAGTGTACTTAAGATGATTCACTTCCCTGTCATATTCTGTTTTCAGATGTAGAAGTTTCTTTCGGAAAATCTCTTGATTTGAAGAATTTGACTGGGTAGGTGGAATAGTTTTTTGCTTCAGTTTCGACAATTTGCTTTCGTAATCCATTGAAATTCTGAGTATTTCAGATTCCTTTTCGCCGTTGATTTTGTCTACTTTTTGTTGCATCCGGTAAATTTCGTCGTTTTTCTGTTCAATTATTTCTCTTAATTTGTCAATTTCCATATTTTTCTCTTTGTTAAATGTTTCTGTCAATTCATTCCTCTCTTGCGAGTGTTCTGCTTGTATCTTTTCAATTAATTTTGCATGATTTATTTTTTGAGCATTTGCCTCTGATTTTGCGTCACAAAGCTCGTTTGTTTTGCGTTTGATTTCTTCTTTACCCTTTCTGATGTTTTCCTCTAGGTCACAGACAGTGTGAAGTTGTTTATGCAGGGTATCAATCATGCCCTGAAGATCAGCAACAGTTCTTTCAAGCTCTGTGTTTTTTCTCTCTAGTCTCTCCGTGTCTCTCCTGACGTTTTTTGTTTCTTCAGATAATTCCGTTTTCTTTTTCATCAAATCAGCAATGACCAACTGCCAATTATCATATGTGTCGATGATGGAGTCCAGATCCAAACCTTTTTCATTTGGATTTTTCGGGGGATCTTTTTCACCTTCATCCATGTTAAGGTTAGACTGAAACACGTTAAAATTATATTGCGATGGGAAAGTTATTTTAGAAAGGTTGTATGATTACTTGCATCAATAACGTGGCTAAGAAATGAAATATATAGATGTATAAATATAGAGGTGTATATACATTAAACATCTGAGGGATGAAACTGATAAATGCTTATGTTAAACTAAGTCTCCCAAAGGTAATATGAGTAAAGTAGTTCAGCAGTGATCAATCTACAATTTGTTTCGATGAGTCCTTTTCAATAATATTGCAAAAAACAATGGCTCTCTAAAGTGAAAATTTAAGTATTTTCTAAAATTCTAGGAGTCTTGCTATGCTATGAGTATATTACTCGGGACTCGCATGTAGATTTATCACTGCTCTAGAAAAAGTTCAAAAGCTGTATGTGTATATATTTGGGTAAATATGAAAAATAACAAAAAACATATTATTATTATGAGAACAGAATCTAAATTTAGACTCATATTCAATAACAATAGGACAAAACATAAACATAAACAAAGATAAGATTAACATGGACTTGCACGAGGAGAATAAGACCAGTTATTCCGTAAAAGTAAGCATATTATGCTTTATTACGTCACCAGCCATGTATATCTCGGTCAATCTAAAAAGTAATGTCACTTTCTCATATGAGAACAAGGTATAAAACAACAGAACCAACAAGCATCAAACATGTCAAGATTCATATCACAATAGAAGCATCTGCATGTAACAAACAAACGTGAATCTTTCGTAACGTATCCTGATAACATTTCTTCCTCTCGTCATACGGCCGCTTAAAAAGGAATATCCAGGGAACACGTTTGATTATTTTGTTTCATTTTTTGTGTGTATGCTATCTCACCTAACCCATAAACCCTCCCAACCCCCGTTCAGTGAAAGCATTTACGTGTAAAGAGGTAAATATTCGTCTGTATCAACAATGTCTTACCGACATGAAATACAAATTTTCGCAGCGATAAACTTCAGCAGACGGAGAATTTTTACCGAGTTGCGAGAACGCTTCTTTTCCCAACTGGAGTAAAACATTTCAAAGATTAAAATAAAAAAAAACTTGTCTTGCTCATAAACGGTCGGGTATAAGGTTTAAGACATACACAAAATATAAATCAGATGATTTTGTTGACAGAGTTTAGTTTGTGAGAGCACAAAATCTATCTAATACTATTGTGATAATGCAATTTATTAATTTTTTTCTACTTTCACTTTTCATTTCACAGGAAGTGGATATCATTGCGCCACCTAACGTTATATTTATTACACGTACCGTTTATTAACGGATGTACATAAGCTATTTGGAAAGGTTTGTCAGAGTGGTTAAACGATTATGGGTGACAAAGTGTTATGCAGGGAAGGTTATGGATCGTCTCGTGTTAAGAAGAATTATGTGTCGACAGACGATGGACGATTAGTGGTGGTTGACCAATCTCCAACCGGCACGACATTCTCTCACTTTTTCAGGGTAAGCACTTAGTAAGGTCTAAAAATAGATATCCACGTGTCTTGTATTTATAAATATTGATTTGGAGAGGAAAACAGGATAGATCAAGTGGATTCTTTATTTAAAAGGTTTTGATATACTCAACATTGAACTTTTTAAAAATCTTATATTCAAGCCTTTGACCATATCTTGATAAATGATATATAAAATAAGTTTACATGCACGTTTTATTTGCCAACACTGGGAACAGGGACCTCATATACACATAGAGTTGATAAAACTCCCTCCCACCACCGACGTCTGTAGATGCAACGATATACAGGCTACTTCTCTTATACTACTGAATTTATTTCAATGATACTTGCTGGCTATGACCCTTATGCATAATCTATATAAGGTTGAGTTATCTCCCCTTTACAGAGTTATGCCCCTTCCAGAACTCGAGTGATTCTGCTCTTATACTACAGAGTGAATTAGAGAAGAAATCTACATAGACGTTATTTCTCAGTTAGTAACAAAATATTTATATTGACAAAATTGAAATTAAAAATGCATGCATTGTTACTGGAGAATATGAAATGTAATATTTTGTAATTGTATGAATAAAGTGTAGTAGGAATGATGCTTTATATTTTACAGTCAGTGTTTCTGCCACAAGGTTATCCAGAGAGTGTGAGCCAAGATTACCTGGAGTATCAAATATGGGATACCATACAGGTATTTATCTCATTAAATCTAAAGATATTACTATACATGTATGTTGTACTACGGGATTTGTCAATGGAAGGAGGGATAAGAAACAGGTTAACAATTGACAAATATGAAAGATATACTCTTTTTCAGAAATGTGAAAACAAATGTATATCTCTTAGATTTTAATATTCCAATTGTAAAACATAATCTTAATTACACAGACATATCATATTTATTGCTGAAAATCATCAATTTTTGTCTTGTATTGATTTTCGCTACTTTCATGAGTTCTCTTAACCAATGCTTCTATGAGGCCATGAACTGTTAAATTAGTATGAATGGATTTATTAAACTATAATTATCCATGAAATCAAATGTCCATTTCAATTTTTTTGTCCCATCTTAAAGTTCCCTATCCCAGATGTATATTTGGTTATTTATGTGTTTACAAGAATGAATTATGAATTGTTTCTCTTAACCATAATGTGAAGCCCCATGTCCTGTCATAAATATCTCAGCTCCTGCCATGTTTTTTGGTTATTTTTGTGTTGACAAGAATGAATCAGGGTAATTTGAAAAATATTTGGTGAAAAAAGTTAATTGTTAAGAAAATAGTGCAAATAGAAAATAACATATCCTTTGTAAAGTAAGACACCTTGCCCCATTGTCATTTCCCCCAACATTGTAGTTTTTATATTTTATCTTTTATTTTTTTTTAAATTTTTATCATACTACACCCGTAATAAACCAGTACTTTTTTCAGTTTGTTCAATGATAATAGCTTTGTGGCATTGTTTGTCTTTATTGTTGTTTACAGGCATTTGCCAGCAGTATCACAGGAACGCTGGCAGCTCAGGCTGTGTTGAAAGGTGTGGGGGTCGGTGATGAAAACGCAACTGTCCTGGCTGCAACTATGACTTGGATTCTGAAAGGTTAAACTTTCTAACAACAAAACTTTCTTTTCTCTACATCTAGGTCATGTGATAATTGCAAATTATTTTTGCAGTAGAGATTGTTCTTTATATCAAAAGTCCATTAAATCTTTGTCTTATGGTAAATATTTTTGTCAAAAAATGAGGCTGACCGTTGACAAGTGAACTTTAACCTGTTGATGGAATCATTGTACCTAGTTCCAGAATATAGACATGAAGTTAGTCATACATGTTAATTAAATTCATGGGTATGACATCTGCTGTTATAGGAGAGAAGTAATGATGATAGGGTATGGATTTTATTACAAAAGTTTTATTTTTATTTTTTTGTTTTATTGTAGCTTATCTAGTTTATTTACGGAGAGAAATTGGGTATGCTTGCCATGCTTACATCTGATTTTTTCCCTTTTTCTAGACGGTACAGGTATGCTTGGGAGGATTGTTTTTGCTTGGCTGCGTGGATCTAGCTTAGACTGCAACTCTAAACGATGGAGGTAAATAGAAACACTCTCACTGGCTGTTATTGATATTAAAGTATCACATTGATATAAAAAAGCATATACTTACTTTTTTACAACAATTGCAAAACAACAATGTTAGCTTATATTGATCAATTTTGTTGTCCTGGATAGAAATGCGTAAGAAATCTTATTATGGAAAGAAACCAGAGTACCCAGGAATGACCCATGTGGTCTGGTAGGTGACCACATACTTTTTCATGTCATGCCAAAAATCAAACCCCTGACATCTAGGGGAAGGCAAGTGTGTTATCCCTGTGCCACCCCAACTGCTGTTTCAGCCTACGATCAAATCAGCCTTCTCTTGTATGTTGCTCCTGTCTTCAATATATAAACATTCCCCTTAGTTCTCAGGTATGCATGATGGGGACAATATTGACTTTAAAAACAAACTGACCAATGGATAGTCATATTGGAATTGACAGCATAGGTTCTAATTGTTGATTCTCATACTTTATATACAGGTATCTTCTGTTTGTCACTAAGGAACAGCATAATTAATTGAAAATAAAACACCACATTCAAGGACATATTTGAGTTTTGTTAAAGCTGATAATTCTTTTCTAGTAAAGTTTTAAAAATTCATACACTGTAGTTAAATGCCATTTAAAAAAGAAAGAAAGGTGTGATTGCTTGCCCTTTATACTGCTCCAGATCCATGGTTAGGATGGGAAATGTAATGTAACTCTGAGAGTTTTATTTCAGGTTATTTGCTGACATCTTGAATGATCTAGCTATCTGTATAGAGATTCTGGCCCCAAACTTCCCAGGGATCTTTACACCTTTGGTGTGTACAGCTGGGGTATGTAAGGTAAGTCAAGGTACATGGTATGGTGTTCCAAATGATATAGTGTTCCAACTGATATGTTGTTCCAAATGATATGGTGTTCCAGATGATGTGATATACATGTTCTAAAAAATTGAGATGCACATGTTCCAAATGGTGTGTCACTCTTGTTTCACAAAAGTGAGGTGTAGATTTTCCTAAAGGTGAAGTGAATCTTATCCAAATAGTGTTGTGCACATTTATTTAATAGTTACGTACAGATGTTGTAATTGTAAACATCTTTTTGAGTGATAGAATTTGTACCAGTCTGGTAGGTAAAATTATGGCCATCAGTGTGGGAAATATTTCAAATAAAACATGCACTCCAAACACTTTGGTAAAGATATTGAATACAATCACGAAGAAACTGTTTGCAGACAAAATATTTCTTATGAAATACAAGTGTTGCCATGCATGATCGGAAAGTAACTACGCAGAAGTATTTTTGACATAACATTGTTATTCTTTTCTGGTTTCCACATCAGTCAGTCGTAGGTGTGGCAGGTGGCGCCACCAGAGCGGCTTTGACTCAGCACCAGGCCAGAAGAAACAATATGGCTGACGTATCAGCGAAAGATGGAAGCCAGGTAAGATGTACAATGTCACAGTAAAATCAAATCCTGTTCACACGTCATATTTTCATGCCAGAAATATTGTAAATCACTTAGATTTTGGGAATAGTTTATTTTGCAAACTTACCTTTTCAGACATATTTGCAAATAGATGATTTTGCATACACAGATCTAGAAATTACATTAAATTCGTGAGTTATGAGCTGTAAGAGACGTGCATGGTTTAATATTTCCAGTGTCAAAAGCATGAAATGATAGAATAGTACAACACATACTAAATTCAAAACATACATCACATAATGTGAAGTAAATTTTGAGTATTTTACATTGATTACATGTAAATGTGAAATTTCATACAAGTATATAACTAGAAGCAATATGTGATACTGTTTACTTTCCCACACAGGAGACACTGGTTAATCTAGCAGCTTTGATATGTAATCTGGCTCTCATCCCTCTAGTTACCGGCAAACAATCGTAAGTACCCTGAATTTGCATGTAAAATGTACACTTTTTAAAGATTTTTTTTTCAAGGACATGATGCACACTATACACAAGAACAAGACATTCTTAAAAAAGTCATGCTTAGACTTGTGCCCGTATATAAGCTAATGCCTTCCCATATCAAATACGATTCGTGTACGATACTGTCAAAATGATAACAACATAAAAAAAAATGAAACATCTTTTGATGTTTATTGTGTTCAAGTTTCATCTCAGTGAATTGTGGATCATCATAAATGAAAGATCTTTCTGATTTTCAAATTTACCATTACCTAATGTTATGATAAATATTCACAGATAAACACTGTTACAAGGCTGTTGATTTATGAAATAAGAATAGTCCTACTTATTTGGCTTTCTGATGAGCCTTGAAAAAGACTTTCAAGGCCTGAATTAAGATCTCGAAGTATACAGTGTTTTTTTCCATTTTACCTTTTTTTCACAGACTCATTTGGTTCCTGTATATAATTTTCACCTGTTTACATCTTTATGCAAATTACTCTGCTGTAAAGTGTGTTGTCATGGAAACCATGAACCAATCAAGATTGAATCTGATTGTGAAAGAACTTCTTGACTGCTCCCACATTCCAAGTATACAGCATACCAATCGCTTAGAGCCTGTAGTATTTAGTAAGTTACTTTTGCATTTCATAATTATCTATTTATCATGTAACCAATTTGAAATATATTGAAAATATAATACAGATCAGAACACATTAAAGAAAAACGTAAACTTACTGGAAATAAAGGACTACATGAAGAATGTATTGTCAAGCTGACAGTAAATGTAAGTAAGTTAAAAATACTACATTTAACCTGCAGTACTCTGTAACTAATCATAGAGAAGGATAGGCTTATTTGTCATATTTGCGTGGATACTAGTGTATTTTTTTCTTTTTTCTTTCGGTATTTCCAGGAACACGAAGAAAATTAGAAATTATCCTTGGTTGTTCTGTTGGTAAGCTATGCACTAGGTAAGTATTTATGCTGCATACTTACCATATATACAACATGTTTTTTCTTAATTTTCAAAAGCTTTCATTATGCGTAAGAAATTGTGTGACAAAAGAATTTTGGCATCGATATGATTAATGACCAATCCTAAAATGTTTTAAGTGGTACCAGTTCATTTATAGGGATCTACAACTGGACAAGGTAGTATGTCAATAATTGTATGATAATTTATATCCCATGCAGCATCCTCTAACAGTCGATGGTGCTATTTCAGTTTGTTCTTTTTAATATCTTTTCATTTTCAATAAATTTTGAGTTAAAATCTCAATATTGTTTACAGGTAGTTTGTTATCACTTCATGTTAATAATTTCTGATTTTCATTTATCATGACATTCAATTTTCTTAAAGAAAAATAATAATCTTGAATTTTGTAAAATAAACGATACACTTAACTTACTATTTCTAATGTGAAAATTCAAATACATTGTACAAGTATCAAACAAATTCTTATTAGAAAGATGTTTTGTTAAGCATGGTAAGGGCTATTCCATTAAAGCATCTACTTGACCCCAGGTCTCCAAAATTATATATATTACTCATCTTCCTGCCTATTACTTCTATTAAAGTTATTAGTTAAATTTTATGGGTGGTAACCATGAACAAAACCCAGATCCCTGTGGTGAGATAGGTATTTTACTGGAACAGACCTAAACAAAACCCAGAGTCCTGTGGTGAGATAGGTATTTTACTGGAACAGACCTAAACAAAACCCAGAGTCCTGTGGTGAGATAGGTATTTTACTGGAACAGACCTAAACAAAACCTAGAGTCCTGTGGTGAGATAGATGTTTTACTGGAACAGACCTAAACAAAACCTAGAGTCCTGTGGTGAGATAGATGTTTTACTGGAATAGACCTTAACAAAACCTAGAGTCCTGTGGTGAGATAGATGTTTTACTGGAATAGACCTTAACAAAACCTAGAGTCCTGTGGTGAGATAGATGTTTTACTGGAATAGACCTTAACAAAACCTAGAGTCCTGTGGTGAGATAGATGTTTTACTGGAATAGACCTTAACAAAACCCAGAGTCCTGTGGTGAGATAGATGTTTTACTGGAATAGACCTTAACAAAACCTAGAGTCCTGTGGTGAGATAGATGTTTTACTGGAATAGACATTAACAAAACCCAGAGCCCTGGGGTGGGATAGATGTTTTACTGGAATAGACGTAAACAAAACCCAGAGCCCTGTGGTGAGATAGATGTTTTACTGGAACAGACCTAAACAAAACCCAGATCCCTGTGGTGAGATAGGTATTTTACTGGAACAGACCTAAACAAAACCCAGATCCCTGTGGTGAGATAGGTATTTTACTGGAACAGACCTAAACAAAACCCAGATCCCTGTGGTGAGATAGGTATTTTACTGGAACAGACCTAAACTAAACCCAGATCCCTGTGGTGAGATAGGTATTTTACTGGAACAGACCTCAACAAAACCCAGATCCCTGTGGTGAGATAGGTATTTTACTGGAACAGACCTAAACTAAACCCAGATCCCTGTGGTGAGATAGGTATTTTACTGGAACAGACCTCAACAAAACCCAGATCCCTGTGGTGAGATAGGTATTTTACTGGAACAGACCTAAACAAAACCCAGATCCCTGTGGTGAGATAGGTATTTTACTGGAACAGACTTAAACAAAACCCAGATCCCTGTGGTGAGATAGGTATTTTACTGGAACAGACCTCAACAAAACCCAGATCCCTGTGGTGAGATAGGTATTTTACTGGAACAGACCTAAACAAAACTCAGATCCCTGTGGTGAGATAGGTATTTTACTGGAACAGACCTAAACAAAACCCAGATCCCTGTGGTGAGATAGGTATTTTACTGGAACAGACCTAAACAAAACTCAGATCCCTGTGGTGAGATAGGTATTTTACTGGAACAGACCTAAACTAAACCCAGAGCCCTGGTATAAGATAGATGTTTTACTGGAATAGACCTAAACAAAACCCAGAGCCCTGGGGTGGGATAGATGTTTTACTGGAATAGACCTAAACAAAACCTAGAGTCCTGTGGTGAGATAGGTATTTTACTGGAACAGACCTAAACAAAACCCAGATCCCTGTGGTGAGATAGGTATTTTACTGGAACAGACCTAAACTAAACCCAGATCCCTGTGGTGAGATAGGTATTTTACTGGAACAGACCTAAACAAAACTCAGATCCCTGTGGTGAGATAGGTATTTTACTGGAACAGACCTCAACAAAACCTAGAGTCCTGTGGTGAGATAGGTATTTTACTGGAACAGACCTCAACAAAACCCAGATCCCTGTGGTGAGATAGGTATTTTACTGGAACAGACCTAAACAAAACCCAGATCCCTGTGGTGAGATAGGTATTTTACTGGAACAGACCTAAACTAAACCCAGATCCCTGTGGTGAGATAGGTATTTTACTGGAACAGACCTCAACAAAACCCAGATCCCTGTGGTGAGATAGGTATTTTACTGGAACAGACCTAAACAAAACCCAGATCCCTGTGGTGAGATAGGTATTTTACTGGAACAGACTTAAACAAAACCCAGATCCCTGTGGTGAGATAGGTATTTTACTGGAACAGACCTCAACAAAACCCAGATCCCTGTGGTGAGATAGGTATTTTACTGGAACAGACCTAAACTAAACCCAGATCCCTGTGGTGAGATAGGTATTTTACTGGAACAGACCTAAACAAAACTCAGATCCCTGTGGTGAGATAGGTATTTTACGGGAACAGACCTCAACAAAACCCAGATCCCTGTGGTGAGATAGGTATTTTACTGGAACAGACCTAAACTAAACCCAGAGCCCTGGTATAAGATAGATGTTTTACTGGAATAGACCTTAACAAAACCTAGAGTCCTGTGGTGAGATAGATGTTTTACTGGAATAGACCTAAACAAAACCCAGAGCCCTGGGGTGGGATAGATGTTTTACTGGAATAGACCTAAACAAAACCTAGAGTCCTGTGGTGAGATAGATGTTTTACTAGAATAGACATAAACAAAACCCAGAGCCCTGGGGTGGGATAGATGTTTTACTGGAATAGACCTAAACAAAACCTAGAGTCCTGTGGTGATATAGTTGTTTTACTGGAATAGACCTTAACAAAACCTAGAGTCCTGTGGTGAGATAGATGTTTTACTGGAATAGACCTTAACAAAACCTAGAGTCCTGTGGTGAGATAGATGTTTTACTGGAATAGACATAAACAAAACCCAGAGCCCTGTGGTGAGATAGATATTTTACTGGAATAGACCTAAACAAAACCCAGAGCCCTGTGGTGAGATAGATATTTTACTGGAATAGACCTAAACAAAACCCAGAACCCTGTGGTGAGATAGATATTTTACTGGAACAGACCTAAACAAAACCCAGATCCCTGTGGTGAGATAGATATTTTACTGGAACAGACCTAAACAAAACCCAGAGCCCTGTGGTGAGATAGATGTTTTACTGGAATAGACCTAAACAAAACTCAGAGCCCTGGGGTGGGATAGATGTTTTACTGGAATAGACATAAACAAAACCCAGAGCCCTGTGGTGAGATAGATATTTTACTGGAATAGACCTAAACAAAACCCAGATCCCTGATGTGAGATAGATATTTTACTGGAATAGACCTAAACAAAACAAACACAGTAAAGTTTTCACAATGCTCTACATATTTAAGGCATTGTCCTCTTTTCTTTTGCTTCAGTGCCAAGGAATTACAGACCCTGCTGATGTTGTACAAGGGGACACCATATCTTCTGGGTCTTAATATTAAAAAAGGTGAAAATTCATCACAGAAATTACAGATTTCCCTTCCTAGATTTTAGCAGTTTAATGAATCTTGGTAACCTTATAACATTCTATGTAACTACACACTACAAGCATGAGAATCATATACAATGCTTTAGACGGTGGGAGTAAGATGACGTCTCATTTCTAATACAGAGTTATACTTAACCCTTAAAAGTATTCATTTTCACATGGATTTTATTTCTGTCAGGTTCCATGTGTACTCTTAACAAATTCATGTCCTTGAGACAAAAAAATTTCAAAGAATACTTATCTTATCTCTAATGGATTTTGTAAGTGCATATTAACCACGACACCATATGTCAACAAAATGTTTTTTCATGAAAAATATATTTTACACTATCCCTTTGTTCATTTTCATTAGTTTCATTCCAAAGTATAGATGCTCAGGCATGAGTTTCCTACTGAACATTGGCTTATTGCAGATTTTTATTTCTAAATTATTATGTTGGGGTATAGTTATAGATAAATCCACGTTTTCATGTATGTTATTGCTGAGTATTCAATGTAAGCAAAACAAACGTTCTACCTTTCTTATTTCATATTGTTTTCTGTATCTGTTACAGGAGAAATCTGTATAGCTCTGTCAGACCGTGCTACTACGTCAGATCAGTTGCAGAGTTGCTATCAAGCAGAGGTCATCAATTATGTGTATGAAAATCTTTATAAAAACAAAGTGAGTAGAATTCTTGTTGAAAAGCTGGAGCTTATTTTTCAATACCATATTGTTTTTGTCTCATGTGTGAAAAAAGGGACTATTTTGTTAATTTTTTTTTTTTTTTTGCACAGATGTGATGTATGATTATGTATAGTCATTACTTAGGTAGAGTTTGATGATAAGAAGTGTTTGGATTGCTGTTCTGGTAATTCCTGAAATCTGATTTAGTACCATACAACTAAGGAAATACATTTTGTATAAATTTCAGACACTTCATTCCTCCCTGGCCCCTGTTGTGAAAGCTTTAGAAAATGGTTAGTGGTTTTCCTGTAAAACACAGAGGGAAGGAAAGAGTATGTAAGAAAGTTACCTGAACAATCAGAAATTTATGGATTTATAGAAACTGTTACCTGTATGTGTTTGGAATTTTTTTATATCAGTCAAAGGATTACAAAAAATCTTTTGAGGTGAAGCCGAAAATGAGATGTTACAAAATGTCACCTCAAGAATGAGATAAATTCTTTTTGATGATATAAGAGTAAAGGATTCTAATTCTCATACATACTTTGTTAATGTTGCTTCCTGAACTAGTTTCATATCCATTTTCTTTGATTGGATTACCTCCCTTTTTGGTTATACGTCAGAAAGACCATTGAATACGATGTCAAATTAACCATGAGGTCACTTGGTGCCAAATATGTACCAGGCAGAAAAATCTAACCCTGGGTAACACATGTGATTCTCAATACCTGTCTCATTTAAGACAGATGTATCCATGATCTGTTAATGGTGTGAGATTTTCTTGTCCTACCAAACTGGCTTGAGACAGGGGGATTCCTCTGTCAGAAGAGTGGTAAGACATCATGTCAATAATTAAATCACGCCAACTTTGCAGAACATTGGGACAACTAAAACCCTAAAAGTAGTAGTACCTAATAAAGCTGACAGGGTAAGAGAAAAATAATTCTTCAGTCCTTGTGAAAAAATGTAGAGTTACAAAACACCCGACAAGCCTCATGTTTGCAAACTTAATCATTTATCCCCTCGAGTTAAGATACCCCTATCTCACGTCAATGGAGGTGAAAGATTCTATTAATCCATCCAATTTCAGAACCAGGCAAAAGTAATGATAACTCAAGTAGCCAAGAACACTTGGATGGATCTGATCCACACAAACCCGCAATGTCTCAAGTAGTCGTGGATTTTTGGATGGATCTGATCCAAACTATACAATGTCCCAAGTAGTCCTGGATATTTGGATGGATCTGATCCAAACTATACAATGTCCCAAGTAGTCCTGGATATTTGGATGGATCTGATCCAAACTATACAATGTCCCAAGTAGTCCTGGATATTTGACTGGATCTGATCCAAACTATAGAATGTCCCAAGTAGTCCTGGATATTTGACTGGATCTGATCCAAACTATACAATGTCCCAAGTAGTCCTAGATATTTGGATGGATCTGATCCAAACTATACAATGTCCCAAGTAGTCCTGGATATTTGGATGGATCTGATCAAACTATACAATGTCTCAAGTAGTCCTAGATATTTTTTTACTATGTTGTTTTGGTGAATCGGAGAATTACAGGAATAGGAAACAGCGTGTGACTACATTGGAACTTATTTGTATGGTAAATGTAATACGTGGGCTTATTTTGAGGAACGGGCATTTTAGCCAGATATAGAAACTAGATCTTGCCACAGCCACCTGAACAGACTACAAGTCTTTCGCAGCTGTTTGATTGAAAAATACATCAGATCTTGTTTCATGTAAGACATTTCGGTTGAGAGGTATTTATAATTTTCTTTTCAGGTGATGTACATGGAGCATTAGCAGCCTCTTTGATCTACACAAACTTAACCATTGAGGCCTTCTGTCAGGGAGTAGTACAACAGAAATGGGTTTTGAATCCTGTCCTGCTCAATGCCAATGAATGGCGTGCCAAATGGGACATTGATGGGGTCACAGACAAAAAAGAGTACTAGTTACATGGACAGGTGCGACAGGGATGGGGTCACAGATAAGAAGGAGTTGTAGATAGTAGGACAGGTGGGACAGAGACAGGGTCACAGATAAGAAGTAGTTGTAGATAGTAGGACAGGTGGGACAGAGACAGGGTCACAGATAAGAAGTAGTAGATAGTAGGACAGGTGGGACAGAAACAGGGTCACAGAAAAGAAGGAGTAGTAGATAATAGGACAGGTGGGACAGTGACAGGGTCACAGATAAGAAGGAGTAGTAGATAATAGGACAGGTGGGACAGAGACAGGGTCACAGATAAGAAGGAGTTGTAGATAGTAGGACAGGTGGGACAGAGACAGGGTCACAGATAAGGAGTTGTAGATAGTAGGACAGGTGGGACAGAGACAGGGCCACAGATAAGGAGTTGTAGATAGTAGGACAGGTGGGACAGAGACAGGGTCACAGATAAGAAGGAGTAGTAGATAGTAGGACAGGTGGGACAGAGACAGGGTCACAGATAAGGAGTTGTAGATAGTAGGACAGGTGGGACAGAGACAGGGCCACAGATAAGGAGTTGTAGATAGTAGGACAGGTGGGACAGAACAGGGTCACAGATAAGGAGTTGTAGATAGTAGGACAGGTGAGACAGAGACAGGGCCACAGATAAGGAGTTGTAGATAGTAGGACAGGTGGGACAGAGACAGGGTCACAGATAAGGAGTTGTAGATAGTAGGACAGGTGGGACAGAGACAGGGTCACAGATAAGAAGGAGTAGTAGATAGTAGGACAGGTGGGACAGTGACAGGGTCACAGATAAGAAGGAGTAGTAGATAGTAGGACAGGTGGGACACAGACAAAGCAAATAGTGCAAGGACATCAGGTTTATGTTACACCAATTCATCACTGTTCTCCTGATTAATGTGATGTGTCCTTTCTACATTATCTTAAAGTCATTTTAAGTGTGAACATATCTTATTATTTTGACGTAGATCATTCTTATCATACAGGTATTCATTTTCAGTCTTTCAGAATTACAACATCTGTCTAGGCAGCAGAAGGATTTGGTTACCATAGCAACAAGGCATTGTTACCATAACAACAAAGGAAAGAGGTGCCATAAACCAAAGGACAATTATTTTACAATATCAAATTACTTATTTTTGTACTGGATAGAGAGTGATTCAGTATTCATATCTGGATTGGGTTGTAAAATTGAATAAAGTTGATGTAAAAAAAAAATGAGTTCGATCTGTTTAATAAGATATCATCCTTCATTTGAACTGAGACTAGCAAAAGAACCCAAAGGGATCATGGTGCTTACCATGGGATGTCTAGGATGTAGCTGTGTCAGATTTTGGTCTGTCTCTAAACAACATGTGAACCAAACATTCTAGATAATCATATACACAAAAACTTGTATATTGTATACAGTGACCATAGATCAATAGATGGCTGGGAACACTTTCCTTTCATTGAAGCAGTTCAGTTTCCCTATTGTATGTGAAAAGGTAGACGGTAATCTGCCCAACTAATGTAGGTGTCCTTGAAATTCTATTGTTTTCTCAGTTATATTGACAGTAATATCATCGATATCCATTGTAAATGGTGGCCATCTTGAATATCTTACCAAACTTCAAAAAGGCATAAGTAGGACCCATACTAAATCTGCTCATTAAGTTATTACAGATTCCTGTTGAAGTTCTTGAACATTAATAAAGATTGTTTACTTGAAGGATTGATCAACAGCAGCTGTAAGGTGGTCTAAAATGTTTCTTTGTACAATATTGACTTTGTCTTGAAGCTCTATTTTATTTTTTATTTTCATGTAGTTTGTACTAAACGACCTAAAATTTATCTTTTCTGAAGGTCACTAAACTACACCATAGCAATACATAGTTTTTCATACTAAATATGAACAGCTTGTTCCTGTCCCTCTTGTGATAGCTTGTCCTGTCTCTTGTAAGAAACCAGATCTTGGGACATCTTGGTCCTATCTCTCATTAAACAGTTGGGTCCCACATGGAACAACCAGATTGTTTGACATCTAAATCCCATCTCTCATTCAACATTTAGGTCCTGTATCTCAAGGAACAACTAGATTCTGTTCCACATGGGACAGCTAGGTCCTGTCCCGCATGGGACAACTGTTTTCAGTCCAAAATGGGATTACTGTATAGCGCTCATGGGAAAGATAGAAATAACAGGAAATTAATCACAATTTCAGTTCATATATGAACAATTTATTGATGCTTCCTGTAGTGTGTTCATATAAATATACAATCTAATAACTCATTTACACATCTGTTATACACATACATCTACTCAATGACAACTGTAAATCACTTCGCTTTCCGTGAGATAGTTTTTCGCGTTAATTTGCGACGATTGTCACATGCAAATTGATATATTTTTTTTTTTTTTTCAAATATTTCTTCCAACACTTCTTTATATAAATCTTTTATCATGCATTTTATACTAAATTCTTGGTGTATAAGATGTCTGATATGGAAAAAAATGACCCAGGAAAATCAGGTGATTTACAGTCGGTGGTTCTCATATGCACAAGTAAGTTTGAAACAGTCATACTTTGGATTATACTTTCATGTAATTTAGTTATACATTCTTACTATAGAATACACAAATGAGCAGGCATTCATTGGTACATATATTCAATAATAGTAGCTTTGCGCAGGAAAAAACAATTCACATTGGAAACAGATCAAGCTCACCACTTCTCAAGCACAATCTTTCTCCGCCTCTGTAGACCCTTACAAGACCAGACCCAACCCTTTAAATAAAGACATGTGCCTTAAGAAAAATTACAGAGAAGTTACAAAAGAGTTTAGATGCAAGGGGTCCATCACTTTTACATTCAATAACTCTTAGTAGCTTCAGGTCAACAAAAAATATAATAAAATATTGAAAACTGTAAATGCGTTATGTTTAGTCTATAAAGATCTTCTACAACAATTTTTTTTATTGAAAAAGTCAAAATATTGGAACTATCAAAGACATTTTTAATAGATTAATAAATGAAATATGGCTTTACATTTTACAGAAATGTTATATCTATTATGGTAAAGATAAAGATATACCATGTTCAGTGCTGAAACAACAAAAATTGTATTTCATATTACCCTTTTTACCTTTTTGACTGATGTCGTTCAGGTTGTTTGGCCAGCTTAGAATCTGATACGGATGTTGGGGATGAATGAGGTTCTACAGGTTGTAACAAACACTTCCTATCAGTCTTGGAAAACAAGAGTTTAAACAGCTATTTGGTATACCCCACACACACATGCAGACTGAGGCAGTAGTGATACACACACTCTCATACACATCACAGGATCATATAGATAAAGAATGGCTATTATAGTAAAAACATTCATGGAATGATGTTTAAAATCTAAGGTAAAAACAAACGGTAAAATGCATTAGCTTTTCTGTAATGGAACAGAATATCGTACATTAAATAGCATTACATACGGCCTTGCATTCACAGACTGATTAATAGGTATAGCTCCGATGAGTTTGTAATCTTGGACTCTGTTATATAGATACTAGATATGTTTTGTTGTGCCTATGATATATAAATACCAGACATGTTTTGTTGTGCCTATGATATATAAATACCAGACATGTTTTGTTGTGCCTATGATATATAAATACTAGACATGTTTTGTTGTGCCTATGATATATAAATACTAGACATGTTTTGTTGTGCCTATGATATATAAATACTAGGCATGTTTTGTTGTGCCTATGATATATAAATACTAGACATGTTTTGTTGTGCCTATGATATATAAATACTAGACATGTTTTGTTGTGCCTATGATATATAAATACTAGACATGTTTTGTTGTGCCTATGATATATAAATACTAGACATGTTTTGTTGTGCCTATGATATATAAATACTAGACATGTTTTGTTGTGCCTATGATATATAAATACTAGACATGTTTTGTTGTGTCTATGATATATAAATACTAGACATGTTTTGTTGTGCCTATGATATATAAATACTAGACATGTTTTGTTGTGCCTATGATATATAAATACTAGACATGTTTTGTTGTGCCTATGATATATAAATACCAGACATGTTTTGTTGTGCCTATGATATATAAATACTAGGCATGTTTTGTTGTGCCTCATGATATATAAATACTAGACATGTTTTGTTGTGCCTATGATATATAAATAGACACATGTTTTGTTGTGCCTATGATATATAAATACTAGACATGTTTTGTTGTGCCTATGATATATAAATACTAGACATGTTTTGTTGTGCCAATTATATATAAATACTAGATAGACATGTTTTGTTGTGCCTATTATATATAAATACTAGACATGTTTTGTTGTGCCTATGATATATAAATACTAGACATGTTGTGTCTGTGATACATACATACTAGACATATTGTGTTTGTAAGACTTAAATACTAGACATGTTGTATTGTGTTTGTGCTAGATAAATACTAGACATGTTATGTTGTGTCTGTGATATATAAATACTAGATGTGTTGTGTTGTGACTGTGATATATAAATATTTGATGTGTTGTGTATAAGACAAACAAGCACTAGACATGTTTAGTGTGTGATATAAGAACAATAGACAAGTTTTGTGGTGTTGATATCAGTTTTTGAGTTATTTTTTAACAGAGTTTAATACTGTTAGTACAACTATCTTCCAAGATAAACATTATGTATGTGCAATATACCTGGTAGTGTAATTGTATGTTGAAAATTTTTAAATGTATAGTAGTATACTGGGTACTGGGAAAACATGGTTTTTTTTCTATATTGTTAATATATATGAGATGTAAAGCAATGTACTGAAAATGTATGGTAAAACATCAATATATTGAAAATATACTGAAAATGTTATGTAAAAGTACCTTAAATAACACCATTTATGATAAGATGTTTAGTTAAAATCTTTCACTCAATGCCACAAGAAAAGCACAATGTAATTCTAACCAGTAATATTGACTTCACAATTATAACATTGCATACAAGGTCTTAACACAGTTCTATAATTTGCAATTATTTGAAATCTCATAACACACAGTAAAGGATGAACAGTTGTAAAACACATGAACACATTATATTAAAGTATACATAGTCACTTTGACACATACATCTAATTGCATAACACATTTATGCACATTTGTATCACTTTTAACAGTTACATTTATTCATATTACACAGGTATTCATATTACACAGGTATTCATATTACACAGGTATTCATATTACACAGGTATTCATATTACACAGGTATTCATATTACACTAAGTTATACATCTTTACAAAGTCATACATTTATAACTAGTCAAACAATTATATTAAGTCATACATATATAACAAGTCACACATTTATACAAAGTCATACATATATACCTGGTCACACATTTATACAAAGTCATAACTAGTTACACATTTACACAAAGTCATAACTAGTCAAACATTTACACAAGGTCGAAATTTGATATAAAGTTTTTGACAGTCTTCATGTCATAAAAAGCTCTAAAATCAATATCTTAAGTTCACTTGGTCTGTTCACAAAGTGTCCCAATTATATGCAAAATCTGTACATTTCTACAGATTTGTATACTAACTTGTTGTGACCCTGTATAACAGCAGGTCGTTTCACTGAAACAGATTACTCACATCGAATATAAATAATGTCACCTCACAAGCAAATTTCCTTATTAACACACAAACACACAAACACACACACATACAACACATACACACACACATACACACACATACACACACACAAACACACACATGGATACCCTTTAATGTACCAAATCAACTCAATCACATGTATCCAAAGATATACAGATACACATACACACTTACATATACCCATATACAAACATATGTGCTAATATATACACATATACCCATATATATATGCACCCATGTACACACAGATATACCCATATACAAGCATATGTACCCATATACACACATATATAACGATATGCAAATATACCCTTACACACATAAACCCACACGCACATATAAGCCCATATACACATATGTAACCATGAACACACACATGTATGCCCATATACACACCTGCATGCCCAGACATACACACATGCTGTCAACTTTTTACACCTTAACAACTGAACACATGTAATGTTACATATTGCATTAACACAAAGTAAGAACATGAGTGCGACATTAGAGCATGTTAACACATTGTAAAAGTTGTGTGGACACCCACACCATCCCAACAATGTATTTATACCATACCATCAATTAGGATGTTAAGTGTTAACACTGCAAATATTTATCTGAATGTTGACAATTAACACTGTTGACGTCTTGAAACAAAATGTTAACACACATATATATCTATAAACACAATCAAGTTGACATGTGCTAAATTTGACTGACACTCCAGGAAAAACAAATGTTCAAACAGGTCACAAAATGTTGACACTATGTTATTACACATGATGTTGTCATATGTGAACACTATTAACAAAAATATCATGTTGACATTATGAAAACATGTGTTGTCATTTAAAAATAACAGTTTCAAAAAGAGACACATGAAAACATAGTATTAACATGAAATTTTTAAATTTATTGATGAAACAAAGTTTGGATTTGTTAACAAAAATGTTGACATATGTAAACAATGTGCTATCAAACATGCATCATTATATCAATGTCTACATAATTAAAATACATGTCATCAATTGATGACACAAGAATTAGACACAATTTATTGTGTTAACACATCTTGTAACATCTACAGAACACAATGTTAACACTGATCAAAACTGAGCTGTGTTGTCACTATGAAAATACATGTGAGGTCACACTATGTGTTAACACAATACTGACACAACATCTATGAAAGAACCGTTAACATGATGTACTAATGTTGATGTGTTGACACAGAGACCTACAGCAGGTCATGAGGAATCAAGTGCCACCCATCACGGGAATGCCCTGCGGGAGGTCACAGACGTGGGGTCACATGACCCCTATCACATGATAATGACGGATCCTACACCAGGCTCCAGGTAATGATATTAAGATTGTGTGACCTGTGGGTCACCACTAGACCATCACAGGTCAAACAGGGGAGACAACTTTTGTCTGTGGTGTTCCATCTCTGGATGAGATGTATTCTGTCACTGTCGTCTGTGACCTGTTCGGTCCACTTATGGATGATTTTGTATAACATATGACTGAGAGAAAGACATGTAGAGCACACTTCATGTTGAGAACACTGGATCTGCACTGCGTGACAGGTGTATTGGATGTGAGGGGCTGCGGTCGAGGCGTTTCTTAGGGAGACGCTCCATCAACTTTAATAGGCGACTGAAGTCAGGTCGCTCTTGTCTGTCATATGCCCAGCAAGTCATCAAAACATCCTGCAGAAAAATGGGTGAACATTCAACTTTACTGGTGTTTTGTATGTAGTCTCCCCTTGGATCTTAGTTGTGCCTTTTGATTTTTGGGACTGATCGGAACACAAAATGGCTGACAGACGACCATCTTGGATTTGGCAGTTAAAAGATTATTAACACTATTTTTAAGAGAAATTTTCAAAATTCACATATTTGGAGCAAAAACACAGGAAAGAAGAAAAAGAAAGATAAATATCCAACTTTTAAAGAACAAACATAGACCGAACCATGTTGGGCACCAACAGCCCTCAGGGGTCACTGCTTTATGTTTGGATATGATACATCCAAATGTCCAGGACAACTGGGGTCATTGTTTGAAATGAAGATCAAATAAAGGTGCACATCACGATCCCTCTAGGATATATAATATTATTATGGTTTGTTTTCATATTATTTTTTAGTGCAGTCAGATGAAGAAGTAAAATTGTTTCACTTAATTACCTTGTATTTTAAAAAATTTTGATTTCATCAATGTATTTATATGAAAATACTCATAGGATTTAGCCATCAAATAATGTATTAATAATTTTAACATCTTCACTACATAATCTTCACATATTTCAAAGAATTTTGGTTGGAATCACATCTTGGTTGGAATGATTTCTTAATTTCCCTTTCTAAACAAAAACAACTGTGTTACCTTCACATCTTTGGAGGCCCCAATACAGACAAGGGCAGGTTTTAGCCCATGTCCAACCTGCCAGATGATTGACTCAGGGGCATAGTGTTTAAATGGCCATTCCCCACATATCAACTCATACCATACCGTTCTGCAAAGATAAACAAGATTATTCAGACAAACTGATCTCATAATTATTACCCAGTATGTGAAGAACATATGGAGCATTTATGATCATTTGAACATACATGCATCCAAAAGTAGTCTCAGATACAAAGCTAGAGCCAATGCTGTGCTTTTTAAGAAAAGTTCATTCAGTTCCTTATATCCCTTGCTTGGATACCTACCAGTATAAAGGGTGATTGGAGTAAAGGGACCAATTAAGAAGTAAAGAGCAATCACAACAAGCTCAGGATATGTAATTCTTATCTATTTGTCGACCGTTTTCGCCCAGCTTCATCAGGACCTTGTTGCAATTACTCTTTATTTCAAAAATAGTCTTTATTCAAAATCTATACAAATGTGGGAATGCCAATTAGGACTTTCAAAGTTGAATCTTAAGCGTTGATTCATAAACACTATTATATACATGTATTCTACAGTAGTCCTGGCCCTGCTATTGGCCCAATATCATGACCCTGGGTCATTGAGTTATTGAGAAGTCGTTAAAAGATTTTAACACATGTGACCTCTATGACTTAGAAAATAGGTCAAGGTCATTTGAGCAAACTTGGTAGTCCTTCCTCCAAGCATTCTATTGACCCAAATTCATGACTCAGGTCATTGTGTTATTGCGAAGAAGTCATTTAAAGATTTTCACACATTAGAGACATGTTACCTTGAAAAAAAATTAAAGGTCATTCATTTGAACAAACTTGGTAGTCCTTCATCCTATCATGCTACTGGCCCAATTCCATGACCCTTGGCCTTTTGGTTATTGAGAAGAAGTTAAATTGTAGATTGTAAAGGACTGACAACAGAAGACAAAAGACTATCACATTAGGTCACTGGAGACTTCAACTCATGTGACCTAATAAACATTTTTTCCCCCCAGTACTAATTTTCAGAATTACCAGTTGCCATATTCTTTAAGAACCAAGTTTGGAACTGTACATAGTAGTGACTATGTCGATATATCATTATATGTCCACACACTAAAAGATGATAACAGTTAATTACTACATTTTCAAAATTACAATACCTATACAAGCTGAAGAAAATGACATCCCAGGTTTAATATATCCTTTTAATTCCTTTGTTAGGAAGGCAATACAAATCTGATGTAACAATGCAATATCGATGTTCAAAAATAATATATGATGATATTACAATCTTGATTTTCAGAGATTTTTTAAGTGTTGAATACAGGATAATACATATATAAACCAGATAACTCAAGGTGCCCCAGAGTAGTCAGCGGTACAGAACAAGATTGTTACAAAATACATTACAAGTACAAAACAAGGAAATTTTAAGATGTTTCAAGAGTACCAGGAGTGTGGGATTGAATATCCTGATACTGGATATATTTTGAACTTACCCAAATGCATAAACATCTGATTTTTCTGAGAAAGGAAGGTCCTTGTTATTGCCTCCTGCATAGAGACGCTTAATGATTTCCGGACAAAGATACACCAGCCAGCCTGGGGAGATATTCAGCCACTCTCCTTTCCTGGGGAAGCAGAAAACAGATTCAAATTCAAAAGTCAAGCTTTTCTCATTTTCTTTATGCATCAAGATTTTAAAACAGCTAATTGAGTAAATACATGTACACTTACAGTGAATTGTTTTCCTTTATCTCCATAATAAACAGTAAGACTATATCATTTTTTTATCCTAAGCAAAATGACCCTTTAATAAGTTCTGGAGAAATAGACATCCCTGAACAGCTGTTAAAGTAATGCGCTATGAGCTCACTGGCTACAGACAGACCACAGTTGAAAAAAGCTCAAAAAGGCCAATATCAGCAGGTAGTTGGTTAACACTGAAACATTTCTCTGGAGATTGACAATTTCAGATAAACTTGCATTGATATTTTGCTGATACAAGTTAAATTACATCACTTAGGTTGTAGTTGCACTGATATTTACAGTATCAAGGAAGATGGTAGCCACACTGCAATAATTTAATCTTCATTAATATACATGAAGTTTGTATTATGGTAACACAACTGCCTATTCTTACCACTTATATTGTCAGTTTATCTTTATGTTGTATGCTCTTTCCCATATATTGCCAACTCAGATCCCCTTTACCATATATGGCTAACCTTATTCCATTTTCTGCCAAAATTGGATTCTCTTTTTCCAATTTTCCAAACCTTTTCTCTCCATCTTTCTTAGCTATATCAAAAAGGTGTGATGTAATATATTTACACTATACATGTGTTCGTCTAAACCATATAGTATTCATTGACTTATCACTGATCATCTAACCTATCCCAACAGATTATATACAAGTATACATAAACAGGATTTTGGTAAGCAAGCCAATGAGGATTCTGGAGTATAAAGGTACATTATAAATATTTGGAATCATCTTGATATTTTTATAACGAAGGACAGGTCAGGATGTTGCTACTATTTTGACTCATTATTGAAAGCTAGTTGTTGATGTCTGATAAAATATAAGCATTCTGGACATTTTTCTGGAAGACAGTGATGAAACTCCTGGAATGACTTTGCAACCTGACTAAATGTAAATATAGAAAATGCATGCCAATTTTCACTTAGATCCTGATCTGCATTCTCCTTACATCAACAATCTACATATCCATGCATTTTCTGAAATCAACTACAGGTAAACAGATTCACTGCAGGCAAATAGTATACAGACCAAGTGAATGAATCAACTTAAATGAGACTGAAGACATTTTAGACAAGACTTTGCAATATCCAAGAAGAAATTCTCAATTAATATTGAAAATTAATCGAAATTGATATTCAACAAAGTATTACAAATAATCTCATGTGTACATTATATGGTTCTGGTAGAAAAGCAAGCAAATACTATACCATTGTCAGGTTGTAATTTATGTAATGTGTTGGTCCCACAGGCTTATCTTAGTATATATAGAATGGTACTGTTTTACTTTTCCTGCAGTGGTTAAATATTGTCCTTTTAAAAGCTGGATTCCTAAAGTTGATAAAGAATTGGAACCTTAAAAGAGTTACCAGTAAAATTTTTTGGGGATGGAATTTGAAAGTAAAACTAATCCCCTGCACCCATGACTTCCACTTCGCAACTCTTACAACATGTTCCAGTCTTTAGTCAGACATCTCTTTTATTTAAACAGGAATTACTTTTAGCTGTTGACTCTTGATTCTTTGTACAGATTGGTACAACAGATCATTTATATACAAAATAAATAGTTCTGATATAGAGACTAGAGTTTACATCAAGCTCCAAGCCAATTGACAGATATACAAACAGTCAGGCATATACAGACACTAAAAGGCCACAGGATTGCTACAGATTCCCAATAGTGGGTTCCAATATACATCTCACAAACCTGTGGGTAGCTAATTCCTGACAGTATGAAGGCTGTTCAGAAAGTTCTCGCACAGACCTATTTACAAGAAAAATTCAGCTAAATGTCTTTGGATCAGTATAACTTCACACTATAGACACGTTCACTATAGTTTGAAGTGGTATGATTTTAGGATGAAATGGTCAAATTTTTGTATTTTTTTAGTGACAGTTTTTCTTAATTGGATAGGTTTTCATCCCTTATTTTGAAAGGAATCTACAGTTTATCTCTGATATCTAACCAGTCTGAATGAAAGACCTTAAGATAACCTAAATATCACGTTTTTTTCTTCTTAATTCAGTGTTAGTATCTCACAAAAGGATGAAATTGTTGTGACAGGGTCACATCACACTTCAGGAAGTGTAGAACTTCAGAGGGGATCAAATATCAAACTGAACCTACTTTTTACTAAAATTGTGAAACTTGAGTTACAGAATTAATCATGACAGATGTGAACAGAAATAAAAATCACTTCAGTATGACAAATGACAATATAGACCATGACACTGCAATGCTATAATCAGGCAGAGTCATGGTATGCATCCTTTGAGGTCCTGTTACTCCTGGCCACTGTTACCAGGACGACACTAACCTGTTACCATGACAAAGCCGAGAAATGTTGAACAATCCAAAATCTGATATCACAACTTTGCCGTTTTCCAAGAATATATTCTTTGATTTCAAGTCCTTATGGAAGATCCCTCTTGCATGTAAGAATCCCATCCCTTGTAATATCTGGGATGCAATAATAATTGTCCTGTTCATCTGGAACTTCTCCTTCCGCACATAATTGAACAGAGTTTGACCACTACAGTAACTGAAAGTTAAAATAATTTGTATTAGATTTTCTGTTTGATAAAAAATTATAATATTTTTTATCAATGTTGTATCATGTGATATATATGTAAATCAATTTAGCATTACTTTAAGGATATATGGTATCAGCATCCATCTTCACAAAAGAGTTCAAATATCTCTAAAACATACATTTTGGATTTTGATTTAAGTAATTGTAACTATGATTTTCCGGATATTGGTAATATTTCTTGGCTTTTCTAACATTGATAGATTGTACATTCCTACCTAGTAATGATAGCTGGAGGCTTCATACACGCTCCAGCAAATAAAATAAGGTTATCATGTCTCTTGTTGATCAGCATAGCCACCTGTAACAATAACAGACGACCACATTCTTAGCATTTTACCAGAGGCATCAACATAAATATCATTATTCTCCGATACAGGCAAATTGTTATCTTGTATATCTGTCTGCCAGACATAGTTAAATAAGTAAGAAATCATGAACAAGTTTAAATCTATCAGCAAAATCCTGTGACATCACATTGACTGATGAAATATTGACAATAAACATTCCATACATTGTATAACAATAATATATCTATAATATTCAATCTGTAAAGAATACTTACGGTACAAAGACTTTAAATTTCATGTCTGTAAAATTTCTAAATAGAACATCAATTTTTTGAAAAAAGTAGCAAAGCATTCCCTTGTCAATAAACCCATCTATATCTTTTGTGTTTGTAAGCCCCACCTTCCAACTTTGAGTAAGATGTTATGTGTTTTGCCCACAGGGTTTATTGCTAGGTAAGTCAAGACATACCTCTTGTTTGAATTCTGACATTTGTGCCTGTGTGTCCATATCAGAGTCTATATTCAACATCTTAATGGCCACATCTCCATGCCACAGGCCCCTGGAACACAAACAATATACTTGTAATATATACACAAACTATGTACCCATGACAGAGGCCGCTCGATAATCTGCACACCTCTATTTCCCTTTGATATTGTCCAAATAACAAGTTTTGGCATCAGTTTGAGTATATAACTGGTCACTCAGGGATATGTCCCTTGGTAACATAAAATAAAATGTCCAATTGATGATCAACCATTTATGTATCAATTATTATTTAGATGTTCATACTGCTTGATAAATGTTGAATTTAGTGAAAATAAACACATAATGAATATTGAATGTTAATGTATTTCTTAAGGAAGAGCAAGACATTCAAATACTGTATTATCTCCATTTTCTTTTTTTTCTTCAGGAAGCTTTCGGTTTCCTGAATGATAGATGAATGTCTATTTGATATTGTGCTAAAAAATACATTGTTTTCTGAAAACTTGACCTCCTACATAAATCTAAACTTCTAATGCTTTTATTCTTCAATCACATATTCTATTTCTAGAAACTGAGATATGAAGTTTGGCACCACCATTCTAAGTATTGTAAAATAAACACTCTTAAATACAACATGTATATCAAATATAGTACAGACATGTTTTATCATATCTGTACACCAATTTTCTGTGTGTTTGAAAATAGTATGAGAATTTATGTCAAACCTTTATCATCATATTCTGTTTTAAAACATAAGTACAACATTCTAATACCAATGTTTTCTGCTTCTGTCAATAGAAAATGATAACAATTGTTGATCATTAAATCAGTAGCCTTTAACTGTAATCCCAAATCCAAGTTATTCAAATAATGTAAATGATGGCTTTATAAACACTTGAAGCTCTTGGAGTGTCAACTCAAACATTAGTTTCTATGTCTGGTTAATTAACACACACTGAAGCTTCTCAAATTAATGAACATCTTTTTTATAACTTAGAGACACAAAAGAACACAGATTATTGCAGGTTCAATGTACATATGCATTTTTCTCTGAAATACAACATTAGTCCTTTAAAACAAACAACACATCTATAAATCAATTTCAGAGAAGTTTTTTTCCCAATTCTTTAATCAACAAGATAACAAGACAGAAGATATCAATTTCTATAATCTGAAGCATGTCCATCTGACATAAATAAACATTAAACTTCTGTGAAAATTAGAATTAGTCTATGACAAATTTCCATCAATATCAGTGACTTTCACATTAACTTTGGAAATGGAAGTAATTTTTGGTCAAAATTTCAGAAAAAATGAAGGTAATGACTAGATCTAAGATAGAAAGAACATGGGTAACACTGGTATAAGTACTCAAATTACCAAGGAGCCACATAATGGGAAAATGTAGACCTAATACTTACCTATATACAGCACCAAAGGACCCAGTCCCTATCAGATCACCTAACTTCACCTCTTCAAATGGAATTATCCAGTCTTTTAATGTAACTGATAACTGAAAGGGAAAAAAACAAAATACAAGGTTCAACCAAAAATTTAAATCTTTTGAATTATTAATTATTACTAAATTAACATTCAACATTTTTTTCTATTCCAGCTGTGACCTAAATATACCTACTATATTCTCTCTATTCTGGCTGTGACTTAAACATACCCACACAACATTCTCCCTATTCCAGCTGTGACCTAAATACACCTACTATATTCTCTCTATTCTGGCTGTGACTTAAACATACCCACACAACATTCTCCCTATTCCAGCTGTGACCTAAATACACCTACTATATTCTCTCTATTCTGGCTGTGACTTAAACATACCCACACAACATTCTCCCTATTCCAGCTGTGACCTAAATACACCTACTATATTCTCTCTATTCTGGCTGTGACTTAAACATACCCACACAACATTCTCCCTATTCCAGCTGTGACCTAAATATACCTACTATATTCTCTCTATTTCAGCTGTAGCCTAAACATACCTACAATATTCTCTCTATTCCAGCTGTGACCTAAACATACCTACAATATTCTCCCTATTCCAGCTGTGACCTAAACATACCTACAATATTCTCTCTACTCCAGCTGTGACCTAAATGAACCTACAATATTCTCGCTATTCCAGCTGTGACCTAAACATACCTACAACATTCTCTCTATTACAGCTGTGACCTAAACATACCTGCAATATTCTCTCTACTCCAGCTGTGACATAATCATACTTACACTATTCTGTCTATTCCAGCTGTGACCGAATGGGTCATCTTGGCTGTCCATGGAGTCCACCCTGTCCAGCAGAGTTTTGTCCGATGTGTTACTCTATCAAAAAGTACAGTAGAGGACAGATAAGCAGTGTTTGTTTTCACAAATTTAGCAAAGGAAAAATTAATCCACTTCTGGGAACAAATAAATCATTTTCTGATGCTAAAGTATATCTATGGACATAAATAGCCCCACTCCTATGAAAACCAGAGTATGATCCAGTGTGTAACTTGATGTTAAATTTTACAAGACAAGAGCATAAGAATATTAGATAAATTTGGTTGTGTAATTTGTTCTCTGCAATGTAAGATAATCATTGTCTAGGAATGACGTTCTGAAATATATAGACATATCTTAAATACTTACTGCAGCTTAGTGAGGGATTATATATAATGAAAGTACACTGCCACATTAGGTATCGTTTGTAGTTTAGTGAGAGGTTATATATAATGAAAGTACACCCCCACATTAGGTATCCTTTACAGTTTTGTGATTTAATACATAGATAAGATAACTTACATCTACTAAAGTTTTGTTACTATCATCTGATGTATTTGTATCTCTGAAAAATAAAAGAAAATATGTATCAGAAACATTATATCAGAAAACAACTGTTCAACAATCAGCCATATATAACACAACTGTTCAACAATCAGCCATATATAACACAACTGTTCAACAATTAGCCATATATAACACAAGTGTTCAACAATTAGCCATATGTAACACAACTGTTCAACAATTAGCCATATATAACACAACTGTTCAACAATCAGCCATATATAACAAAATGTTCAACAATTATATATATAGGCCAGAATGAATCAGGTGAACATTATACACAATCTGAATCGGAAAACCATTAACAAAAAGATTGTAAGCCTGCAAGGAACTCTTACAACCCAAGGTGTCAGTGTGTTGGACATATTAAACCAAGGTTTTAATGTGTAAAACATATCAACTCAAGGTTTCAATATATAGTAGATATTAAACAAATACTTTCACATGTAGAACATATAAAAAAGTTGAGAACCTTCACATCCTGTATTGATTAGGCAATAAGACAGGCAATAAGCCCATTATTACTGACTGCAGCTTTTGACAGTAAAAAACACTAAGGAATGCTAATTCATTATATGGCAATAAGCACATCTCCTACTTAGTGTAAAAGTCTTGTTTTGACCCCTTCCGTTTGTTTCTGAATAATACAAAAAAATTAAGTCTTCTTTGCCAAGAGACTTCACACATTATTTATTACACTTTCCCTGGTTTTAAGAGGAATTAAGATCTGATACTTACTGGCAGTTAAAAGGACTGGTTCAAGAATATACAACAACAGCTTTTGTTTTCTCAAATTATTTTGAGACGATAGATGATTTGTATGGAGTGTAAGTACTTACGTGGTTACACTAATCTTTACAGGTTCACTGCTATTGGTTTCTGTAGCCTTGTCCACCTTTAATGGTTTGGTATCTGATAATAAACATTAGCATATGAATTGTTTGTAATATATTTATCACATAAACAATAGACTGAAACTTTCATCACGCTCAGCCTAGTAATCCTAGGTCAGTCGTTTGATTCTCAACAAGATTACGAGAGACAATTAAGCTTAATTTTGAAATTTTAAAATTTTGGAATTGGTCCAACTGTCATCTTTATTTTGTCTATCCATACTTTAATAGACATGTTGTATTCATGAGTGAAATACACTCAGCCTAGACAAAAAAGTTACCAAGCTTACCTGGGTAGTGGAACTGTTGAGGCTTTCTATGAGGTGAAGGCCCTGGGGAGGGGGAGGCGATATGCCCTGCAGGAGAGTTGATGTATGGGGCAGGGGAGGATGTTGTGCTGGAGTTACAGGAAGAGCTAGAGTCAGAGTTGAGCACAGGAACAGAGCGATTGGGCTTCAGACTTGTGCCATCCACATGGTAGGAATCTAAATAGGGGTCTGTATCTCTCCGTGTCTGGACAGGTGATCCTGAAGTACAGTCATATTTAATAAAACTTTTATTGAAGATATGGCAGACAATTCTGACACAAAACAAATTCCAAATTTAGATAAAGTGACTTTTCTTCAGAATTGCAATCAAATCTTATATAAGTAAAGAAATAATTTCACCATTTGTCAGTCCTTACAATTGATATCTATTCTAATCATTTTTCGGTAAAATAAAGTGGGCAAAAAGTTCGTGAAAAATTTACATACAATGTATTGGTTCCTCCTTCCCTTGTTAATGAAATGTAGCCTAACAGATGTTTCAAATCAGAACTTCAAACAGTAAGATTTTAAACAAAATATCAGATTTTTCAATATTTTGAAACTGATGTAAGGAAGGTATAAAATCAACATGTAAAACCTTTTTTTTTTCTCTCAGTAATATTACAACTGTTATTAAGATTTTGGAATCTAGAATCATCAGCCTAAAATCTTCTAATTGGTTTCATTAACTATTAACATTTTACACTGACTAGCCTCAAAATATTATACGAACTGCTTGATTGACCATCTCCTTAGAAAGAGCTAATGTAATTAGACCTCTTTTCAAAATACTGTACATTTGCAGTTATTTTTTTTAATTATCAAAACAGGTAGCAAGAGGCTTTCTGAAGGAGGTGTCTGGAACAACAGGGACTGTGCCCTGTAGAGTTTGTTGTAGAGAAGTAGGAATCATAAAGATGACATTTACCTTCCCAGAAACTGTCTGGATAGTCACTGGCACAATTCACATTCACTTTCCCAGCACAATCTCGATGACATTTAAATCTGACAACAAATGGATTAAGTGAGCACATCAACCTTAACCTTAAAATTTCCTGTATCCTTTCTACTAAAGTTCTAGAACCAATATTGAAAGTCTTTTAAACTTTTGCTTCCATTTACTACTATAGTACAGTAATGTTTTCTTCTTACCTGATTGGTTGAAAGTAAGACTAGTAAGTTAGCAATTCTAACTTTCATCCCTACCAAAGGCATTTAAATAAATAAGGACCTCTATTGAATATAACACAGAGTTATCTACCCTTCCTCATCAAAATATCAGAAAATATATGATACAACATTACTTCCTGTTCCATAGTTCCTATTATTAACACGCAATACAAACTACAGAGCTATCTTCTTAATCATGTGTAATACAGATTTACCTCCCCTCCCTAAGTTCTTTACATAGTACAGACTAATCTTCTTAATCATGTTTAATACAGATTTACCTCCCCTCCCTAAGTTCTTTACATAGTACAGACTACTCTTCTTTATTAAGGTCAATACAGATTTACCTCCCTTCCCTAAGTTCTTTACATAGTACAGACTACTCTTCTTTATTAAGGTCAATACAGATTTACCTCCCCTCCCTAAGTTCTTTACATAGTACAGACTACTCTTCTTTATTAAGGTCAATACAGATTTACCTCCCCTCCCTAAGTTCTTTACATAGTACAGACTACTCTTCTTTATTAAGGTCAATACAGATTTACCTCCCCTCCCTAAGTTCTTTACATAGTACAGACTACTCTTCTTTATTAAGGTCAATACAGATTTACCTCCCCTCCCTAAGTTCTTTACATAGTACAGACTACTCTTCTTTATTAAGGTCAATACAGATTTACCTCCCCTCCCTAAGTTCTTTACATAGTACAGACTACTCTTCTTTATTAAGGTCAATACAGATTTACCTCCCCTCCCTAAGTTCTTTACATAGTACACACTTCCCAGGTTACTCTTCTTCATCATGTGAAATTCAGATTTACCTCCCCTCCCTAAGTTCCTTATATATTACACACTACACAGGTTACTCTCCATGATCATGTGAAATACAGATTTACCTCCCCTCCCTAAGTTCCTTACATATTACACACTTCCCAGGTTACTCTTCTTCATGGTGTGAAATACAGATTTACCTCCCCTCCCTAAGTTCCTTACATATTACACACTATTCGTGTTACTCTCCTTGATCATGTGAAATACAGATTTACCTCCCCTCCCTAAGTTCCTTACATATTACACACTTCCCAGGTTACTCTTCTTCATGGTGTGAAATACAGATTTACCTCCCCTCCCTAAGTTCCTTACATATTACATACTACCCGGGTTACTCTCCTTGATCATGTGAAATACAGATTTACCTCCCCTTCCTAAGTTCCTTACATATTACACACTAACTGGGTTACTCTCCTTGATCATGAGTAATACAGAATTACTTCCTCTTCAAAAGTTCCTGACATATAACACACTACCCGGGTTACTCTCCCTGATCATGTGAAATACAGATTTACCTCCTCTTCCAAAATAATAAAGACTGCTCTTCTTATTCATGTATAAGAGATTAACTTTTTCTAAATTGCTTTTATACACAGAAAATACATGCTACAGTTATCTACCCTCCATTATATCACAGATATTATTTTGTGAGAATTGGTACCATTATACCTTAGGTGCATTTTCCTCCCATCTACTAAAACATTTATGATGATAAAGGTAACGAACAAATATTTCCTGAAATAAATCATAATTGTAAGGGAGATGTGATCAAATTTCAGATCCATATTACAATCTTTATTTAAATACATGGAGCATATCATTGGCATAGCTCAAATACACATTTTACAATGGAATACTTTTAAAAAAATAAGACATAATGCATGTAAAATAAATAATACATGAAAGATAAATGGCTTCTTGAAGAAATTCATATTAGAATCATAATCATTAAAAATTCAGCAGACAAATATTTATTAGATTATAGTTTGTTTGGGTTTTAATTAAATGCTTCTCAGATAATAAATCAGATTTTTCTACAAAAAATATAAATATTTTAATAGTACAAATGGTTTTTGCATGTTTAGGCATTATCAAATTTGATTTCTGTTGATAAATATAAATTCACATATCTAAAATTAACCTTTCCAGCTGTTCTTTATTCATATTTGGCATCACAATAATTACTTTAAAAGCTTTAATAGATTGAATAGTATGTATAATGTATCAATTTAGATGTTTAAACTTGACAAGGTAAATAGAAATGAATATTCTAAAGTTAGAATAAAGTTATATTCACCCTGTTGATTTTACATAACATATCAAGCAAACATCTGAGTTCAATGTACATAATCAATTAAATGTATGTATCACAACATAAAGTAAGTTTTTCTGAAACAAGTGTACTTCCAACTATATGAAAGAATATTTTACACAAATACTACAGGTACCACATTTTTACAACATCAAAAACATCGACAGGAGAGGTTGCAAAGGGGAGAAAACACCTTGCACATACTTACTTGCAATCCTTGCAAACTTTTCCATATAAGTAGATGACTTTAGAACATACGTCACAGTTACTTCCAAATATGGTAATGGATTTTTTTTCAAATCTACAAAGAGAAGAAAGTGGGAGGTGACAACATCAAGGAAACACCACAACAACGATAACCTCTCCTCCAGCTTTACGTGTCGTGTAACACAAATATGACAGTTTAGTTTTTATTTGGTCATTCCGTTTTCCTTTTATCTTCATTTCCACTACTTTTTTTTCCATTTTTGAAAATTAATTCAACCTAATTTAAATTTCATCATCAAAATAAATTCTAAACATTTTACTTTTAATACTAGTTATCAGTAATCAATTTGTTCAAAGCGTTCATATTCAGTCCAATCAAATCTATCAAGGGCGGAGGAATTTTTCGGAGCTTTTACATCATCACCACTTACAACTTTTCATCATATTTGTGTAGCACTCATTGTAAAGCCTTAAAACAGTACAATACATTTTGACATTCTGGCTACCATCGATACCCTCATAGCTTCCTTGTGGGGAAAAAATATGAACATATATATATATATATATATATATATACATATATATTGATAATTAAAATTTACTTTTAGAATTTTTTTTTTTTTTTTGGGAAGCCTACTTAGTTATGTGTTAGCCAGATATCAACAAAACTGGGGGGAAAAGCAAAACATTAACACAAGTTTGAAGAAACTATATATAAGCTTAAACCACTACTTGAATAGTGTCAGGGGCTTTGTGTTATGCAGGTTTGCAATGAAATTATATGATTTTAATATGATTTGATGATGTAATCTACTGACTACACTGTTTGCATGTCAGTAGTTTCATGTCACATTTTATTTCTTTAAGCAATATATCCTTCACACTCTTGGTCATTTTCTGGTCCATGCTTATAAATGGAGTTTAAGTTTCCCGTAAAAAGTTTCATAAACGCTAACTCTACAATAGTTAGTGTTGTTTTGTATTACAGGTTTCATTAACTTTTCAATTACTTTATTGTTATCATTTAATTTTCAAAAGTGAAAAGTATTTCAAATGTCTTTTTGATAAATCAAGTAAGAAACTCGATCTCAAAGAAATAGTGGTAGCACAGACTAAGATATTGATAGGAAGCCCATGGTTATAGGCCTGTTGAAAATGAAACTAAAATACAATCTTTCGCATGTTAGAATTATGTCGGAAATCAGTTACCCTTTCAAATATGTATAATAATCTGGGCAACATTGATAATTTCCTTAGAATTATTGAAAACATTTCAAAATCTTTTCAACTTGTCATGGAATTGAGTCCTTTTTGTAAAATATCTAGTGTATACAAAACTTAGAATGTATGGACTATGTGTCTTCTTAACGGAAAAGAAGCATAGTAATATCTGCATGAAATAGTTCCAAGTTGTCATTTACAACATGACATAACATTTGTGCCATTTCTTATTTATTTATTTATCTTATATAAAAGTATTTATCAATAATAGCATCAACTCCTTCATGAACTGATTTCAAAACATATTTTTCTTCCTTTCCTTGGAGGTATATGTGCGACGTAAGGTCTTTTTGTAGTGATTCTGTCTAAGGTATAAAATAGCCGAACTAGCTAACAGCTTATCTGGGTGACGGCTATAAACACCAATCATCATACAGATGCACAGCCTCTAAAAACAGGAGATTTTACAACGAAAAACACCAGTTAGATGTTTACATCTCAGACTTCTTAGAAACAAGTTTTTTAAAATGATACTTTGACGCCAGCCCCCTTGTAAAATGTGATAGAAGCAGTCATTCAGTTTTTCCTTTGTGATAGCAATTTGAGATACATTTGTATGTACCAGTGACATTTCCTATTGTACACCATGTCGTGGAAGTTTCACACACAGGACAAAAAAATGACTGAATAGTTAAAATCAAGTGAAACTAAACAAAATAATGTTACAAAATCAGAGACCATAAAAAAAGCTTACAAAAGGTGCAAATCAAATTGTACAAGTGCATGATGGGACAGAATTTACAACACTGTTACAACCAACTATAATTACAGGATGATCTGTGCCTCAAGGCAAGCCCTGGCAAGGGTTACCAAGGGAGACAACACAGATGTTACAATCTTACTTGCACTCTTTGCATTTGTATCCAAGAAACATCTGTTTGTGACAGTGGTCGCATGTTGTTATCTTAAAGGTGTTACAGAACCTAATGTTGAAAAGCAACAATGCATTAGAAACACAATCTTTTGGAGAAACCAACATTGATCCAAAATTCAGACATCTAGTTGTCTTTTTATCATCACCAAACCTGACATATTATTTTTTTTTATTCCAAATTCAGGTATCATGTGCCTTTCAATCCCTAATTCAGACATCGAAGTGCCATTTTTTCAGCATTCAGGCATCTATTGCTACCTTTGATAGATGCAGTGGTGAGAGGCACTTCTGGACGTTAGTGTCCATCACTGAATGTTTGTTGTGGACATTTTTTTCCATTGTATGACCTATGTTTTGACCAAATATACAGTAAAAACATTATATATCTAATCAAGGATTTTCAGGACTACATGTCTAGAAACACAAACATAGCAATGATATGCTGCCTTGTACCAAGTAACCACTCATTTCTATAATAATAAGAAAGGTAAAATTTTCTAATTAAACTACAATTAAACTAGTGGAATGAGTTCAATACAAAATTATAGAAAGCCTGTTGTGTCTAATCTAGTGGGACACTCTACCTCCAAGAATTATTCTGACAGGTATACTAAAAACACTGGCATGCCCTCCATGGACATATCGGCAGCCATAATGTTCCTGTTATGACAGGGAGGAAACCTCATCAGGTCAGCCAGTAGGAGAAATCCAGGTGATACCTGACTTCAACTTTTATACCTACCTGTGGTTGCCATGGAGCTGGTGCTGTTTTGGTGACTTGGGTACAGCTAAGGTATCTGTAAATAAAATTGGTCAATTCTTCAACATCACTCAATACCATACTTACTTTTGTCAGGTCAAAGAGACTGCCTTTTCCAAATAGCTAAAATGAGTTCACTAAGTCACCACACAATATACATATTATCGATGTTTCATTTAGATAAATTTAAAATTTTGAATTTCAAGTCAATTAAACATTGTTTCTCATTTATTGTCTTTTCATTCACTCATCCTGGTTTATACAAGAATGGTAGCATTTGGTTGACAATGATAAGAAATTTGGCTTTGACAAGCTGTTTCTACAATCAAAGTCAAAGGTCAAAGTCAAGGTCACTGCGACTAAATGTTACTTCTTCACACACCATCATAGCATTGTGCACCTCGGGTGCAATAAGCAGTAGAAATATGCCATTAGTACACTATCATTATGGTCAAGGTCAAAGGTCAAGACCAAGGTTAACACATGGCACACTGACATGCCTAGGTGCATCCATGGTGCTAAAATGTAGCCCTAGGCAAACAATTATTTAGAAATACTGCATGAACAATGCATACCAATAATCAAGGTCACTGCAAGCTTACGTTATTATGTGTCCAAAGGTAATTTTACCATGTGACCAATTCCAGTATGCTACATTAGTGTCACTATAGAAATAAAGAAATACAGCCCATAGGGTGTCTCGAGTGAACGGAAAGATATCAAGATGTGATATCATTGGTTTACACAAGGACGCTATATCACAATGCAATATTTGGCTGTTTGAAAAAAAATTATCCATCATGACATCATCTTTTATAATAATATGTTAACTTTCAAATTGTAAAAAAACACTCAGTAAATCTACCTGATCTACATCAGATTTGATGAAATGATTTCTGTTAAGACAAGACTGATATTCAATCATTACTTAAACAAAAATATGTATATGTTGGCAGAGATGAATATATTTACAGTATCTCTGATGGTTCATGCTGTTTAGTACATATATTTTACAAATGAAAACACACCATCCCCATTCCTAACAAATATTTGTTAAAACTGTTGGGACTGTACAATAAATATAAACACTGACAGACAGACTTGACAACACCTAGTACATCCTTCCCATAAAACAAGACTCTTCCCTCCCAATCCAACACACAACTTCCCCCCCCTCCTCAACACACAACTTCCCCCCCCCCCCCTCCTCAACACACAACTTCCCCCCCCCCCTCCTCAACACACAACTTCCCCCCCCTCCTCAACACACAACTTCCCCCCCTCCTCCTCAACACACAACACAACCTCTCCCTGCCTATACAAAACATAGCTCCTTCTTCTCCAAACATAACTCTTCCCTCCCTGTACAATCCTCAACACCCCTATCTAAATACAACACACAACTTCCCCCCCACCCTCCTCAACACACAACAAAACCCCTCCCTGCCTATACAAAACATAGCTCCTTCTTCTCCAAACATCACATAACTCTTCCCTCCCTGTACAATCCTCAACACCCCTATCTAAATACAACACACAACTTCACACACCACACACACACACACACACACACACAACAAAACCCCTCCCTGCCTATACAAAACATAGCTCCTTCTTCTCCAAACATCACATAACTCTTCCCTCCCGGTACAATCCTCAACACACCTATCTAAATATAACACACAACTTCACCACACACACACACACACACACACACAACAAAACCCCTCCCTGCCTATACAAAACATAGCTCCTTCTTCTCCAAACATCACATAACTCTTCCCTCCCTGTACAATCCTCAACACCCCTATCTAAATACAACACACAACTTCACACACCACACACACACACACACACAACAAAACCCCTCCCTGACTATACAAAACATAGCTCCTTCTTCTCCAAACATAACTCTTCCCTCTCTGCACAACCCTCAACACCCCTATCTAAATACAACACACAACTCCTAATTCCCTTCTTTTTCATACAATATAATCTTCCTCCTTTCCCAATGAAACATAACTTTTCCCTACCCATACAACACAAAATGGCTCTCTTCAAATACAACACACAATCCCTCCATCCCCATCAAAAAACCTCCCCACAACATTTATTTTTTCCCAATACCACAAAACTCCTTTCTCTCCATCCAACTAAAATTTCTTCCTCCCCATACAACACACTCTTCCTTCTATGTACAACACACAACTTGTCCCTCCTAATACAACACACAACTTGTCCCTCCTCATACAACACACAACTCGTCCCTCCTCATACAACACACAACTTGTCCCTCCTCATACAACACACAACTCGTCCCTCCTCATACAACACACAACTTGTCCCTCCTCATACAACACACAACTTGTCCCTCCTCATACAACACACAACTTGTCCCTCCTCATACAACACACAACTCGTCCCTCCTCATACAACACACAACTTATCCCTCCTCATACAACACACAACTCTTCTCTCCTCATACAACACACAACTCTTCTCTCCTCATACAACACACAACTTGTCCCTCCTCATACAACACACAACTTGTCCCTCCTCATACAACACACAACTTGTCCCTCCTCATACAACACACAACTTGTCCCTCCTCATACAACACACAACTCTTCTCTCCTCATACAACACACAACTTGTCCCTCCTCATACAACACACAACTTGTCCCTCCTCATACAACACACAACTAGTCCCTCCTCATACAACACACAACTCGTCCCTCCTCATACAACACACAACTTTCTCTCCTCATACAACACACAACACACACAACTTGTACAACACACAACTTGTCCCTCCTCATACAACACACAACTTGTCCCTCCTCATACAACACACAACTCTTCTCTCCTCATACAACACACAACTTGTCCCTCCTCATACAACACACAACTCTTCTCTCCTCATACAACACACAACTTGTCCCTCCTCATACAACACACAACTTGTCCCTCCTCATACAACACACAACTAGTCCCTCCTAATACAACACACAACTTGTCCCTCCTCATACAACACACAACTCGTCCCTCCTCATACAACACACAACCCTTCTCTCCTCATACAACACACACACAACACACAACTCTTCTCTCTCTCCTCATACAACACACAACAACACACAACTTATCCCTCCTCATACAACACACAACTCTTCTCTCCTCATACAACACACAACTTGTCCCTCCTCATACAACACACAACTTATCCCTCCTAATACAACACACAACTTATCCCTCCTCATACAACACACAACTTGTCCCTCCTCATACAACACACAACTTGTCCCTCCTCATACAACACACAACTTGTTCTCTACAACACACTCATACAACACACAACTTGTCCCTCCTACAACACACATACAACACACAACTTGTCCCTCCTCATACAACACACAACTTGTCCCTCCTCATACAACACACAACTTGTCCCTCCTCATACAACACACAACTCGTCCCTCCTCATACAACACACAACTAGTCCCTCCTAATACAACACACAACTTGTCCCTCCTACAACACACAACTTGTGCCTTCTTCATACACATACACACAAATACAACACACAACTTTCTCCTCATACAACACACAACTTCATACAACACACAACTTCCCCATACAACACACAATCCTCCTACAACACACCTTTCATACAACACACATACAACACACAACTACAACACACAACTAGTCCCTCCTAATACAACACACAACTTGTCCCTCCTCATACAACACACAACTCCTCCCTCCTCATACAACACACAACTAGTCCCTCCTAATACAACACACAACTTGTCCCTCCTCATACAACACACAACTCGTCCCTCCTTACACAACACAACTTGTCCCTCCTCATACAACACACAACTCCTCCCTCCTCAAACAACACACAACTAGTCCCTCCTAATACAACACACAACTCGTCCCTCCTCACGCAACACACAACTCGTCCCTTCTTATAATACACAATCTTTCTCCTAAAAACAAACCTAACTTCTACTTCCCCATTCAACATCCTCCTCCCTTTCCATATAACACACAACTCACCCCACCTCATACAACACAACCCCTCACTCCCAATACAACATATAACTTCTCTCTCCTTGTACATAACATAACTCCTCCATCCCAACAGTATCAACTTGCAACACCTTGTTTTATATTTTATATATATTTTACTCCTCCTGCCTCAGTAAAACATGTAACTCTTTATTCCCAATACTTCACACAATCCCTTCCTCCCCATACAAAAACAACTCCTCCCTCCCCAAATAATACACCACTCAATCTTTTCCATAGAATACACAACTCCTTCCTTTACATACAACACACAACCTATTTTTCCACATACAACAGCTATCCCTCCTTTCCTCACAAAACAGAGGTACATCCTCCTCATACAACACACCATTCTATCCTCATCATTAAACCACTCTCTCCATAATACACCCAACCTTTCCCTTCTATACAACACATCTCTTCCCAATAGTCCTCTCTCTCTCAGACTATCCAATCCCCTCCATCACATACAACACACCTCTCTCCATACAATGGTCCTCTCTCTCTCATACACTATCAAATCCCCTCCACCGCATACAACAATCTAATCCCCTCCACCACATACAACACACCTCTCTCCATACAATGGTCCTCTCTCTCATACACTATCTAATCCCCTCCACCACATACAACACACCTCTCTCCATACAATGGTCCTCTCTCTCTCTCACACACTATCCAATCCCCTCCACCACATACAACACACCTCTCTCCATACAATGGTCCTCTCTCTCTCTCTCATACACTATCCAATCCCCTCCACCACATACAACACACCTCTCTCCATACAATGGTCCTCTCTCTCTCTCTCATACACTATCCAATCCCCTCCACCACATACAACACACCTCTCTCCATACAATGGTCCTCTCTCTCTCATACACTATCTAATCCCCTCCACCACATACAACAATCTAATCCCCTCCACCACATACAACACACCTCTCTCTCCATACACCACTTAGTTCTTTTATTCACACATCATCCAACGCTTTCCTTCATTAATATATTCACTTAGTGCATCTTTTTACACAACAAATACATAATATGTGAATATATTTTCATCAAAATGATAAAAAGGACAGAAGATTTTGGCTGTATTATAATTACCTTGAGTTAGGCAATGTAGGAGATGGCAATAAAGTTTAAGTGAAAATAAGTCATGATGGCAATATTATGTACATCAAACAGTTAAGATGTAAGTGTTGGCTGGCAAAAGTTGATTCCAGTTTTGTTTGCTTTAAACCTAGTCACAGATATGCCAGAAGCTATTGGTCCTCTTATCTCTTCCTGGTAACTCATATGACTGACTATGTGACATAATCTTTCAATCATTTTAATGTCAGGAGACTTATTTCTATTTTGAGTTAAAAAATTTCCAGCCTTCCTCCATTTCCCTCCACATCAATGATGCCTTGAATTTCATTTTGTATAGGCATTCTGAGATCTTCTTTATAGTTGTTTTATCCTTATACTAGGATAGTTTGGATCTTTTTGTTGGATTTTATAGCTGTTACAATGCCTTGGCTGCAGTATCTTTTAGTTAGGGTATGAGTACTCTCCCTTTTCACTTTAATCTTTTTACAGAAAGGTCTTTTTTTCCTTTTGAATGCCATCTAAAATCTACTGGCAATGACTGTGAAACACCAAATTTCTGGTGTAAAAAGTGTTGAGCTTGGAAACTGAGGCATTGTTTCATGGGTGTCTTGTGTGTGTGGCCCATAGATTTTAAATACATTTATGACCTGGTTTGAAACAAAGCGAAGCTGAATAAGTTTTGTAGTCAGTCCAAACATTGCTATCATCCAATGTATATGTATAAGGAATAATACCAGCTTATACCTACTTTCACTTTGATTTTAGTGCCATCACCAAAACTTGTTTTTACCACAAATATCTGATTGAGATTTTGGTATAAAAAATCTATTCACATATATACTTACCAACATAAAGAAACAAAAAACATTAAGTTCATAAACTTAAAACACAGATTCATCAACACCACGTATCAAGAGAACAAAACACTGAACAATAAGAAATAAACAAAACTACAATCCCATAACAAAAGAGTAGGAAGATATATACACCATTGACTATTCCAAAGTAAGTCAACTTTGTTGGTTTGTTTGACTAAAAAGTGGGACCACAGGCCAAAGATGTTAACCACTCCTTCTGGTAAAGGTATGAATTTGCATATAATTCCTTCTTCACTAGGATTTTTTGTTTTCAGCTAAAGCAACAGATTGATAAAAAGAGTAAATTTCATAGATAATGTTATATTTTAATCAGTTGACAAATAGATTTTTTTTCAGTTTCCAATTGCAAATATTGAAATATCCAAAAATTCTATTTTTTTTTACAGATCTGTTTTTAGTTTAAGTTTGCAATTTAGAATATCTAATTTTAGTTTCTCTACATTAACTATTATTTAATTATATCATCATCAGGCACAATATAGTGTAACGTCAATGTCAGGTAAATAGATTGAATCTCTCTAACAAACCATTTAAGCTTTGATAATCAAAATTTTCATTAAGTGCTGTTGGATAAATAGACTACATGGTCAGTGTCTTGATCTATAAGCTGCAAGACAAAAGTGGCGTACCAAAGGCTTACGACCTTTGTCTCTCTTAATCTTCATCAAAATACAACTGATATCTGACCAAGCATTCTTTATGTTACTTTTATCACATGTGACTAAGCTTTATATTTCCAAAATTTAAAAAATTTCAATAATAATTTTTAACGGTATTACAACATATGTTGTAAATTATCCTTTTTAAAAAGTTTTTCCTAATGGTAATCGGTTTTAGTATATCTTATCTTAAACACAAATTTTTTCAAAGTTTCCCATTCTGGTAAAGACACATCAATTTCAAACAGTATGAAATGTGACAAAAATGTGATCAAACACCAATGGAGGTGTTAATGATTTTAACAAATATTTTGAAAAATTCAAATTTTAAAGGTCATTATTCACACAAGATAAATTTCTGCCTTATGCATAATATCACCTTATTTTGTCATTTTATTGACACAAACATGGTATAGGAAGAATACTCACACTAAGATAGACCAATATCAAATGCAAGTGCTATTCAGTGGTAAAGCATGTGTCTTATGTATATTTGCCTGTGCATTGCATAAACGGATTAAGAAACTCAATCGAACACAAAAAAACTGATCATTTCTCTTATGTGTTCAAGAAAATATCCAAAGAAAAAAATTCTGTGTATAGAAATTTAAAGCTGTGCAATTTGCAATGAATAGCATGCACTTACCTTTATCACTTTAATAGATTCTAACCTCTTATTGAGATCCTATATCCTAAACAAATTCTCTATGCTGTTAAATTTGTTTTGTTGACTCATATTTTTTCCCCTTAAAACATCATGTCTCTTTTTGTTTCAGTTTAATTTTGTGAATAAATTTTTCAATTGAAGTAACTGGTTTTATTTTCTAACTTTAGACATTTCATCAAAGTAACTTTCGGATTTTATTAAACTCCTGCACAGAAATTTGGAATTTATATAAATCAAATATTTTAGGATCATTGGTAGAGATTTAACTAACAACTAAATATTATATTGTTTTATATGAGATCATATTTGTACTTTTGTTTCAAGTTCTTATATAAGCTCTATCAGAAAAAAACTTCACAGGACTATTGTGAAAGAACTGAAATGAGGTCACACAAGTTTTGATACTTTTCCTTTCTTTTCACAAATAAAAACATTAAAAGCATTGTAAACACATATATTTAGCTTTTCGGGTAGTACTTTTTGCACAACTTTTTTCATTCAAGAAATAATGAAAACCTAGATCACCAGCAAAGATACTTTTTTTAATGCTCATGCTAGGGTATAAATGTATTTTGATAACATTCCAGGGGCAAAAATTTTAAAAATTCCACCTATGTTATGTTAAAAAAACTTAACTAAGAGAAAGAACAAAAAAAACTAAGGAGAACAAAACAAGATTGAAAATTGGATGTGTTGGTGTATTTAGAAAACCAGTGATCTAGAACACCACTACTACAACATACCATCCATGTCATCCATTGGAAAATCACACTCAATCAGAATTCATATACGCTTTCAAATTTGAATATTATCCTACAAATATATGTATCAATATGGTAACTACAGCCAAAAATTCCTAATTTCATTAGCAATACCATTTTCCATTGAGATAATAATGTGCTTATATTCTTAACAATAATGTTTCAAAAACATGGATTCCATAATTCCTTTTTGAATATAATTATTAAATAAATCTAATTTTTTTAAAAAAAATCAGATTACCCCATAAAATATGTTCGAAGAAAAAATTTGTAAATATTCCAATGTATGACATGCAGACTGTCCACAGCAGAAGGAGTGGAAACGTGAGGAATGGGCATGCAGGGGAAATAACTCTACTATATACCACAAACACAACACCGAAAGTTGACCCAGACTTACTTTTGGAATAGTCAATAGCCTTGAGACGTGATGGATGTATAGGAGAGTTAGGAATGGGGGAGGTGTGACCTGAGGGACCGCGACTGCCCCCACCTGTTTCTGAGCCTTCGTTGGAAGGCCGACGTATCTTCAGCATATCATTGCCAATAATTAGATTGGTAGGTTTCTTCTTACTGTACCTGTGAATTAAAATTTTAAAAAAAATTTAAAACATCTCTACATAAGGTATATATAACAGAGTTTTGAAAAGTTTAAACATTTTGGTTAATGAAGTTCATGGTCCTGTCCACAATACTGACAATAACAGATCATAAAACATTTATACATTTCTTTGCAAATCTTATACACCCATATAATCAATACAGAAAAATATGGTCAAGATGACCTGAGTTGTGAGTACGTCAATTTAAAATGTTCACAAAACATGTTTTAGGAAAACATTGCCTTTTTTCTTCTATTTGCTTTTCAATTTATTTGAGAAAACTACCATTTACAGTGTAGTGAACACATCAGTAGTACTGATATATTGAAAACTGATTTTCTTAAAAAATCTTTAAGACATAAGGTGATGGTATGATTAAACTGTTTCTTTGAAGAACTATGAATTTGAGTTATAGTGCAAAAAATTATACCAACCAAGTTATATTGCCTAGTATCAAGTTCTTGGCCTAGTTGAAAGTATGTAAAATGTTTTACAGTGGAAGGAAAACTGAACAGTTTTGAAAATGTATCTTTCTCCATCCAACTGAAGAATCAAACCCAGACTGCTAACACAAAAGGCGAATGTGTTACTATTGTGCCAATCAACCACCAAGTGTAACAGAAACACAGCTAGTTTACATACAAACATTGTAAATGACTGTGTAAACCCTTACTTAGGTCCATCAATATCTGTGACCCTGTTGGCTAGCTGAGACTCGTGAGAACGACTCTTAGTGAGAGGGTAGTCAGGAATGAGGATGTGTCGACGATTGGTTGGTGGGGTACCCGTCATCCTGGAGTTTCCTCCTGTTCTGCCTGTCAGTGGAGGCGTGGGTGGAGGTGTATATCTGGAGAAAAATATGAAACAATTTTAACTACTGCCCCAAAGGAAGTTAAAGGCAAGTAAGAAAAAAAACATACTGATGTTAAAATTCAATTTTTTTTCCACAAAATGTTAGAAAATCTAATAGAAAACATAATTGTCTCCATATGCTATTACTGCAACATATTTTATTCTTTATACTTAGTAGGGAGGACCTACATAGCTGTTGATTATCTCCTCTTCAAATTCACTAGATTAAATGCTGGTGTTACAATTACCCTGATTAAGAAATGCTAGCAAGTCCAGAAACAATGAAACTCATTCTATTTTTGTCTGATGACAGCATAGCACAATTAGAGGTTAACCTTCTGTTCACAAACTGAAAAGTATTATAATACTGTCAATATATATATTCTCATGAAGCTCAAGTTTTGTGGTTTTCCAAAAATATACATTTTCATTAACACTTGATTTCATGGATAAACTTGATTACAATATTCATTATTACTATAATCATTATCAAATTTTATCTTTGTATCATTCCATCGACATATAAATTTGTGGTTTAAAGTACCTATGAAATCAATGAAAATAAGTACAGAAAAAAAATTGTTTATGCAGTAAATCCTTTCTATTAGCAGTGTAACTCTAATAGCTGTAATCTTCCTCCCAACTGCTCTAGTTATACCATTTGTTAATACAGACTACAAACAAACAGAATAGGATGTAACTGTCTAACAGAAAAGCAGCCAGAATGAGAACAGATGACTCTAAGTCACTTCGTGGTGAACAAAGCCAAATTAAAATACAAGGAGAACAATCTTTACGTTCTCCTCACCTTCTTTTCTATTCTATTGTATTAAATCTTCAACATTGGAAAAAAATCAAACATTCGTTCTTAATTTCTAAATGACTAAATAAGAGGTAATGTGCTATCCATTAACCAGGTAATTTAATATATTCCTATACTTAATACAACCATCTATATCTCTACATCTGAATTATCTCCCCTGCATTAACATATCAATACATTTCTGGCTTGTGCAACTTTCTATCCAGAGAACATGTAGACCTGGTTATGAGGCTGGGGATTACTCACCTAGTTCTGTCTGTGTGGGTGGCAGGGATTGGTGACGGAGGGGTGCTCTGTGGGGAAGTGGGGATGGGAATAGGCTGGATATTTTCTGGGGGGAGGGAAGAAATGGAGGGCCGCCCCGAGTGGTACCCTGGGGAACTGCCACTGTATGGACTACTAGAAGCCTGTGTATAGTTGGTCCAGCTAAGGTCTTTATCACTGTCCCCTCCTGTATCTCCAACCAACAGGTGTTCTGGAATACAAAGTCAGTTGTCAAACAGCAATACATGTAAGTACAATTTATAAACATAAACCTTATGACTATCAAGTAAATCTTGCTATCAGAAATTGTAATTGAAATAATATTTCTGAAAACATTTACAAAAGACAAGTAGCAGGATTACTATATTGTCATTCATATCTGTGATCACTGCATGATTTACTAAATTATACCAAACACAACTTTAATCATAAGTATCTCAATTTTCTGCCTAAAATGCCTTGCAATGAAAGTATAAGTAACACAACAAACCAGTACCTATAAAGTTATGACAGATAATACTTTGTTTAATAAAATGGACAATAAAATATTCCAAACAAAATGCCATTATACAAGATAAAAGTGACTAACCTGTCCATTTCTTAAGATTGCGGAGCGCACAGTTGAACTTTCTGTGATCTTCCTCTTTGGAATCAAACCTCAGCAGCAGGTTCCTCACCTCATCTTCCCGCATGTCCAGCAGTGATGTTAGAGTTATCTCCCTTTGAAGTACACCCTAACAATGACACAAAAGTTCACACATATACATTTGAGCAAAAAATCTTTTACCAACTTGTAAATCGGAAATCAGTGGAGACCATGGTTTTCCTTTAGAATGGCTCAATAGATAAATGTCATACTTCCAAAACTTGCAATAGGAAAGAAAGTACAGGACAAAAACAAACACTCCTTTGTAATTAAAATTGTACACACTGGATAATAAAGGCAGAAAGATTTCAGGTTATGATGTTGTTCACATTCTAAACAATGTATAAAATGTATTTTTTAATTACATGTAGTTTAGAAGCAAAGTCTGTAAACTGCATAAATCAAGGTGAAACAATTGGGAGAAAAAACCAGAGACTCAAATAAAAACAGAAAAGATATAACCTTTGACCTCTGAAATGTTTTTATTTTTTTTTCTGGGAGAAAGAAACAAAAGTACATGTAACAGGAAGAAAATGTCACAGCTTAGACAAAAAACTGTATCAACATTTTTCTCCAAGATTAAACATGTACTAATTTTCTAAATTTCATTGCTTAGTTTGCTTGCAATAGTTTTAAGAAAATTTGTATAAGACTTATGACAGTAAATCCTTAATCAGAATCCTACACATCAAATAAGAAGTGTTGGCCACACTTGATATGAGAAATCCATTAATAAGTTTTACTTCAACAATCACTTATTATTATCACAACATAATGAGTAAGATTAAGACAAAATTTAAAGTTTTGTGTGTGACAGATGAAAGTAAATACTGTACAGAATGACATCAAATCAATAGTCATAAAACACCAAGTACAGGGAACCATCCCCCCTCTACGGAAAAAAATTAAGAAATTATAAAGGACTTTTGTACAATAAACTGAATCCTTGATGAATTCAATTCTAGTGTTCACTTGCAATTTGTAAACTACAGGGGAAAGGAATGTGTATCCATATCATGTTATAAGAACTCTAACCCATTTATTTATGTCTAGAGGCCAATAAAAGTATATTGTCTGTTGAGTGGCGGATGCTTATACATAACGCATTGTCCACTGGTAGCTATGTATACCAATAACTCTCACCTGGCAATCACAGTGATTCCAGGAATGTCAGCTATGTTATGCATTAGTCTCATTTATTAAATCGTTTTAACTCCCACAGTAGATTTAATCATATCCCATGTTACAGGTGCAGAAAGTTTAACCTACGGATTATTTGGTAAATATCACCTGTAGATTCAGGTGAGATAACGAGGGGTAGGTATGTGTATACACTTTACAGTGTTGTACACACAGGTGCCCACCAAGGTATGCCAATTATTCCAGAAACCAGATCCACAAATATGCCTGTATTGTATACATATATACAACTCCTGAAATAGCCCTCTAATTAAACCAATCAGAAACCACCCAAACATGTCCTTTCTGGCCACCAATGAGTAATATAAGCTTCAGGTCCCAGATTCCCTTATGACAGTATTCCCACATAAGAATTCCCAGTGAAAGCAAGGCCTGTTTTATATTTAAGATGCTGTACAAAAAATTTGAAATCATAATTGATTATTTCTATTTTTTTCTCTTTCCTATATTTATATTTTATTTGATGACAGCATAATTCTATCAATATCGAAAGTAGAATATTACACAGTTTGCGCCAGTATGGAAATTGTAATTAGCAGGGGTCTGACAAATAAATTACTGAATACATACAGACCTTATAACAATCAGCAGGGGTCTGACAAATAAATCACTGAATACATATAGACCTTATAACAATCAGCAGGGGTCTGACAAATACATCACTGAATACATTATTATAGACCTTATAACAATCAGCAGGGGTCTGACAAATAAATCACTGAATACATTATTATAGGCCTTATAACAATCAGCAGGGGTCTGACAAATAAATCACTGAATACATTATTATAGACCTTATAACAATCAGCAGGGGTCTAACAAATAAATCACTGAATACATTATTATAGACCTTATAACAATCAGCAGGGGTCTGACAAATAAATCACTGAATACATATAGACCTTATAACAATCAGCAGGAGTCTGACAAATAAATCACTGAATACATATAGACCTTATAACAATCAGCAGGGGTCTGACAAATAAATCACTGGATACATATAGACCTTATAACAATCAGCAAGGGTCTGACAAATAAATCACTGAATACATTATTATAGACCTTATAACAATCAGCAGGGGTCTGACAAATAAATCACTGAATACATTATTATAGACCTTATAACAATCAGCAGGGGTCTGACAAATAAATCACTGAATACATATAGACCTTATAACAATCAGCAGGGGTCTGACAAATAAATCACTGAATACATATAGACCTTATAACAATCAGCAGGCGTCTGACAAATACATCATTGAATACATATAGACCTTATAACAATCAGCAAGGGGTCTGACAAATACATCACTGAATACATTATTATAGACCTTATAACAATCAGCAGGGGTCTGACAAATAAATCACTGAATACATATAGACCTTATAACAATCAGCAGGCGTCTGACAAATAAATCACTGAATACATTATTATAGACCTTATAACAATCAGCAGGGGTCTGACAAATAAATCACTGAATACATTATTATAGACCTTATAACAATCAGCAGGGGTCTGACAAATAAATCACTGAATACATTATTATAGACCTTATAACAATCAGCAGGGGTCTGACAAATAAATCACTGAATACATTATTATAGACCTTATAACAATCAGCAGGGGTCTGACAAATAAATCACTGAATACATTATTATAGACCTTATAACAATCAGCAGGGGTCTGACAAATACATCACTCAATACATATAGACCTTATAACAATCAGCAGGGGTCTGACAAATAAATCACTGCATACATATAGACCTTATAACAATCAGCAGGGGTCTGACAAATACATCACTGAATACATATAGACCTTATAACAATCAGCAAGGGGTCTGACAAATACATCACTGAATACATTATTATAGACCTTATAACAATCAGCAGGGGTCTGACAAATACATCACTCAATACATATAGACCTTATAACAATCAGCAGGGGTCTGACAAATAAATCACTGCATACATATAGACCTTATAACAATCAGCAGGGGTCTGACAAATAAATCACTCAATACATTATTATAGACCTTATAACAATCAGCAGGAGTCTGACAAATACATCACTGAATACATATAGACCTTATAACAATCAGCAGGGGTCTGACAAATAAATCACTGAATACATTATTATAGACCTTATAACAATCAGCAGGGGTCTGACAAATAAATCACTGAATACATTATTATAGACCTTATAACAATCAGCAGGCGTCTGACAAATACATCGCTGAATACATATAGACCTTATAACAATCAGCAAGGGTCTGACAAATAAATCACTGAATACATATAGACCTTATAACAATCAGCAAGGGTCTGACAAATAAATCACTGAATACATATAGACCTTATAACAATCAGCAGGGGTCAGACAAATAAATCACTGAATACATATAGACCTTATAACAATCAGCAGGGGTCTGACAAGTAAATCACTGATTATATATGGAAAGAATCAGAATCAGCAGGGGACTGACAATTCATTGAATATGTATGGACCAATTCAATCAGAATTCAATTTTACAAATATTTTCAGCCCCTGAAGTACTTTTTTCAGGGTTCAACATAATTATGACATAATATCAAAGTGTATTGTTGTATGGGCAGATAAGCAGATAAGAAGTTCTTCAGGGGCTGAAAATATTTTTAAAATTGTCCTGATGAAGCCTCGACTGGAGGCGAAACTAGTTGACAATTAAGTCTAACCAGCTACTAAACAGCAACACTTGAGTTTGTTGCGATTGACTCCTTACCCTGTATTATATACATATTTGGAGATACAATTTAAGATTCTATTTTAATGAATTCAGACTTTTTGAAGTTCATTTAACATAAAAATAGTAAATATTAATCAATTCCAAAAACTGAAATATCAATGTATATTAACATTTAAAGTTTAAAAAGAATTTCCAAGATGAAAACAGATCTGACTTCATTTAAATTTTTTTTTTTTTTGTAAATATCATAAAGATACAATATTTGACAATGTGCAGCTGAAAACAATCTGACTTCAAATAATCAGTTAATATTGCTCATTTATATTTCTCTGATCGTTATAATTAAAAAAACATTTGAAATATCAAACAATTTTTTTTCTTTTTTTTACCGTCCTGAAACAAACTGATATTATGATGCGATCATTATACAACTAATAGATGTATATTAGAACAAAAGATTTGCAAACAGTTCACCATGATCATTTATCTGATGTGTATTAACTTGATGAGCAGGTCACATCAATAATGACAAGAAAGTTAGGTAATATTGATAACCCTTGTCCATCACACAAGTTATTATTATTTTATTATCATATCTTTAACCAGTAACATTGTATGCTTGTAATCCTAAGTATGGCTGCAGGCGATGTTTTATATATACTGTATATACTCATATATACACTAATGCTAAACATCATGCCCCTAATGGACTTTGTGTTCACTTGTAACTGAAAAAACAATGAATGAGTATGCACATAATGTCATCAATCAACAAATCAGTTATTACAGCCAACCACTAATTAAGAGTACTTAATATATTCCACTGCAAAGGAATTGACACACTGGTAAGCTTTAAGCATGTATTCCTTCCCAAAGATAACTATGTCATACTGAATATTCAATAAAAATGGTGTGCAAATAAAACAAGTTTCCACCATGTGTTTGTATTTATGCATTATCAGATGTATACTTTCAATTAAAAATATCGAAGAATAAATCTTACAGATATGATACATTTTTTCTAATCTGTTTTGCAAGTTTATACCATACCAGTACTTTTTTTATTGTGATAACTGCAAAAATTAATAGGGAAAATTAGAATTGCAATGCAAACTAATTCTAACATTATTATTTAGAGGCATACCTCCTCAAAATATCACTTGCAATGAAGTATAGAATTTTAAAATGTTGACTCCAGAACTTCACTGCAGGGATTCTTTAAGTCAAAGTTGGAATCAATCGTCTTTTTTTTTCATTGAACTGAATATGTTTTGACTCACATATACCTAGTTTATGACCTATTTCGTTGTTGTACATGTAGTCTGTTGTACCAACCTTGATGACATCTTTCTCCAAACCAACAACAGTAAGCCATTGTTCTGTCTTTGGGTACTCTGATAATTTGTCGTGAACATCGTCTGTAGCTAACTGTGCCTTGGCTACCAATTGTTTACTGAACAGTTTGATCAGTTTGCTCTGCAATCAAGGAAAAAAGCACAGTTTAATGATAAAAATAATATCCAATGATATCTTTATCAGAGACAATTTAAAAATAAATTTTGTTTACCTGGTACTTCCTTAAAGGAAAATCAGAAATTGCATGTAATAATAAAAAAAAACATTTAACAGATATTGACTACAGAAGGAATCTAGCCACTAGCTTTATTTCTTTTTTTTTATATATATATGATAAAACACTATCGTTTTGTCACCTTACCAATTTTCTATCCTGCACAGGATATGATAACTACTAATGATCATTGACCTGAAGAATTTACAAAGGAAACACTATTAAGTGCATGTACCATACAACAAATAAAAAGTTCCATATGAACAAACTGACATAAAATCTAATTTCTTGTACTAAAAATTGAAATGCATAATGACATTAATATTTCATTTAAAACGACACACTGGAAAGCATAATTTCATTTTATATTGTGGTAGCTGTTTACCAATTTCTAAAACATCAGTCAATGTGCTGTAATAGGGAAATAACTAACAACCTCTTATGAAACTGTTGTTAAACAAAAAATACAACTTCTTGCAATGGTAATCAAAACAACCAAGTTTTATATAAAAAAAAAGTGTTGAAAATTTGGAATTGAAGTATCTATTTATGTCAGATACCTTCATGTATATAAATGGATGGAAATTAATTATAAAATGTCTGATATTTCATGGGGTATACATATAAAAAAGAAATATCAGACATTATAAAACAAATACACCTGTATTTTTTTAAATTTGTATAACATGTTAATTATGTTACATATATGTATCCCAAATAAAAATAAAATCAGATTCTCTAAAAATTATTTAGTTCCTACAAGTCTATAGCAATTCACATAACAAGTGGTCAGTATCACTATATTGTCAATATATGCATCAATACACACAGTCTTGATTAACTTCTTCTGAAGAGGGAATCACTATACACACTATGTCATCTATGCCACTTTGAATTATTTGTCATTTTATTATTACATTTTATACATAATTAACACGTAACGACTTATCTTCTTGTAAACACAAGCTAGCTGGGAGATATCAAATCATTAATTTATTGGAGGTAATTATAGACCATACCATTGGTTAAAGGAATCTAATGTGATGTAGATAGATACCACAGATGGTTGAAATCCAAAAGAGCCTGAACTTTTAAGTGACAAGTTCTAAGGTGGGGATAAATTTTAAAGTAATCAATGAATCAGACCTGAACTCCGAAAAAGTGATAGATCCAAATACAAGCTTGATCTTGGAGCAATTATAATTTCAAAGCTCTGACTCAGTTTGCTTGCTGTTATATTGCATTGATAAGTAATGATCTTGTAATATGAACATGAGAAAACAATTGTTAACAATTGGTATGTCCAATCATTTTGCAAAATGAGCATTTTAATTTACAGATATGGCATCACATGATCTCTGACTTGTATTGAAATAGATATATTGCTGGGACAATCAACATAGAACTTTTTTAGGAGTTACTTTGTCAGTTGTGAGATATATTAAAACCGTTTAACAACAGACAATATCATAACTTCAAAGTTAAGAAAAAGATACATCGCAAGGTTACCAGGTAGAATGTTAAAAGAATTGTTGTGATGTTGTATAGGTATAGAATGGTCCTGAAACACAGAACAGTTGTTTCATTTGAAATTGCTTTTACAATATGTTCATAATGGATACTGAAAAATTGTCCGAGACATCTGATAAATTAAAAGGGTTTATATAAAGTCTCACCAAGATGAATACAATAATTACATGTCATACAATTACATGGGGATAATCATGACCAATGTCTCGTCCCATACAGAGACATAGTGACAGCACACCTGTCTATCAGAATGGGAGGGTTGACCCAAACCATGGCGCAAATGGAAACCTCTAAGACATTTACCTCGGTGTTTCTGATCTCCTTCTGTGTAAGTTCTTCCGATGGGTCGCATTGAGTCCTTAATCCATCCAGGTGTTTAGCTGTGAAGTCGATCATTCCCTGTGCAGTTCTACACATAGCGATGGCTTTTTCTACAGCATCATTTTCTGTGTCTGAGGACTCCGACATATTGGCCAAAGTTACCTATGTATATTGTTTTTGGACATACTTCTACCTCTGCTTCAAGTTTTACTACCGGCTGACATGAAGATGTATGGAGTTCGTCTTTACAATAATCAATTGTAATTTGACAGGCTCCTGCAAATGACTTCCGCCATATTGGATAATTGCAATCTCGCTTGATCATGTGACCAAAGACGAGATAACACAAAATTTGCCGGGAAAGCATTGCAAAATGACAACAGAGACGAAAACCAATTCCAATCTTCCATGGTGAGTTATATTCAACTAAGATGATGTCAATTGTTTTGGAAACAGATAACATGGCCAATTACAATAACAGGATACATGTTTATAATGTGTTCTCCGCCCGATCCGTTATAACAGCGGATACATATATGGGGCAGAGGTGTGCATGTGTGGGAGGGGGATACGGGGTATAAAATAATTATGTTGAATGTCTAGAACTCTCTTCTTTACTGAGGTATAACTAATATTGCTAAATTTTAGATTCCATTATTTCTGATCACCTTCCCTTAACACTTATCGATCAGACCTGTCGACAGATTCGAATTCTGGTTGAGTATAATGACGTGCGCAATTGATTTATGCAGAGACCTATTAATTTAAAGTTAGCTATTTCTTAGCATATCGTTATAGTCATGATCTTTCAGTGATAGTTGATTGCAGATCATGATCAATATTAACAGATTCAGTATGATCTGTTGATTAACATATACCTATATCAGTATAGAGCAATACATAACATCAAGGTTTTAATATGTCAAAATTATATCTATACTCAGCTTTCCAGAATTTTTTATCAAACAGATAGTATAACACATAGATATATTTTTAGAGAAACTATCATGTTGTTCCATTTACCATTTTTATCCCCTCTAGTCTACCTCAGCATGATTAATATATATATAAGCTTAATTGTGCTGCATCTGCATGCACATCCAACCACATTTTCACATTCCACTGTTAAAAAGTTTGTCAAGATGGCAAACTAAACTATGTACATATAATGTAGCATACTGAACTTGATTGTTTTGCTTTGAAAGAAATGTTGTCTGGGATACTTTTGATATAATTTTTATAATACAAAGTTAAGGCCAAATGGAGGTCTTTCAGGTGTTGGCTTTTGTGTTTATTCACTCTGCGATGAAGGCATTGAACCAACCAACCAACCTAACTGCCTGACCGAAGCCTTTTTTTTTTTTATTTTAGTATTGACAAATGAGGATCATTTCTTTTTTTAAGAATTTTTACAAATTGATTAAAAGGAATTGTTAATTAAATGTTTTTAAGTGATAACTATTCAGCATTTTATGTCATTGCTGGTTGAAGATGGTATACATTATAGAGTGATATCTCAGTGATAATTAACTTAAACTTGTGTTGTTTTCAAAATATCAAAATATAAAAGAAATAATTTTGCACAGCATTTTTTTTATTAAAAAATAAGCTTTCTGCTGTTCATTTTGAAAAAAAGATCTGTGCTGTAACTTTACAAAGTGATTTAGGTAGACTTCTCTCCCTTCTATTATACATCTGTGAATGTCATAACAAAGCATGCGTTAACTCAAGTTCTTGGGTCAAATTGGTTTCATTCAACTCACAACTTTTGAATGCCAGAGCTGAGAAGCACTAATTCTCGATATTTGAATCTAAGTGAGAGCCCTGTATCATATCTCTACATCTTTTTATAATAATATATTCACACCTTTTATGTGTTTTTTAATGATATTTTTTGCAAAGTTTTGTGATTTTTTGATGATCCAGCTGCTATACATATAAAACTTCATATTTTGCTATGAAAATATCATCATTGAATGACAGTGAAATAAGAATAATAAAATATGGTAACCTTTCTTATGACATCACAGTATGTTTTGTATTTTCACCTATCAGGATGCTGGGGTCACCTTGTTTTTTTCTTTTGCAACAGTCTATGCATCACAAAAATTCCGATACAACATGTAAAAAAATTGTTCCATGATGATAAGGAGATGTATTCTCTCAGAATAGTCTACAAGGCAGTAATCAATTAAATGCCTTTCTTACTTCATTTTAAGAGAATTTCCTTTAAACTTATCATAGAATGAATATGATAGTAAAGGTTTTTTTCCTCTTTTGATTCTTATTGAAAAAGTAATACATTTACCTTTGTCTTTAATAGAAAAAAAATGTATTATACATGTGTATAAATAAAATCATTACCAATTATTACTGGGAAAATATGAAAATCACTGAAGATTGAAGACAATTTAAATGTTCGTGGATATTTGATAACATTTATCTTTTCTCTTCAGGGTGGAGAAATATCGTCCTAAACAACTGGATGACCTCATTTCACATGCAGATATCATCAACACAAGTAAGCAGAAAAAAAGAAAAGTTATCTCCCTTAACACTGTTCTCCAATACTTATATACTTAAAACAAATAAGGCCAAGATTTATATTGGCGCTAACTTTGTGGTAAATGAGTGTCAAAAATGTACTAGGATGCCTGCTTATGGATCCAGATGTATAGATGCAGACCAAAATCCATCATGATTTTGTGTGAGGTACACAACATATGAATGTGGTGGGTTTTTTTATTAAAAGAAGAACAAAACCGTTAACTTCTTCCCCATCTATATTTATTGTTCTCTCAGGAGCGTCGCCATGTAGATATATACACATTTTACCGAGAATGAAACCCCTGTAAGTACAGATACAAGTATATTTTAACAACATCATACGTTGAACAGTTGTCTGTAAATTAGTTAAACGTCTACGCGTTTACTTGGATTTATAATTAATCTGCGTTCTGGAATTATAAAGCTACAGTCATATTTACCTCTGACTATCATGGTGACACGTAGTCTGGATAAAGTTGCAACGTATATATGTCGAAGTAGAGTCCCGTAGGTCCTCAAACTATTGTTGATACCTCCACTTTATACTCACACAAACACGCCTCCTTTCATGTACAAACTCACCTGCATGCAGCACACACTCTTACCCACCTGGACAAGACTGGACAAAAAGGTTTCAGATAAATATAGACACAACATGTACATTACACCACAACCGGACTCACATGGACACTATAAATAGACACACAGGTTAAACAGTGATCACTCCCTGTACCCTGTGACACACATAAACAGACATGACTGAATACAAGACAATAATCAACAATTAATTGGCCCTACGACCTGAAGAACAGTGTGTATACACCATTGACTAAGACCACAGCATTGCAACACTGGTGTATAGAGCCTGATTGTCGAATGGTGTTTGTCAGAATTGCATTCCACACCTCATTCAATGCCTGCACCAGTTCCTGTGAGTTTAAGGGTGGATTTTGCTGGTGCTCTACTGATCTCCCAAGAACAACCAAATGTGCTCTATTGGGAGATTTTGCAGGCCAATCCAAAACTTTGTCTTTGTTCTGTCGTAAGAACATCCAAGTCTCGTAACTGGTGTTGGATGTTGCATTATGCTGAAAAGTGGACCCAGCTCATTGCTGCTGTAAAAAAGGAAAGTTGATGGGTGCTGAAATTTCATCCTGATACCAAATTGCATTTAAATTACGATTGACAGTGATTAATCTGGTTCAATTTCATCTTGCTACACAGTCTAAGACCATCAAACTTACCCCTAACAAATTAGTCACACTGGTCGAAGCAGCAGTTTATGAAGCCTTCCTTTTGATGTTGCCATACTCGCTGCCTCCCATCAGTGTGCATCAAACAAAATCTAGAATCATTTCTGAACAATATATTGTTTCATTACTGTAAGAGCCATCCTTGGTGTTGCAGAGCCTAATCAAAGCAATAAGTGCGATTGTGTCACCAGAAGACAAGGCCTGTGTAAGGGCTCCTCTCACACATTTAGTGATGCTTCAGCCTGATACAGATGGTCTGGCTGCTTTCCTCCTTACAATCTTTAATCTGTTCTGTATTTGTGATAACTGTTTTTTGGTCACTGGAGACAAAGTCTTGTAGTGACCTGTTGCTATTGCCTTTTAAGGGGCTTTGTGCATCCATCAACTTTTAACATTTTCAACTTCTTCTCAAAAACCCATGAACCAATTTCAACAAAATATTGAAGAAAGCTTCCTTCAATAAAAATTAATCAAAATATTGAATTATATAGTCCCTAACCCCCAAGGACCAGAGAAGCAGGGTCAAAAGGATTCGGATTTCAAAAATCTTCTCAACATCTAGAATAAGATGCTTTTTATGGGTGGAAGGGTCTTCAGGTGCTTTACCAAATTGTATGATCTGACTGGAAATACTTCAAACTCAAAACATTATCTGCAAAGGATGATTTAATGGTGTGAACATATTGATCCTGGCTGACGTCCAGGAGCTGATGGGCAAGGCCAAAAGGGGTCGAACTGATCAAATTTCAAAAAAATATTCTTCTCAACACCCAGAGATGTAGAATCAAATCCTCTTCATGGATGGAAGGGTCGTCAGGTGCTTTACCACTTTTGTGAATTTCATGACCCTGGAGTCCCGCCTTTCCCCCATGGGAGGGAATGAAGTTTACTGTAGTTTTTATAGGAAAATTTGATTTTTGAGAATAAAATTGCTTATTTTTCATTGATAATAAAGTAACTTGTTAAGAATTCGGGCTGAAAACATATTTAAGTCTTACTATTATCAATTTTGCATTTTATTTTTTGGGACACTTGAAAGCTACTTACCTGAAAACCTTTATATTCAATATTGTTTATATATACCTTAGGTGACTGTCAAGACCGCAAGGTCTCTTGTAGTCAATATTGCTTCCTTTAGGTTACCATCAAGATGGCTAGGTCCCTTATATACTAATGTGACACTGTAAATTGTAGTTGACAGGTTTGTTAAAGAGGACCGCCTTCCCCATCTATTGTTCTATGGACCTCCTGGAACGGGTAAAACCAGTACCATACTGGCTGTGGCAAAACAGATCTACTCGCCAAAGGAATTCAATTCTATGGTGTTAGAGGTGAGTGCTGCTTGTTAAATATTTTTAAAATGTTTCTAGTAAATCAGAGAAACACTGAGGATGGTCTATGTTGTGTGGATGTTCATTTTAACCTTCATATTTCATTATTGGTTTCTTGGCTCATTAATTTACGAGAAAGAAGGAATTTTTTAATTGTATAGTTTTCGTATGACACAGACAAATACACTTTTTTTTTCAAGGAATAAGCCTACATATAGTTATTGAGTAACATTACAAACAACTAAGACTATCTCAATATCTGTGAAGAAAACCTTTGAGATAGAGGTGATGTGTTTTTACTGTATGCTTAATTAGTGCAGGCTAAAAGTATGACTGTATAAAATGTCATACAGAGGAATTGACTTTTAAATGAAGTTGGGATCTTCAGTTATTATTCACTCCTGTGTCATTGGATCTTTATTGATGGGTTTGGAAATTTGAAGAAAAAAAAGAAGAAGAAAAAATATGGCATCGTGACCGTTGAATTAAAACAAAACTTGAGTGATGGTGGGGATAGGTTATTTTATCATTCAAGATGACTGTTGTCTGACCATTTGTGGTTATTATGTCTCAATATTATTCTTGTACAATTAAAATTTATTTTGCTTACCTTGAAATTTATTTTGAGTATATTGTGTGATAAATATCAGTGAAGAAATTATATGTATCATCTTTGAATTTAAATATGTAAATCTGTTATTGAAATTGTTCACCTTTTAATTTAAGAGTCTTAATAAAATCTTTCCTTAATTTGGAATTCTGAAGGATGCAATACTTGTTTTAAAATCTTAATACAAATATGTTTTTAAAAATAAGTTTTAGTTATGTAGGAATTAGTTATGGCAATATTGTTTGTTGATATAGTTGAATGCATCTGACGATCGTGGAATTGGTATTGTGAGAGGACAAATCCTGAGTTTTGCCAGTACGAGGACGATATTCAGGTAATCTCTGCTCGTCTAGGGGCGAACATATGCTTGATAGTAATGGAATATTAATTAAAAATTCTGAAGGAATTATCAAATGAAAATGTGTAATACAACATAAAATACACTTGTTGGAAAGCACTTAGACAGGCATCAAACCTGGATCTGAAGCATGATAATCCAGGACTCTTTTGAGTTAACCTCCTTCCTTTTCAGAAGCTTTTAATCAATTGTCATCCACTAATAATTTCATACTACATCTTTAGAAGTGAATCACTTAAGCATGCCTGTTCATGAATTGGCAAATATCTTGCTCTCCCATAAAGACACAGCTACTTGACCTATAGACATAGTGTATCATAGTGTTGTGATGATTTTGAATAGATGTTATGTTGTGGAGAATCGACAACTGGATGTTTATTTTTGTTATTTCTATAGGTCTGGTTTTAAGATAGTGATACTAGATGAAGCAGATGCCATGACAAATGATGCTCAAAATGCTCTGAGAAGAGGTAAGATGAGTATGAAATTCAAAGTTTGTATAAAATATTTTCGAGGGACTACCTCATGAAAAAGGATATTTTCTTCTCATGGATTACACAAATGTTGTGATTTCTAGAGCAGGAATATATTCTTAACATCACATTTTTTTTATATTAAGAAATTCTTCTTATAACAGAAAAAATGCATCTTTTTTTTAATTTTCAGACTGGATATAAAATTTCAGTTTGTCTGGAATAATAATAATATTATGTTTTAACATTTTGTTTGTCCACTGAACACAGTTGAAGTAATATAATAACAAAGATAATAAATGGTAGCTATTCTATACATCCATGATAATTTACTTAAATATCTTTTACCTTTTTTCTTTTTTAAGCTATTTTAAAATGTACACTCCATTGCAAAGAAAGAGAGAGAAAAAAATGCCAAAAGTTGGACATTCAGTTTGAGGATAAATCTAGAAAAACCAATTGTAACTTGAGTCAGAACAGGTTCTTTAGTAATTTAATTGTAACAGCACCATATTGTAGCTCTGTAATTTTCTAGTACCCACCATGCATTAAAGTTCTTTACTCATGGAGACCTTCCTTTTGATCAAAATCCATTGAGCTCTGTTGTACATTTTTTTACATTCACCGTTTTCAGTGATAGAGAAGTTCACAGAGAATACTCGTTTCTGTATAATCTGTAACTATCTGTCAAAGATCATCCCAGCCCTACAGTCCAGGTGTACACGGTTCAGATTTGGACCCCTTGGTACAGAGCAGATGGTACCCAGGTTGGAGCATGTCATTGTAGAGGAAGGGTAAGGGTATTTTTTCTTATCGGTCAAAGACATTTTATTGGGTCAAATTTTATTCATAAAGAAAAGTTTGTGTGAAATCTCTTTAAAATGAAACTTAGGCTGACAAATGCCTTAATTGATGTCAATTGTATGTACTGTCTAAATGATTTTGGTACCATGCCTGCTTACAGTGTAAACATCACTGGTGACGGAATGAAGGCTGTAGTAACACTGGCCTGTGGTGACATGAGGAGAGCTCTCAACATTCTCCAGGTAATTAACATCAAAGGCGAGGGTATGAACACTTTAGTGACACTAACCTGTGGTGAGATTTCGGCATTCTCCAGGTAATTAACATCAAAGGTGAGGGTATGAACACTTTAGTGACACTAACCTGTGGTGAGATTTCGGCATTCTCCAGGTAATTAACATCAAAGGTGAGGGTATGAACACTTTAGTGACACTAACCTGTGGTGAGATTTCGGCATTCTCCAGGTAATTAACATCAAAGACAAGGGTATGAACGCTTTAGTGACACTAACCTGTGCTGAGCTCTTAACATTCTCCAGGTAATTAACATCAAAGACAAGGGTATGAACGCTTTAGTGACACTAACCTGTGTTGAGCTCTTAACATTCTCCAGGTAATTAACATCAAAGACAAGGGTATGAACGCTTTAGTGACACTAACCTGTGCTGAGCTCTTAACATTCTCCAGGTAATTAGCATCAAAGACAAGGGTATGAACGCTTTAGTGACACTAACCTGTGCTGAGCTCTCAACATTCTCCAGGTAATTAACATCAAAGACAAGGGTATGAACGCTTTAGTGACACTAACCTGTGCTGAGCTCTCAACATTCTCCAGGTAGTTAACATCAAAGGCAAGGGTATGAACGCTTTAGTGACACTAACCTGTGCTGAGCTCTCAACATTCTCCAGGTAGTTAACATCAAAGGCAAGGGTATGAACGCTTTAGTGACACTAACCTGTGCTGAGCTGTCTGCATTCTCCATGTAACTAACATCAAAGGTGCGGGTATTAAGACTTTAGTGACACTAACCTGTGTTGAGTTCTCGGTATTCTCCAGGTAACTAACATAAAAGGCAAGGGTATGAAGGCTTTAGTGACATTAACCTGTGATGAGCTCTCAACATTCTCCAGGTATTTGAAATCACAGAAAATGGTGAGATAACTTTAATTACACTAGCTTGTTTTGAAATGAAGAGAGCTTACAACATTCTACTAGTAATTTCAAAGAGGACAGTATTTTCAATAAGTACCCATTAACCTAGTATTGAGTTTTATTTGTAAGTTCATTCTATTGACTTATTCCATCAATACCTTGTCTATTTATTGAGAAATAATGATGGCCTTTGACCCTCATCATAGGCTATATGGGCAAGAAAATGGTTCAATATTCTGCACATATTCTTAGTTCAATGAGTTGCCTCCCTTTTGACATGAGAGCCATTCTTTAGAAAGTTTCTTTCTCTTTTTCATTGTATGACTATGTATTTAATATGATAAACATGTTCAGCAAAGATGGGGAAAAACAGACATGAAAATAAACAAGTTTTGCTGGGTCAATATTACAAGTCAGTATAAGGTGTAAAATGATGCACATTATGCTAGGGCACTTTAGTTTATCAGTTTGAACAGTTAAACCAGTGGTGTAACTTTAGCACATGATAAAGATGAATGTCCTTACCTTATATTTTGCCTTGACAAAGTGTGTCATAATAGTAATTAATCTTAAATTGTTATTTTTTATATCTTTAATGTTTTTTCTTCATAAACAATAATAGACATAGTGCACACTGTTCTGAAGGTAAAGGGGAGGTAACTGCTAAAAATGGTAGCTTTATCAAGGAAGGGGAAGAACTCTTGTAGTCTTGACGTATGCTTTGGCCATGCAGTCAATCCCTAGTTCTGCTAATGATGTAGATACTGTCCAAGTGGCACAGTTGGTACAACAGGTGCTTTGCAGAGTTGTTTCTTTCATGTATGATACAGATATAATATAGTGTGTAAATGAAAACTCTATAGGTAACAAGTCATTTGGTTATAATAGATTTTGTTGCCGATGTTAAACAGGTATGCAAGACTTTCATTAAGACCCTTGATTATTAAAGTCAAATCACTTTTTGCATCAATTATGGAGAGCTAAATCAATTGTCACACAGACATGTCTTTTGATGGTAATTATTTAAATCTAATCTGTAAGAGTTAATAATTATTTCAAGAGTCCGAATGGAAGCAATGAATATGATCATTTCAGTCCTTTAGTTATTATTTTTGAAATTTACATGAACATTGGGATGCAACATTTCAGTTTGTTCCTTTAGGAAGGACTTACCAGATGTGAACCTTCTTTATGTTTCAGTGTACACACATGGCCTACGACTCTGTTTCAGAAGACAATGTTTATACCTGTGTTGGTCATCCTCTTAGAAGAGACATAGAAAACATAGTCAACTGGGTTCTAAATGAAGGATTTACAATCGCCTATAACAGTATCCTTTTAAACACTGGGGTTGGAAACCTCAGGATGTTGAACTATCCACTTTTCTTTTCATAAATTTTATGCTCTAACACAAAGTCCATCCTGTCACGTCACATTCGGAATCCGTTCCAAATCATTGTTTATATCTTGAGAACCTTTCAACAGAGTAATGTGGTTCATATCTATCCCTCTGCGTAAGTTCTAAACCTTATTACAATAAGGTGGTTACCATTCCAGATTAAAGGGTCAAAGGTCATATTTGACAATATCCTCGATACTCCAGGAGTGACAATCACTTGCTGTCTCTTCACCCCTGGAAGACACAAGCGAAGACATTTTCCAGTCTTGTTTAGGTTTCGTGCATTGTCAGCAAAAGTTATGGTCAAAAGAAGATTAAGTCTACCATTGCTATCTCACTGAAGAAATGTTTTCCTGTATTTTATACCTAGTTGATGTCCCTTTCTGTCACATTAATTACTTAACCAGTAAACACGATCCCTTATACAGAGTCAGAATGACACAATCAGAATATAACTAGAGCAAAAAAACCATTCATACGCTGCAAATTAAGCACTTAAAGCTGGTTGGAGACTTTTTTGTTGTGTATCAAAATCTCTGTACAGCTTAACACCAGTATTTATGACAGTTTCAGATAAACATGATTTGTATGTAAATAATACAGACTTTTTGGCAAACACACCTTGTATCCTCACTGACGTTGAAAGACCCAGAAGCTCTACTAGCTGAGCTCACTATCTGGGACACTGTGGACACTATTACATAAACCTTTATATAACTCTACCAAAGCTGTACACGTGGAGGAAAATTATTTTGCTAATCCATATTAATTCATTAAGCATGAATTTTCAACGAGTTCTTTTTGATTTATTATTTTTTTTTGACCTTTTAAAGCAAGCCCCAACAACGAAATGTTTTAAGGCATTTTGTCTTAGGACAACTATGACTTGTATATTGTAATCACTTAATTTTATCAGGAAGTCTTCATGTGCCTACTTCAGTTTGGAGTTCCGACTTGCTTTCCGTGTCAATATTTGGGAAGAAACCTGTAACACAATGCTATATAGAATATCTAAACCTGTAAATAATATAAGAGATTAAAACTTGTGTTTTTTCCTTAAATTGCTGAGATATTATGGATTTGAAAAGTGCTAAAGGCCTGGCATTACAAGACATCCTGAGAGAGGTCCATCTGTATGTACACAGAAGTAAGTTTTGTCTTATTGTGTTGGAATCATAAGTAGTATAATGTTCCTCAAAACCCTTACCATGTAGTATTTGAGTTTGCAGTATGTACATTTTATATACATATAGTTGTGCGTGTATGTAAACGAATGTGAACATGATAATTTTCATTTATTACATTTTAAATCAAACTCATTTTCTAAATTAGAGAGCAATTTTCAAGTAACTGTTTAATTCTTGTTGTCTTTTATTCCAGTTGATTTACCTGTGCATGTGAAAATTAACCTCTTGGAAAAAATGGCTGACATTGAGTAAGTGAAATTAAAGCTGACAGTGGGAGTTAAAAAGCTGTCAGATGGAGATTGAGCTGATATTTTATGAAGCTGTAATTTTCAAAATGAATTTAATGCTATGACCGAAATGTGTTGCCACCAATATTTTTAAGTAGAACCATCACCATCTTATGTATAGATACTTTAGAGTTGGGTTATAACACTCATTTCTGTTACAATAGTTAAAGTTGGATAGTGCAGTGGTTATGCACTCTGCCTTTCACTTAGTTGTCTGGGATTCAATTCTGGTTTCACTCCTCAGTAATACCTGGAGGCCAACAAGAGTGATAATTAAGATTTAAGCTGAAATAACTTGTTTTTCAGTTGTTGGAATTTTTTCACTATTCAGATTACTAATTACAATGTCTTAATGTCTTGTATTAGTCTACAAAACGATGCACATCTGAATTAATTATCTTTATTTTAATTGATATACTTTACATTCCAGGTACAGACTAGCATCTGGAACCAGCGAAAAAATTCAACTGAGTTCTTTAATAGCGGCTTTCCAAGTAGCCAGAGATCTGATTGTCCAGGAGGCAGAGTGACAGTGCAGGTGCTTGAAATATGTGAACTGATGCAATCTGGATCTGAAAGACAAAAAGGAATGTTTGAAATTTTGCTTACTGGGATATCAGAAATGATATATTAGTCAATCATCGTTTGTAAGATTCCTGATGTTGTTGTATACATCAACAGAAGAGCAGGAATAACATCCAAGTTTTTTTTTATATTAGTGTTTTAAGGGTGAGAGAGTATATGAAGTTAGCCTGTGGTATGAGAGAGTAATGCTTGGTAATACTGAACATTGTTAATACAAATAAACTGCGTGTATGAGTGTGTGCTTAGATGAACGAAAAACACAACAAAGAAATTAATAAAATGTTTATCAAATGAAATTTCATTTGTATCTTTATTCTGAATTTAAAAATGAGGATTTGACAATGTCTGGTTTTCATCCAATTTGTGTTTCTTGGGAAGCATGGACTGTTTAACAGTTCAGAATCTGTTGAATTCATATTTTTTGTCAATTTCTTTTCCGAAACGGGGAAATCATATTTATTTTCCACATAATCTTTGAGATAAAGGTGTACTGCCTGAACACAACCTTGTTCCCTTTTTTTCACGAAATTAGAAATCTGAATCAAGCTTCAAGTCCATGTCAATTCAATAGTTGATTTTAAGGTCATTTTACCGAAGGAACAATGAGTAGGAGTAACAGCATTGGTGTAGTGCATGTAAAAAGAATATGATTCCAAGTTTGCAGAAAATGTCTTATGAACCAGCAATGTCTTTTATGTAAGCTGTAGAGTAGTTGAGCTATTAGTGAAGTTTTATCTTGTAGAAGGCAGAGACTTGTGGATATGCGGTAAAAATCTGTCAGATGTTGGATACATTACTTGTCATAAGCTGTCAATCAACTTTCATTAGACACCGTTCACTATCAGTTGGAGGTTTGAAGAAAACACTCACCTCTAGTACGCTTTCCAGTTTAAATCTTGTGTAGAATACTGTTCGGTCAATGGTTTTATTCAAACCATACTGCTTCTCCAAGTGACATGATGAGGAAAGTCTCTAAAGTATCCGGAAGCCTTTACAGGAGAATTTAGATCCTTTTATCAGTATCTTCATTTCTATTATGTGGTTTGACACCTTGATCTAGTACAATCAGTGGAGTTTTATTTTATTGTGAAGAATACTTCACCATTTAGTCATAAGGTAACAAACTAGATATTACAAGTATTTGAAGTATTTCAACTTCAAAATCAAAATTTTCAATGTTATAGTTCTTACAACACAACATAGCAGTATCAGTGTTTTCATTAAAACCATCAGTCTTGTACCTAGTTTGCTAATTCCTGTTATAATCATTAGGTTGTCTTCCCTTTTCTTAAATTGAATCAGCTACTGTATAACTTTATAGAAATTTGACATTACCTAGATTCTACTTTTGTTCACATGATCAGCACTACCACAGGAATATATGACTTTGATATAACACATCTGAAGAAACCGAATTACAACTAATTTGAAGGAGTTATCAGTTAGTATGATTCTATCACTCAATTAACAAATTATTTTGACATTCTCAATACTCTATACAGCTTTCTTATGTTTGCTATCTTTAATGTTTTTTCAATAGATGTGGTATGATATCAAAGCTCAGAAATTTGACACTCCAGTAATTTTGTCTCATTGTTAGATCTGAAAAGACAAAACTGAGCTAAGCATTGATATCACAAGATAGATTAATACACAAATATGAAATCCGAACTCATGTGAATGCTTGACACTTTGGCAGTGATTTCTTCAATATACATGGAGTTCATACATGCATGTCATTACAGTACTAGTCAGCTCTGGACTAGTTAACAGACTTGTCAATTGATAAATTATCAGTTATTATTGAATATCAAGGCAAAGTCATCAATCGGTATTAGTAAAAAAAAAATTTCAAAACTCCCCAGAACATTTCACCTGGTATCAATTGTTGTGCCAGCTGCAGAGCTGTACAAATTAACTGAAGTACTGTGACAGCTGCAGAGCTGTACAGGCTAACAAAGTACTGTGACAGCTGCAGAACTGTACAGGTTAACTGAAGTACTGTGACAACTGCAGAATTATTGTACAGGCTAACAAAGTACTCTGACAGCTGCAGAACTGTACAGGTTAACTGAAGAACTACTGTGACAGCTGCGGAGCTTGCACAAGTTAACTGAAGTACTGTAACAGCTGCAGATCTGAACATGTTAACTAAGTACTGTGACAGCTGCAGAACTGTACAGGTTAACTGAAGTACTGGACCAGCTGCAGATGAATTGTACAGGTTAACTGAAGTACTCACTAAAAAATCTCTCATTCAAATGCTTTCCAGTTTAGAAACTGAACTGACCACCATACTTGCATATATTTTCAGTGGGTCAGCCCCCTGTGCTATAACAAACCACTGACCTCTTAATATACATGACTCTTACTGGAAGTGTTCTGAAGTACTTCCAACAGAACAAATCAGTCACATCTTTCAGTTGTGCTGTTCTTTTCCCAACATTGTGTACTTACTCAACTGTGGTGCATTTGGTAATACCATCTAGATAGATTGTAGGTATATCTATTTATTTCCCTTCAACTGAACGTTAAGATGAATACAGTGTCTTTTTGTTTAAAAAACACCTTTATTTTATGGGGATGAAAATTCACCCGAAGACAAAGTACGGTAAAATCAGTACATTTAGAGATGTCATGTCGGCCAAGTTAATGATTCGGGACGCAACGAATTTAAAGAGGATAGAAAATAAAGAATTGGTTCATTTACCTCTCGCAGTCTGTCTGAGAGTAAGAAGGGTCCCGTATAATTCCGCAAAAATCTAGCGGGTAACAGTATGTGAAAGATGAACTAACATGACTGCTGATAAAACTTGTCCTTTCTGCATGATCTGGGATAGCATTTTTATAAGATTTCCAAATGCTGTGTGACCGACTAAGTTGTGATAAACATTTTGTTGTTTTGAATGTTTTAAAGCATTATCACTGTGAATCTTTGATAGAAATGTCGTTGTGATGTCACTTCCTGTCCATTATAATGTACTGCGTACAGCAGAGATGTTATCGTGTAGCTTTGAAGCCTATGCTTTGGATGTTGACTTACAGTTATTGTTTGCGAAATAGATTTAAATCAGAACAGATTTGCAGTTCGATGTAGGAGCTACATGATTTATTTTAGTACACGCAACTACTGTTTCACTTTATTTTGAAAATAAAATCTCGCCTTTCGCTCGTCGTCAAAAGGGCTAAAAGTGCTTGGACGTCAACAGTGAAGCCCTGTCGTTACTATTAGACACGGTGATATTTAAAAATATATAGCGGCCCGTTTTCAAATAAAAACAATGAAAAAAACCGCTAATATATATTCAAAGAATCACAATCCAAATGCAGATTCAATGAAACATTAACACACCCACAACCGCAAGGAGAATCAGACCATATGATTCAGAAGAATGAGCGTATTCGGTTTCATTTACGGTGTAAATCATACTCAATCCAAGTAAGTGATTATACAACAACTGTGACATGTAAACACCAAAGGTTGGGAATGCAGTGATATTGTTATCGTGAAATGGAAAATTCACATTAAAATTGAAATCACGCCTATCGTACAGCTTGGTGGAAAGCTTTCCCTACTCGTTTCATTGTAGGGAAAGGTCGAAGTAAGTGACTGATGTAGAGGAGTCTGTCGTGTCTCAAGTTGATTTCCAATTCTGGTGGTACGTTTCTCCGCGGATTAATTATTCTGGCGTACGCCATCAGGCAAACTTCAGCGTAATGTTTGAACAACAAAACTACTGAAGTTTTGACTGTCTGATTTTCAATCAATATTGCAGGATATATAGAATACATGGTCAGTGTCTATTGTCTCTCCTCACCTTCGCCAAAATACAATTATATTTCAAGACACTGACCACGTATTCTCTATATAAGTAATGGTTTTGGATGACCTAGAGACGTGCGTAATGGTGTCAAAATGACAGGATTTTATCAAAATTTGGTCTGAATCTTGGTGGAGGAGGCTTAATTTTGTATAGACAATGGGTCAGAGTTCACCAGGAACATAGGGGAGGAGTCCAATAAGAAATAAACCTTTAAGACTCTTATTCTGTTATGATGTATTTGGTCAGAAACATCCAAAGGGGAAGGGTAGTCATGGTTATTAAGAGGAATATAAAAAATATCGACAGAATGTCAGAATAATTCGGACTAGGGGTAGGGCAACCAATTTTGGCTGCTTCTTTCCAATCCTTTTGTGGAAAGTATTCATTTTGTACAATTTTTGAGAGTCTAATCCCCTTAGGACAGAATAGAGGAAATAAAGGAAAAAAATCTTCTAATGTTACGATGGAGGCAATAGTATAAGCTCTTTAAAACCGTTAGAGAGAAGGGAGCCAACTTTGTATCAATTGAGATTCTAGACCCATGGATCCTGAAGATGGGGGCTAGATAGGGGGAAAGATTGAAATTTTCAAAATCCTTGTTTTGACTGTAATCAAATTTGGTCTGAAGAATCATTGGATGGAGAATTCAATTTTGTAAACTCTGGCCCAAGAGAGGTTGCTTTAATTGATTAAATAATGGTAAAGCTTTAAATTATCCCCTTCAGTTTGGATAAAGTAATTTTGCCCAAACCAAACAGGTCAGCTATACAGTCCCAGTGGCCTCTTAATTGATGAGCTAAGCGATGACGTCATCGGAGCCATTTCCAATTACTTAGCATTGTTTTTATTTTAATGTTACGTTTATTTCGTATTTGACATCAATGAATGGACAAGCCATAAGCCATTAAAATATTATCTACACTTATTTTATGATGTTAGACTTTCCCAGCAAAGCCAGGAATCGAGCCAGTTACTTCCTGGCACAAAATTGGAATGCCGTCAATAACAATAGACCTCACAGCAACTACATGAAAGTGCTAGTTTAATGGAGGGAGATCCGAAGATCCGATTGAGCAGGCATTTCATTTACGGAATTTTTCATACAATCCGGAAGAACAGAGCTGCGTCAAATAAACCACAGCTTGCATCGATATTCACTAATACAGTTTACCGAGTTGTGGCGAACGTAATTAAATACCAAACGCTAAGAAAACGAGAAATTTGTGCAGTGATTCATAAAGTTATATCTCTATGAGCAGCATCTACCGCAAGCAAGCATTTCGCACGGAGGTGTTTACCATACAAGTATCACAGACGAAACTCACACACCTGAAGAAAACTGACTGTACTATTACGCAGATACTGTAGTGTCTTACAGAAAGTGTTCCTTTTAACCCAATAAGACATAATTCGCAACTGGAAACGATGTTTCGCCAAGTAAATACAGACGGGAATATTGTTGTACGTAGATT